GTTTTAGAATACGCCGTCGGAAATAATCTCCTTTATTCTAGCCTCGTTATTAATATATCTTTCGGTAGACGCTATCGTAATACGGGTATCCGGCGCGGGAGTAGGCGTTCTTATTCTCTAGCTAGCTCTTACGATAATAGACTCGATATTCGTTAGCTTATTACTTAATCGTCGTTACTAATATTCCTTAATTAAATTAGCCGCGTAAGCCTTAAGGTCGTTCTTAATTAGCTAGGTTTTTTCCTTCATAACCCCGGGGGTAAGGTATTCTTTACTAAGGATTTCGCTAATCTATCCATCCTTCTACGTAGCCTAGGAGTTAACGTCCGTTATTAACTTATTATATTCCTCGCGTAGCTAAGTTAAGACTCGTTAGTTTTATAGTACGGCGTTTCGAAGTTAGTTTATTACGGCCGTTCGTACTTTATCCTACCGGGTAAACTTAGCTACGGTTTCCTATACGTTCTAAGCGAAGTAAGTACTTTATTCTACGACCTATTTCTAGAACTCGTAGATCTATATCTTCGTAATTCGGATACCGGTAGCTTATATTACCGTAGCGGTTTAGTAAAGCTATCGTAGTTATTCGTACTATTCCTTTAAGATCGTATTTTATCGGTATCTTACGTCGACCTAGTTAACTAATATTACTAGGCTTTAATATACCTATCCTATCTACTTATATAAATCTATTATTTATTACGGAGGATTACGTATAACTACTCCTAAGTTCGCGATTTCCGGAGTATCCGTTATAACTACTTTATATTCCTAGGGTTAGTATACGACGAGGGATTTATTAATTAATTCGGGGGTTAGCTCCGGCTAAGGTATTAAGGTAATTCGTTCGGCGTCTTTTACTTTTAACTCCGTTATTACGGCTTTTAATTTATTAATCGTAATTATTATCTAAGTTACCTTCGCTATAAAGATCGGCGCTATTCCCGAAGCGGCTAGTCGCGGGAATAAGAAAGCCTATGATTTTAGTTCTTTAGTAAAGGGTCGAGGTTAATCCGGTAGTAATAATACCGGGGTAGCGGCTTTAGCGTATAACGCCGGCTTAAGCGTAGGCTTTTCTTATTACTAACTTATAATAAAGTTATAAGGGTAAGAGTAGTATAGAATTATCTATAACAAAGGGATATACTTAAAATAGGTTTAATTTAACTAATAATTCTATAGGAGGTTTCTTAGGTCCTTATCTTCTCCTAAGTTCTACGTTCCCTTCTCGTCTTAATATAACCCGGAAGTACCCTTATACCTTTATACCTTTATACCTTAATGCCGAAGCTATCCGAAGCTTATCTAGGACTTTCCTTAGCAGGTCGCCGAGGTAACGGCCTTAATGCCCGATATTATCCTCTTAACCTTTATGGCCTAATCTGTTGGCGCAGGGTTCCATCCCCGTGTGACAGAAATTGAGCCTACATTAAAAAATGGTAAGGCGTCTACGTTTTCCTGCGACATTTAATAAACTATAACACAATAGCCAGCTACCCTTTTGGCAAGTACAGATATTATCCCCTTGGTTATCGTGTAGGTAGAGTCGCTACCGTTTTCTGCCCTTCGCCCCTTTCCTATGCTCCTAATACCCAAGACGTGATACATACCTGGCTTTTTCCCCTGGCCGAAGGCAATCCAAGGATAACCTTGCCATATTCTCCTCACAATGACCAGTCCTATTTTCTGTTTAGAGGGGTTGAATATATAGAGGCTTCCATCTTGTGCCTTACTTGGATTTGCTTGGTGTCTAGTTTTGGCCACATTACGCATCTAACATGCATTCCCATATTCCCAAACATTATGTATTGCGTTGTGTACATGGGTAATATACAATTCTAAGGTCTTGAACTCCTAGAATACGGACCAAGCGATAGGTGAACCCGTGAGAGTATGTGCGGCCTGTTTAATGTGGCACAATACGTCTACACAGTACCCATTTCCCCTATTAATTTAGGTGCCTACCTCTACGTACCTGTAATATGGCTAGATTCTGAATCAGCTCCGTGTTTTAACCGCCCGTATCTCGGACGTTGATTCCGCTGCTAGGACTATCCACCCCGAGATTCTATGCGCTTTTCCGAGTAATGTCTCCTATAATACTGTTATGTTGCAATTGCCATCACTCTACATCTTGAGTGGGATATCTACTACAACCACATACAGGAATGTGATCTTCGAAACCGCACCATTTGCATGGGCCGTAACATAAGTGATGATTTATTTGACTCACCTCCATAGTATGGGCGAGTTTTGTCATGGTCAGGCCAGAGACGCGAGGCATATCTGGTTCGTGCTGTGGTGACACGGCCGCATTATATTGTGTCGGAGTGTATTGTGTTGTATTGATATCAACCTAGAAACATGCAAGCAATAAACCGGAATTCGTATTTTGGGGGCTGAGGAGATGTGCGCAAGTATATTATGTAGATTTTCGGGAACCTTGTCTTGGGCCCTGACGCTTTCTTACAATGTCGTATTGGTTTTGTTGGGGAGGCTATTCTCACTGGTTGACTGCTAATTATGGCGACTGTATTTGAGAAGCGAGCAGAAGCCTCTGGGCGTGGACTAGGTATATCACGCCTACCTCTAAGTAGGTACCCGTAGCAATATAGACCACCGGCGACGGGCCAATGGAATGACTGCTGCTGCTGCTGCTACGCGTACCCAGCGATATTGCAGATTCCTTTCTACCTATGGATGCTACCGTGTGTAGGCACGTAACATTGACCGAATCCTATAGGGAAGCTTCTGGGGAGCCCCCAGGGAAGTGTTCCAGAGTTGGAAGCCGTCCCGAGACTAGCCCTACATATACTAATATGCCTCGAATGGTTCTTTCACTGGATGTCCCTTGCATGAGAGAGCGCAGATACTCGCCTAGTCGCTGAATGTGGGGAAAAAGGGGGCAGGGTGGTTTAGTTTTCTAAATACCTAGTACTTATATGCACCTGGAAGATAGACAGCGTGTATACATATATATATATATATGCAGGCCGCAAGTAGAGAGGGATGACCGCCACCTTTCTACACCGTCGTAGTGCTTGGGTACTACGCGACAAGTCGAGCCGACGAGGGGATCGCTGGAGATGAGGATTTTACGTCACGGCGGCGGAAGCGGGTTGCAAGGAGGGATAGGTTGACCGTGTTTATTAGACCTCGGGCGTTGTGACACGGAGTATCTAATAATAATAAGACCTGACACTCCCAGTGGTTCATTGCCACCCAATTTCTCCAGTTTATAGCGGACCAGCCTCCTCTAGGCATGCCAGGCTGGTTCGCACCACCGTTCAGACGGCTGAAGGTTGTGAAGGGTGTCTGGGTCTGGACGCCTGGCTATAAGCTGAAACCTCTCCACTTAGCGAGCATCCTATCTAAACGAAGGAATCCCGCTAAGCCCTTCTAGAATTTGTTATTGCTTTCTTTTCTCTTCGCCCGATAGTATTAGCCACTAGCCCTGGCGGTAATCTGCTACTCATTCTGCCGACTGCGATGACGAGCAGGATTCCTTTTCGCACGTTCAAGGTATCAGGAGATAGCTCCATGTTGCACGAGACGTCGAGAGAAAGGATTTGCTAAATAGGCCATTTAATACAGTTGTAAATTGCCTAGCTTAACACGCCTACAGTACCCCCCCACGGGAGGCCCCAGGATAGCCTCAGCGGGCAGTCCCCACTGGCAGTTAAATATTACCACTTCTAGAACCAATGCGTGAAAATACCTGATCCTCTGCAACCGCGTTTCCAACCGTATCCCCCCCCCGTCAGTTGAGAGCAATCCATAGTCTCTTTCTTGGTTTTTCGTCTCCTGTGGGGGTGGCCCCAGCTATTCTCTAACCTCGCTGTAGCTCGGTCTGTTCTCAGTTATTAGGTGCTCCCGATGGAGCGTATCAGCCCCGCAGCTTGGCGCTTAAAAGAAACGTAGGTACCTAGTTTAGATTAGTTGGTATGGGGCGTGCACCCAACTCCTGGTCTCAACAATGAGTCTACTAACGAATATGGAACTTCTCGCTTAGTTAAGTACATAGGGTACGTGCCGTTGATAGTTGCAATTCCGAGGAGATATCCGAGCCGCCATGACCGTAAACACCGAGCCTGAAGGTCTGCGAAGAACGGGAGCTTAGTTGATTAGCTGGAATCATTGTTTACCCTTGCAGAGATCTCGTTCATTCCTATCATTTTATCCGACTCCCTTCTCCCAAGAGGAGTAAGGGTCTCTTTTTGCAGTTGGCACCGAAGCCGAGTCGCGTATTAGGCAGTCTACGAGGTTCAAAAATTTTGGAAGATCGGAATTGTTGATATTCGACATCATAGACCGTTGGAGCTGGCGCTGTACGTACCTACCTATTTCCCGGGACAGTCAGCCAGTCAGCCAGCCAGCCAGCCAACTCTCCCGCCCATACTACCTATGTACCTACATACCGATGGACTAGGTAGCTTATAAACCCTTGTTTATAATTAGGGGACTTTTCAATAGAAAACTCTTCGTGTTTTACTTGGGCCTGTGCAACGGCGGCTTCCAACGCCAACAGGACATTAGCGACCAGAACCCGGGGCCATGGCGAGTAAGACTTAAGACTGAACGACGTCCTAATTGTGATAGGTAGGGGGGATGGGCTGGGGGGAGGTTCACATTGTTTACGAGCAGGGCGTCAAGATTGGAGGGTGCGCCAGGACCAGGGCCGGCCGTAGGAGACTAGTACCGTGCACGGAGATTTGGCATCAACAAAACCAATGGTAGAAAATGCCGCTGAGGCTGCTAGCTCTTGTCTCCAATGAAAGATCGACAAAGCCAAGGGCCTGGCTATGCCCAACTAAGCTTGATTACAGATGGCCCCCCGATGGCCCCCAACAGGGTAGGGTCTGGGGATTGTCGCCGACTAGGACTTGCTATTTCCAGCAAGCTCGAGAAATGCTTGTGTGAGATCCCAGTCAGCTGGGATTCAACGATCCAATCAGACACCGCGACGGGCGCCTCAAGCCCTGTTCCCCATATTCTGGATGTCCCACCCTGCTTCAGATCCCTCTGAAACGTCGCGAAATCCTGCCACACGGGCTTCGTGAGACTCTATTCAATAGTCGGTATAGGCACACGTCCACTTCCCATCACGAAGCCGGGAAGCTGCTCTATGCTAGTAAGGCGGGGGAAACGCAGGTTTGCGAATAGAGGTGCTTAGTGCCGTATTACCTCGGCCGGGCCTTAGCTTAATACTGCAGTACGGCCATCGCGACCGCGTCGAGAGGCCCACTATGGACTCTCCGGGTAGCTAGAGGACGTATAAGTAGTTGAAGTTATTCGCGACACTTAGGATAGAGCTTTCCCTTCTTTTCTTCTCCATCCCACGATCATCAATCAACTCGACCGTTCTTCCTTCCTCCTTTTTTTTGCTTCTCTTTCGTGCTTGGTGGCTGGGCCTCCGTTTTACATTGTTCGTTAACCTCGACCTGGTTCACATTCATCATCACCTTCCTCGTCTTAGACAACCAACCCCCCTTCGAGCCAGTCACAATGAAGTTCTTCCACATCCTGCTCCTTGCCACTACGGCCACCGCCATGGTTCTGCCTCGTCACCACGCCGGTCAGCAAGCCAACCGCGGTGGCAACAACAACAGTGAGCAGCTAAACCATGATACCCTTTCGAACATATCCGGATCGTGGCCTCTAACAATTATCGATAGATAATGCTGTGACCAACGGAAACAACAGGGCCGGCGGCAACGCTGGTGCAAATGCTGGCGCCAATGCTGCCGGCAACGCTAATGGTAATAACAACGCCGCCAACGCCAACGCCAACGCCAACGCCAACGCCAATCCTGGTGCGGCCTGCAATAAGTAAGCTACTCCCGGGAGCTGTGGGTACAATTCCACGACAGACCTAGCCATGAAAAAAATTTGCTTCCTTTCGTACATGTCGCGGGTATCGCAATCGGCGTTGTCCCATACGCCCAGTTTCGTATTTCTATCCAAATGGATTTACTAACCCCATATACAGCAACCAGAAGAGGCACCACGCTGGTCAGGCGGCGAACGGCGGAAACCGCAACAACGCCAATAATGCCGGGAACCGCAACAACAACAACGCTGCTGCTGCTGCTGCTGCGGACGACGACTGCAAGTAAACCCCATACAATACGCCCTCGACCAGGGCTACCGTACCCTAAAACAACTGCTAACCCTTGACGTCTCTAGGCAACTAAATGGGTTCCGCTCGCAGCGCCAGCCAACCTAGCTCTAGTATTAGCATTGGCATAAGACTTCCTTACCTAGGCTTGCCAATAGATTGAGCGAAACGTTTACCAACAAGTGGGATCACGTTTTTAAATGCGCATTGGTAAAGCGTATATGGGTATAGAATGGATAGATTACTGATGTTGAAGGAAAAAAGAAAGGAGAATACCCGTCGGTCTTGCATTTGTTCGTCGTGAGGCTCTCTGTGCTAGTGAAATGTTCGCAGGAAGACCCGCCAACTCGTGCTCAATAGCCCGGGAGCGTGGAACGGGAGCCGACCTCACACAATGTGTCACGTATACTGCCTTCGTATATACTGCCTTCATGTCTTGATTTTTTTATTTAAAGATAGTGAATGGGAAGCCTTGTCGATGAAGATGAGCAAGGCGAAAATGGAGTAATTCTCTCAGGGGTTTCTACCTAGATGAGGTTCTCTAGGTTACTATGTACACAGGTACATAGGTACTTAGGGATGTGTGCGCACACGTGCTCCATGTATCACGTGACCAGAGCCCACAATCTCGACCCAATGATATTACGCCGTGTACAGATTAGTCATCGGCCTAGGATAGAAGGAGTGTCTTGCCTCGGCAACACCAACTTAGTGGCGCGTCTCTTATGTGGACTATGTGGACTTATCCATAACAACTTCGGACGACTTTCCTTTCGAGCCGACGATAGCGTAGCCAGCTGGCCTCTCGCACACGCTCACTCCTCAAATCGCCAACTTCGGACATCTGCAAATCCGCCTTCTTCCCCTTAGCGAATGTGCCTACCTACCCCTTGAGCATTAGCAGTCCAGCCTTGATACCGAGTCAGCAACTCAGCTGCCGATCTACAGTGCAGGCTGGTCAATAAGGGGCCCAGGCCAATCTGAAGCCGGCCACCCTTCGCCCTGCACGCTCTCTAGCTTACATGCCTAATTCCTTCGTTTCCCCCCATTATCGGATCAGCGCTCAGAGCTAGTGGAGTCCCCTTAGCATACGCTCGCGGCGAACGACGGGTGTCGATGTCTCTCGAGGTCATTTACGTGACCCGGCATGGGGTGAGAAGTTAGAGTTCCTAAACGAAGCCAGTAATCACTGCAAGCTCGCCTGGTAACCCCCGTTTTAGCCCAACTCTTCTCGATCCGTTCTGAGACCATTCATCTTATCCTCTCCTGCTATCTAGTAGCAGCCACTTTAAGCTATTTTACAGAAAGAAGACTTACTCTTCCCCTAGTTCCGTTCGCCGTGGAGTGTCGAACCGTCTACCGGCAACTATACGGCTACTATCCGGTCCCCTACGGGTTTGCCAACGGACCCTGCCCTCACGTCTCACGGCGTTGAGCAGGCGAATGAGCTAGCAAGCCACCTATTACGGCTAGATCCGCCAGTTGAGCAGGTTTACTCGAGTCCATATTATCGGTGCTTACAGACTATTCAGCCATTTGTGCGTAGCTTCAGACGTAGCCAGACCCAGTCGCCTGGGCATGTCTCGGAGGAGGCCCCTTTTGAGATCCGTGCGGACCGTGGGCTGAGCGAGTGGTATGGCTCTGCTCACTTCGAGCACCCGTCGTCAGCGCCCGTGGATGAGCTACAGTGCTATTTTCCCGAAATCGACGCTACTTATGCGTCTAATCCGGCGCCCTCACGCTATGGAGAGTCGCTACCGCACCTACACGACCGGGTTACAAAGGTAATCGACACTATCATTAAACATAGCGATCGGGAGGGGCGCAAGGCGGTGCTAGTGTGTACCCATGCAGCTGTGGTCATCGCTCTCGGGAGAGTTCTCACTGGGCAGATGGACGTCGATTTTCGCGCATTCACCTGTGGATTGAGCCGCTACCGACGGCGGAGACTTCCTAGCCTTGGGGAATTGATTGGTCCTAGCGGTGAGGAGGGCCTCAATTCTGCAGCCCCGACCGCGCAGGGCGGGAGTCAGATCGGTGAGGCTGGATCTGAGGTCTGCCCGGGAGCCGATTCCACAGGTGCTGCCGATCGCTATCCACACGACTCAGGGTGGCCTGATATAGCGTCACCACAGAGGCGCAGGGCGGCTGGACTAAATGGAGGCTGGATCTGCGAGCTAGATTCGGACTGTAGCTTCCTTCGGTGTGGCGAGGAAAGGGGATGGTAAGTGCTTTTTGCTGGTGCCCTGTCTCTCAGAGGTTCCTTTCGCAGCCAGCTGATCCGGGGATAGGAGGTTTACAGGTGACGAATCATTCATCGAGGTTGATGATAACGACCTACGCTCATCTAGTGTAGGCCCCGACTCTGGTACGTCGGTTGATAGGATGAAGCTAGGAGCCGACGACGGCCACACTAGTGGAACCTCCAAGTTGTGATCTATCGTCCACGCCAACCAGTTGCTGGTCCTGATAGCGAGGTTTGCGGCTTGCACATTGATGATGTGCTTGTGCAATCATCAATCCCATCTGCGCCCACCGTCACTTTGTACAGGGTATAGCGATATATACCTTTAGACTCGCTCCGGTTAGCACAAGCCTACTCAGTGCAAAGCTGCTCGTCGAGTATGAGCCCTCCCACATTAAGAGACCGTGCCGGGCTCATCTATAGAGGCTCAAAAGCCTCTTCCTTTGGGCATGTAACTATCTTGCGAGGATCACCGACGTTTTCTGATTAGTAGCGCCGTCTTGCGGATATTCAAGTTCTCGTCTGCCATGTTTCAGCTTTCTAGGGAGCCTCAACGATTATTGAGACAGTCTTCTCCCCGCGGGATTGTGACCGCACTAAGCTCACATTCGAGAACAAAGAAAAGGAGCCCGGAGGAGCAATTACGACAAAAGAACAATGTTACTGAAGCTGGAGGTTGAGACAGTCTTAGACGTTGACTTATCAATAGATGTCGATGACCTACCAATGTGATATGTCAGAAAGATACCGACTGCCTAGAGGTACTTGGAGAGGCTGTCTCATCACTAGCGGGATGCTTCGGGCACTGCGCATTTGGATATGATACGAGCTAGAGGTAGTCTGCTAGTGACGATCGATCACTTCTTTCTATTTTTTTTTTTTTTTACAACTGCTAGAAACCGTGGGGAGCTGAGGAGTGTTATAAGCGAGTCTCCGAGTCTCCGAGGCGGGGGGCTCTCGAAATTGGCTACAGTTATCATATATGGACTTTCATTCGACAGTAGGATCTGACAATCGTCTCGGCGCGGTGGTTACAGAACGCCCAAGGTCGATCTGGAGAACCCTTGATGCTAGAGGTTTTTGGCGTCAGTATGTTTCAATCGTTATCCCAGACCGTGAACGGCGGTCCACATAATGGACTCGTCTGACTAAATAGCTGATCTCGTTAATTTTAACATTGGGATGCTGCCATTGGGCCTTATCGTATTGCGTCTTCGCCGATCTACTAGCGGTCAAGACAATCTAGGAGACGGGAAGAAAAAGCAATGATTAGTAGGTAAAACTTGCATCGACTCCAACGTCGACCCGGGCATGGCTTCTGAGGTCGTATCGGAGTTGAAGATCACATCAGCTCACTCCAGTTTCGAGGAAAATTGTATCGTAATGATGCAAGAAATTTGGATTGACCATAGCCCGCTGTGCGTATTATTACAAGTGGCTTCTGCTGCCAGGCCAGTAGGGCGTCGTCGAGGGGTTGGGGGGGGAAAAAGAATGAACAAGTCTGAGGGTGGACAAGTACGTAAACACCAGTAGCCTTAGAACTAGGTCTTACTGCATGCCTGTCTAAACAGGATCCAATCAACATGCAGAGGGAATTTTTGGGATCGTTGGGGTCTTGTTACAGACCCAGTCACGAGGGGAGGATCTGATCTTCACAATCGATCTACGGGCTCGACTTGACTTGCTCTTCTTTTCCACCGTGCCACTATTGCTTTTCTTCCTCGACTTCTTCTTCTTCGGCTTCTTTTCCAAGTTCTAAGGCAGGGGTACGTGGCCATCGTAAGATCTGGCGATTCTCCAGTTCGTCTCATGGTTGTTCGTTGCGATCTAATACATACATACATGGACAGGCCTCTCACATGCAGGGTGTGTGAATCCCGTGTTGGGTTATTGGCAACCAAGGCTAAGACGGGTTTGTCGGTTATCAAGAAATCTGCATCTGCAGGGAATGAGGGCGGAGGCTGGGCAGAGCCAAGCTGGGCCAGGTTTTATTGCTGAGCCGACTTTCCACCCACGCTCTGCCGGCCCGAGAGTCAAAGAGTCTGGACCACGGAAACACCCCCACGATGCCGACGGCCCAATGAGGTCGACCATAACATCCGTCGCGCGCTTGCGGATGTCCAAATAAAAAAAAAGACGGCCTTACCGCGCGCCTTGACCTGTTGGTAATATGACCTTGATGTCCTATATAGACAAGTCGGCTTCGCAGAGCAGGCTAAGCCCCTTCTCCGACTGGGCCCTCGGGCAACGTTCCCTCAGGTGGTTGGCGACATGGCAGAACCGCCTCTACGTGCCGCCCAGGAATCTTCGCGGGAAGGGCCAACAGCACACCTAGCATAACTCGGTCTCACTCTGCCTTCTCACATTTGTTTAGTGCATAAACCGGTCCGCATACACGTCCTTCCAACCCCCTCTTCGGTTAACTTGCTCCTAGCTTCCTTAGGGTTTCCATTGGCTAGCTCGTCCCAGCCGTCTGGGAGCCTCCCTAGGCGTGTGGGCGAATGGCGTGTCATGACCCATGGGCCATCGGTCACAGTGCAAAGTATTGATAATGAGGTTTTGCAAACCGCCTCGGGCGAGCATATTCTCCAGTCTGCTCTGGTTTCGATCTCGGGGCAACGGGAGAGTTACGCTAGCTTCGCAGAGCCCCGTTGCAGGCAGGCAGGCGACCTCTCTATACGGCCTCGCGTGCTTGCAACGCTGTTTCTCCGCCTCGATGGGCTCATCTAGGGGCCTGGTCGGCCTACGCACGATCGGCCACCATCGATTCGGTTGCATAGAGCGTTGAAACAGTGTGTGAGTGCTCGCCCTCGACGGTAGCCATATTACCACTCAAGCCCCCCTTGCGCCATGGTCCATCTGTTCACGCAAATCGGGGCTTGGATGGACCCCTCTGTTCAGGTATACCGCCACTAGATCATGTATTGCCATTCTCCATTGTCACATATCTGCTGTTGCTCCCCTCCCACCTCGGCTTCCCGACTTTGCTAGGTGTAAATTCCCTATGCGGCAAGACACTTATTCTCCGCAGTGGCCATGTCTCTCTCTCGTAGCGCCATCAATCTCTTGACCGCACTAGCACGATCCAGTTGGATCTCTGTCTACGTGATCCTGGCGTCAAGAGGCCTTCTTATCAATCCAAATGACCTACATGAGATATATCGGGAGCTGAGAGACAGGGAGCAATAGTCGCCGGACTACAGATACCCGGGGGTGTTTGCTATTCCCACCTACGCGCAGAGGTGCCTTGTCTGCAAGATACCACACCCTCTTTGGTAGATTTGTGCCAGCGTACTGGGACTTTGTTGGTCTATATTAAAATGTAGGGCACGTCGCTGACGCCGGCCTCCACCTGCCTACCCCTTCCAAACCGATTCCCGCAGTCATAAATGGTCTTGATCCCTTCACAACTCTCCACTTTGTCAGCCTGTATCCTCTGCTGCTCAAGGCTTCCCCCCCTGCTCCATTCTGTTTTCATTCTAAGGGAACTCCGGCAGAGATGTATAGCAACGCGGACAGTATGGAATTTGCGGCCGTGCATCGGAGGGTTGCTCCGGACTCGACTCTGCCATTACGTCCACTACAACCTCGGTCTTCCCGGCCTAACGCAGGGCTCTTCGAAAATCCATTTTCCCGCGGGCAAGCAACCAGTACGATCCCAGATTTTGGGTTTCTAGAGCCGACTTCCTCTTCTCCATTGAGCTTCCGGTCTGGCTCTTCGTTCTCCCAGGAGTCTTGCGCAGATTCTTGGGACAGGCTTTCGACTGGACCACCGTCGCCCCGATCGCCGAAGTCGAGACACGGCCTTGATGAACTTGGCCGACTGGACTGGATACCGGCTCGAAGCGACAGTCTTAAACGAAAAAGCAACTCAGCAGATGGAAGCTACAAGAAAGTAAGGCTTCCGGGCGCGCTTCCGGGCGTGGATCGCCTTCTGGTGCCTTCGGAGCATGAGGGCCATCGCCGACCACCGTTATCTCTTAGATCTAAGGGGCACCTGTACACGCCGAGTTCTAGTCCTGAGCCTGGGCACGATTGTGCACCTGCGGCAAAACCAACAACACAGCCATTGGAAGACCCTATTACTCAGAAGCTCAACCTCTGGAGGAAGGAATCCGATACTATTAGAAGCCCTCTCCCGCAACCAGGATGGCTAGAGATGTCCTTAGATATTACGCTGGATTACCGGAGCCCGCCCGCCTTCTACCGCCACCCGCCGCGCGACTCTCCCAGATTTCACGATCGCCGCCACTTACGACCTCGCCAACAGCCATCGCCGCCCGGCGACATTATTCAGAAGGAGCGTGCTAGGTCAAAAGACATACCTCACTGCAACGTTAAGTACGCGCTCGAGGAGAAGGATTATATCCGATTCAATAAGGTCGATCTGAAGCTCGCATGGCGCGAGGTCAGGCGGCGATTCCGGGGGAAGTTCCCCATGGACCGCCGGATTCAGGGCATCCAGGGCATCCACTACCGAGACAATGACCACATGCCTCACATCGTCGACAAGGGGAGGACGCTTGTGTTCTTGCCCAACGGACACATCAAGGCGATAAGCGTGAAAGTCCGGGACCAGGGCGATGACAAGCCGTACTTCGGTCTTATTTATCTCTATCCTGAACGGGCTGTCGAGTACGATTGGGTCCCGGCCAAGGACAAACAGGCAGCCGCTGAACTGGGTAGGTCTCTTCCCCTCTCTTCCTTCTCTTGCTGGCCTATCTAGATAGGAATTCTAACTGCTTCCATCAGTCAAAGAACGCATCCCGCAGCGGGAGCTCAAGAAGCAGGAGGCCATCGCACGGGGAACGTGGGTGGAACGGCTGGAGACGGGCGAGTGTGCCTGCTGCCCTGAGCCGGACCGAGAGCGAGACACACAGAAAGGCCCCTACTCCGACAGCACCGATGGTGTGGACCACAGCCTAGAGGACCATATGTGAAGTTACCATTCGCGAATGGCACGGATTCCACGTATATGAAAAACAACCCGCAGCCGCGGTCAACAGGTAACTCGAAGACCCGAAACGACATCAACAGCGAGACGTGTAGGCAATTTACCACACGATGGCGAGAACTTGCCTTCGGTTGTCGGTGCCTTTGTCTATGGGTACCTACCTCTTAATCGCACCCATGGTAACGAGAGTATGGAGTTACCGGTAAGGATTCCCATACATCCACCTAGATGTATCTGTGCCTCCTTTACCTACCTAGGTTATCCACCCATACTATATATACCCGCTCCCCGACACTGGACACCCGATACGCTACTTATGTCCCTTTTCTTCCTTGCTTTTCGCTCGTAACCCAAGAAAATAGGAGACGGGGTAATCGACAGCAGCGCGGCGCAGACGGGTCAACTCCCTCCACCACCCATCGTTAGTCCTGGAGGAGGCAGAGCAAGGGAGGGAGCGTGAGGCGGGAAGATAAAAAGGGGGAGGCGGGGGGAGAAGTCCCACGGGCGATATGATACACGGCAGCGGAGTAGACGGGGGATTTTTTTTCCCCTCTTTTTTTCAACAGGAGCGGGTGGGCGGCGATTCACATTTGGTTTGTTTCGTTTCGTTTTCTTCTTTTATTTCTCCTTCAAGCGGGACCTTGGAAGAAGCCCATACCCAACCCGCGCACACACCCCTACATACAGGCGCACGACATCGGTGACGGCGACGGCGGCTTTTTGGACTGACTTACTGATTGCCTGGTGGTTGGACCGACTAACGGGCGAGAGGGGGAGAATCAAAAAGGAGAGGGAAAAAGGAGGGATGAATTGTTTAGTAGTGGGACTTCTTTTTCCCTGACTGGGGCCGGGGCTGGCCTGGACCTGACCAACTCAACTGACTGACTGAACTGATGAGATATGACGACGGCACGAACACGGAATGCGGGACACGGGATGCGGGACACGGGATATGGTATTTGGTAATGATGTACCTACTACTGTTGCTGCTACTACCGGATACCCGCCTTGGGCGGTTTGTTTTGCTTCCTCTTTTGTTTCTTTTATCTAGCAAAAACGGTCTTTCCCCCCCCCCCCCCCTCTCGTTGCTCCCATTTCCGTTACAGAGCTGGCTATCTACTCATTGACAATGCTACGGACGGATGCGATGTATCACATGTTTGCTATGCTCTACATAGGTATGCGATCGCTCACAGGACTCTCGTACGCCTTCGGCCTTCACATGCAATCACAGCGTCGAGGAAGCCAGGGCAGGCAAGCTCATACACATTGCATCAACGGAGGGGAAAGCCTAGGAGAAGGAGGAGGGGAGTGCATAGAAGCAGCAGGAAGGGCAGGTGTTTGGTGGTTCGGTAGCATGGTGAGCGGCTGTTTGGGAGGATCACCCCCCTCCTGCTTTGGGTATATCACTCGTTGTCGGTGTCTGGGTACCACATTTCGCGCGTAGCTATAATAAATGACAACCAACAATAACACAAGAACACTAATGCCTAATGCCGAATCATGTTAAATAATGGCCCCAGTCTTGCCCGTCCATTCCATTCGTGGCTTCGGCACACCGGCCGTAGTGACCATGGCGGGTGCTGCTCCTGCGTTGCAACACAGAGCAGAAAGTAAGGAAAAAAAAAAGCCTCGAGAGCTATGCCGCCGGTTGAGACGATCCCCCATCTCGCGAGAGTCTCGGGGGTAAGGGAAAGGGGGAACAGAAGGCGTGAATGCGCGTTTCCCCTCGCCAGGTGTGTGTGTGACCTATCTATGTATTCCATACCTGCATAGGTATGTACCCTGCGGCGATCCTTGCACGAGGAAATTCGGGCCACGAGTAGGACTTGGTTCGGTGGTGCCGCCGCCGCCGCTGCATTGCGCATACCAATGAGGAACAGCGGGGAAGAGAGAGAGGGCGGTCTCGAGACCCGTTTAAAGTATTCGCGTCGGTGTTCCCGTCCCCGGGTTGGCTGTGCGCACTCAGCGGATCCCTCTCGAGGGCCACTCGGAGGTTGCTGCAGATTGGGCGATGTGTTGTTTGCTGGATCCCTGGTCTGGTTGACTATTCTTACCACCAGGACGAGAGACAAAGCAACGCCCAAAAAGAAAAGAAAAAAAGGGGGGGTGGGGGGAAGACGAAAGAAGAAGGGAAATGTGCGCCTCCGCTGCGGCACACACACATGTGCGTCCTCGTCCCGCCGCCTTTGTCTTTCCTCGCTCCGCCCCGGGCCTCATGTCAGTTGATGTTGGTGCCAGCGGGTTACGCTGAGTCGTGTCACCTTCGCACTAACACTAGGGCCCGGCCAGCGTGTCCGGCGTGCCGCTTTAGTAGTCGGAAGATTGTGGACGCGGCGAGGAGTGGTTTCCCGCGCCCCGTACGTAGTTTTGGCCGCGCCACATCCTCGTTGTTGTATCCTTAGCAGTGGCGCACCTCATCATAGATGGTTCGTCCTCAGGCCGCCCCGGCCGATGTAGGTTGTGAACCGGCCCGACAGGGTCTCTTGGTCGCTCAGCGCCGCCGTGTCGTCGTCGTCGCTGTTGTCACTGCGCGTGTCGTATTCCTCTAGATCTGATGCATTCCCCGTCCGGAATGAGTACGGGTTGCGGTCGTACTCGTCGTCCGACGCGACCTCCTCATCAGGGTAGTCCGCCGTGTAGTAGTTCTCGGCTGTGGATTCCGCCGGGTTAGATCGCCATTTTCGCGTCGCGACCGATTTTCTTTCTTTCTTTTTCTTTTTTTTGGGGGGGGGGGGGGGGTGTAGGGTAGGGATGCAGGCGCGTACCGTTCTCGTCTTCTTCGTCTTCGGCCCACTCGTCCTCGCTGTCGGCCGCGTCCCCATAAAAGTACTCCAAATCGGGTTCTTCATCAAATACAAGAACCCCAACACTTTGCGGTGGCACGTGCTCACCCAACTTGCTGGCCGGGACGCGCTCGTAGGTTTCGATAATGTACTCGCCGTCGTCGCTGTCGCTGATATCGACGTCCGTGTCCATCATATCCCTGTCCGCGGAGGCCGTTGCCAGTACTTCGGGATGGCGCTCTGCATATCGCTTGGCAGGCAGTTTCGGCCTGAGTTTAGATTGCGCCTTCGTGGACGGTTGAGCGTGTCGTTCGTCGCTAGCTTTCTGGAGGTTGAGCCCAATCTGCTCCATGGCGTAGGCGTTCATCTCGTCCGTTAGCTTGTCCATGTCGACCTTCCATCTGTCTGTCATGGCCTTTGGTAGTTCGGCCTTGTATTTCTGGCTACCCCCCTCGTTAGCGAGCTTCGCCACTCCGGGTTTCTTCAGTTTCCGAAGCTCTGGTTTGTCCACATCCATGTTTTCAGCCGGCAGGGCCGACGGGGTTCCAGATCCGATAACATTAGCGAGAGACTGCAGTTTCTTGAAAGGTCTCGAAGTAATCTGTTTTATCTTGCGCTCCACGAAGAGCGTAGGTGCAGAGCGCTTCTTAGTGACGCCGCCATGGGTCCGGCTAGAGTAAGGAGCGGCCGCAAGCACTATGTCCTTTCTCGACATATGGAATCGTCGCGGCGAGGAAGCCACACTAGCGGCCTTAGGACCCAAATCACCTACATCGGGGCTGGGCGCATTGTCTTTGGTGCTACTGCTGTTGGTGCGCGTATCGCGTGCTCCTGTGGCCTGGGACCCTGAGGCTTTGGTACGAGTGTGCGGCTCAGAGGTATGGATGATGGGCCTCTGGGATTGGGGGGGTTCGCTGTGGGAGCTGTTGGGTTTCTCTTCTTGTCGTCGATACACGAATGCCTCGCTTCGGTGCCGCTTATTCTCCTGGACGCCTAGACAGGGGTCAGATGCTGACTGCGTCGCAGCGTAGGTGCTGGTCCGGCAACTCACGGAGGAACGAGACTGGCGCCTCCTCGGTAGCCTTCCGCTTCACGCGAATGAGCTGCGGCGGCACCGACATGGCGATGGCTTGATTTTTAAGGGAGAATAGTCGATGCTGAGGATTTGTTCGGATGTGTCAGCTTGGAGGTCGCGAAGGTGAGAGAGGTCTCTACCGGACGGGTCGCCGGATATGGGAGTCGCCGTGAATTCGATGTGCCCGTTTGTTTGTGTCACCAACTTCGCCGGCTCGGGAATGAATGGACAATGGATGAAACGGTGCGCTAGCATTAGGTACTGAGTGTTACGTAGGTAGGTACCTAGGTAGTAGTAAGGGGCGAGGGTCCTTACCGCCCGGCAGAATGGCTGAGGGTGGCTCCTATTCGCTCATATGATGTTATTGATAGGCAAGAAATATACGGAATATGGAATTATCCGCCTGAAGAATCCGTATTTGATGGATTTGGGTTAGGTACTTAACCTTAGCGGTGCCCGCCTCTTTTAAGTAAGTACCTCCTACGGATTTTACACGTACCCAAGTACCTTGAACACCTCAGGCATTCCATACCTCCCGCTTATGCACGCAGGCTCAAAGATGTACCCAAGTACCCAGTCAAGGCCTTTATCGCCGTGCATATCCAGCTGGATCTTTTGCTCCGTTAACCTCCACCCCTCCCCTCTCCCCTCCATATCTTCTCGCCCACCAAGCCCACCCTCCCTTCAGCTTCTCAACGCGAACTAGGACTCATTGTCACACCTTTCCCCGTCATATTGTGGTAATACGCAGTCTTACCTATAAGCTTGGCTTGGGAATTCGTCATCACATCGCACCAAGTCCCTCCATCGACCCCCTTACCTTGCCTTGCCTTGCCTTGCCTTCCGCTTACCTCCTCGCTCTCAACATCGCGCCCAGACCGAGTCGAGCAATGAGACTGGAGCCCGCCTCCATCTCCTCCATGCTTCCTCCATCGTGATCCATCTTTAACCTTTTGACCATTGGCATAACGCCACACGATGAATCCACATCTGCAGCTTTTGGCGAGCTGTAACCTACCCAAGGTACCTACAACCTACAGGTCCCGCGTTGGGTCCCACGTCTGACGCTACCTTAGATGGCCGTCAATTCGTGAGCGTTGTCTACAGAATGGACCTAGGTAAACGTCGATATCTCGGGCCTGCTTGAGACTGCTTTGGCACTGGCCCGGATAGGCAAGCAGTCGTGCTAGCTATGAGAAGCTAGACCTAGGTAAAGCAAGGCCCGGTGACTTGCAGCAGTAGGGCCTGCCATCAAGGATGGCGAGCCAGTATGGGATGCTATCTTCAACCGCTCGAGCCAATGAGCGCCCTAGAGTTGTCAAGGTCCTTACTCGACACACCAGGTCTCGATATAAGCCAGTAGGAGTGGCATCGGCTCGCCGGTATTTTCGCCCAGTGGTGACAACCAATCGACCCATATTGGCGTAAAACATGCGTTAGGACCACGCAGCCCAACAAACACATATACCGTACTTGACCGCTCTCCCATTGGTATTATTTTCTTCCGAGTTTCTCGGTTAGTCGTCGTTCTTATTTTCCCCTTCCCTTCAACGGCTCCCGTCTTGCCCAACTTCTCCCAATCCGGATCTTACAGCGCAGCAACTATCACCAACCGGTAAGCTCGTCGATATTTTTTAAACCTCAACCATGACCCTGTTAGTCCCTCTGTGTCCGACCTGAGTTGGGATGCCTCTTAGCTGTGCTGGAGCAAATTGTATATCAACTTCCATGCACAATGCTGCCGTGTTTGACTGGCATTCGTTATACTGTCTCCTGACCAGCTCACTACGACGATACACTAATCTCAAAGCAACCAAGCAGATACAGCACTGGACAATCTCACGAGTCGCCCCGATTTGTATCGTCCAACTGCTCGGCCCCTTCGCCGTTCGCCATCCCAATCCTCGAGTTCCTACCTAGGTATTCGTGATAAAAGATAAATTGGTATCTAGTTCGTTCAGCATGGCTCAGCGAAGGGTCGCGGTGACCTTCACCTATCAGAAGAAGGACGTCAACCCCCCCATCTATGTGGCTGGGTCATTCTCAGACCCGCCATGGCATCCCCATGAGATGGATTTCACCGTGGACCAGCACGGCGAACATTTCTTCACCAAGCAGGTCATGGTTGAGAATGGTGCCGAGATCCAGTACAAATTCCGAATAGGACCAACCGATTGGTGGGTCATAAACGAAGTCGCTGAAACCAGTCAGTCTCCTTCCCCCTTTGAACCCCTCCTCTGGTTATGGCTATGGCCTTGCCAGAATCTTGTATAGTGCCGTACGCTAACGACGTATTTACAAAGTTACCGACCACCAAGGCAATGTGAATAACTTCCTAAAGGCCCCGATCGAAACACCAGAAGAATCCGCCTTGAAGGAACTAGACGCTCATGCCCGCGAGCCAGAGCAGACCACCATCGACAACGGCGCACAGGCTGCGGATATCGCGAAGTCAGCTGCTGAGGCTGCTGACTCGGCAACCGTCCTAGACCTCGATCCCCCTAAGCCGGAGTTGTCAGATGAGGCGGAGAAGGCGAACATCCGCCGCTTGTCTGTTACCCCTGACGACCAACCCACTAATGTGGCGAAGGACGTTGCTGTTACTCCCGCCGTAGATGATTCAGACTCGGGGTCGACCTCGAGTGAGGAAGCTACTGGTGACGGCGACTCATGCCCCGTATTCTCACACGAATCTATGGGACCACCAACACACGAGGAGGAGCTATTTAGCAATAGTGACTCCAATAATGACGGCTCGGAAAGTCGGAGTGATACGCAGCAGGGCGACTCGGCCATTGACGCTGATAGTGTAGACTTCGACGACCCCCAACTGGAAGTCTTCCCGTCGTCCAATCGTGACTCAATTCTTGCTGCTGTGCGGCGGATTTCAACCAGCGTAGATGCCGATCGCACAGTTGTCGAAGGCATCACGCCATCATCTCTCGCCGGCGCCTCACAACAGCAAACGAAGACAAATCCAGCTGAGGCGTCCAACGCAGAGTCTACCCAGGCAGATGCTCACTCAGGGGATGAACAAGATAGCCAACTGGACAAGTCCACATACTTGTCTAGTTCGATTGATTCCAATTCCAGATCGGCTTCGGTGAGCTCATTAGGACTCATTGCGGAGGATGACAGCGAGTCTCTTAGTGGCACTACAGTTGACGAGACTGACAAAGGAACGATCCCGTTTGTCCAGCATTCTGGGCCAGTTATGAAATGGGACTCAACATTCGAAGACACTACTCGCGAGGAGGATGAGGGTATCGCCATGGACTACGAATCCAAGCGAGCATCGCGGGAATTCCAATACAAGACTGGAACGCAGGTCTTGGAACCGACCGTATTGTCTGAAGACAGTGCGTCGATGGTCGCGGAGTCAAACCCTGAGGAAACCAAGTCAGTACCAGCAGATAAGCCGAGTGATAAAGCTCTCGGTGACGGCCATCCAGCTTCGGCCGAAAAAGAGAGCCCTAAGGATACTCTACTTACTCCTGAGCCCCACACCCTGGGATCCCACAAGAGTGGTGACCCCAACCTAAGCATTTCGGACGAAAGCCAGACACGATCGGCCTCCATTAATCCCAGCAGTCCACCAAGCCTCCGAAAGCGAACAGTCGATAAACCCAACACGCCCTCCCCCGCGCATCATGCGCGTGGTGCTAGCAAATACCCTAGCTGGCTCGAGGCTTGCCTCCAGGTTGCCTTTGTGAGATGGCTTGGGGTCTTCGCATCGTGGCTATACAGCCGCAGGCACAGGGCGTAAGCAACCCTCCCTTCCTTGGCGTCGAATATCAGGTGTGTGCCATAAATAAGGCGTACTGACTAGAGTATAGGTTGATGGTGACAGGCACGGCCGTCATTGTTGTTGGTGTTGGTCTCTTGTGGCAGAAGCCTGTCCACTTGTGATTAGTCTTTCCGCGCTACGAGCGCATGAGGTCGCCTGCTGGTGCGCGAGGGCGACAGTGCGACGCGAGGCTGACACATGCTATCCGGGGCGAACTAGCTAGCTTCGATCGCTCTCTTATACCTAGAGAATATAGTTATTAATGTTGTATCTGACAAGAGCTCGGGTTGTTTGTTGGTGGTCGGACCGATGGACGGCTTGCCGAATGCGGGAAGGGAAGGGTAACATCGGGGTAGCGTTGAGGCGCTTGGCCAATGTGCTTTGCTCAGATCACCAACAACGAAACGAGGTGTACTGATCCCCCGTTTCATTTCTCTCACGAATCTCAAAACAGGATCCAGGCTAGGGCACAAAACCAAATTTGTGATGGGGTAGGAAGAATTTGTCTAGGGGGGTCGGATGGTCCATATTCCCTCGACATTAGGATGCTGTCAAAAAAGAATAATCGCGCAGCTATTGTTATCGCCTCGTAACCTACCCGGATCTGGCATGAACCAACGACACACCCCATTGTGGAATTACTTACTAACCGTTATACGTCAAGAATGCATTGAGATAGACGACACTAATTAGAGTAATTTATTTCGAGTTTTCCGTTCATGGATGCGGGAGCTTGGGTTAATAGAGACGTCAGGGGGGGGGGGGGACCAGAAATGGGATTAATCAGATGCTTCCCCTTAACCACCCTAATTCCACGTTCGATATGTAAGATGTAACGCCGTTTATTTTTGAGTGTCAGCCTCGTTCCTACATAGGTACAAAGAGGCCGACCTCGTAGCCCAACGGGAGGTTGGAGCATCCACCAAAAAACGCCAATCGATTAGGTGCCTACCTAAATGGGTACCTTTGTACGCACTCGGGGCTCTCACGGAGTCGGATATCGCCAACCTTGGAGACGAATACCCTGTCTATAGTAAGGAGTCGAGCCGGACCAAAGACGGTGATGTCGACGGTAATGAAATGTAGATTCTGCGGGGGAGCCTCAGCTGCCGAGCCTGATGCTCTACATAGTAAATGATACTTGCGTTATTAACCTCGGTCTCTTCAAAAGTAACGTGGTATCTATATATGTAGGCACATGCCTCTAATCGAAGGTGTTGGACACCGGAAAGGCGGAATATCACGGTGACCTCGTCGACAATTCCGGTGGGGGCTGTAGCGGAGCGTAGCTAGGCTGGATGCCTAATTACTTTAGGTAGGTAGTTATCCGGTAGGTAATAAATTGGTACGCCCCTATTCGAGGTAACCTACATAGTGTAATTCTTTACGATACAAAATGAGTTCGACTTCGCCTCCTAGGTCGCTAGCACCAAACAGTGACGCCCTCCTCTTCCTCGGTGGCCTCCGTTTTTCTCAGTCACCCAATCTACCGGAGATAATATTATCACCGTCCTCCTCCTCCTACTCTGCCAGTGAAGGGGTTTGGAACGAATCTGCTTCGGTGTCAGCATCGGCCGCCTTACGACCTAGGTACATTAAGAGGGAATGGTGGTCTAATTGGCTAAGGCGGCAAGGACAAGGAGTTTAAAACGATGTTCAAATAGCTCCGAGCACCGAATCGAATCGCGAGTTATATAGTATATCCATTAAAACATGATCTGGCTAATCCCCTGAATCTTCACTGTCACCGTCAGTCTCGCTACGCTGATGGTGCCGCGCAAGCTGAGAAAGTGGTTGGTGAGGCTAAGCTAACGTACGCCTCCACCGGCCATCCCTTCACGGACCGGATCTTTTTGTATGGGTTTACGTACCTACCAACGAACGTTTTTCCTAGATTAAAACTAGAAGACTAAGGAGAATGTGAAACTAGATTATATAAAACCCCTGAAAATATACATATTGAAATGTACAATTAGAAAAGAAATAAGAAATAAGTTAATAATTAGAGAATTATATAAGATATTAGTTTTTTCCTATTGGCGTTTAACAGATTTTACACACAATTTGTTAGTGAATTTGATAACTACAGCATTTCGACAATTTTTCGTCACCCAGCTGGTGCAGGACAGGAAGAAATAATACATGATACATCTTTTTAGTTATTTCAGTATGGAACTCAGGAATCAATTTGCGGCTGTCCGAGTGAAAGCAGTTTTGAGCAGTAGTGTAAACGAGCGAAACAGTCTTGTTCACAATGGTGCCTAGCCTGCTACGACAATCTCTGATGTCATTACCTTGATATATCTAGCTAGAGTCCGGCATGGCGTGTCTTTGTTCAATAGCTAGAGTATGCTAAAGCTTTCTCATCTTCGGCGGGTAACAGCTATGGATAATCCATACCAGGGTATCGAGGATAAGTCGTCTATCATTCGGCTCTATCTGTTTGATTCTACCAAACGTATCATGATACATAAGTTCGATACTCTTAGGGGTATTACGTCTTTTCTCGTGTCATCATCTAGCATTCAACTGGGATCCCATGAATTATATCTGGAGACTGGCATAGAGAAACACTCCGCCACAAGCCACTCTCACCTCGTGTAGAAGTGTAGAAGAGTGAAATCATGTTGATATCATTTCAAGCCCGATTTGCGTGGACAATGAAAAAGACCTACGTCACTCGGATCGACCTCAATTGATCTCTATTAGCTCACCTCCTTTAAAGACGCCTCTACACATAAACTCATTTAAGGGTTGTGACATGATGAGGATGTAGAGGTTGCCCTACTGTCTTTGGAGTTCCTTCATTATACGAAGACGATCTAAGGGTAGGTGCTTGCTTAGCGCGCTTATCACAATATACAGCTAGTAGTTGCTGAGGAGCTCATAGATCTAACAAGCCTTTAATAGTAGATGGATCGTCACCCTGGTTACGACGCATCCGAAGGCTGAGAACCAATGATAGTAAGGGCTCCTCACATTCGACGATTTGCCCGACGACGCGCATAAGGAGATGCTCAATTATGTGTGGCGCCATATAACCCAGATATAACTAGGCAACCCGGAGGTATTGTCCAGCGAAGCTTTAAGGTTCTCGCGAATATTTAATAAATGGATGATGATAGTCTTAGCCGTGAGTCGACATTAACACAGATTCCTGTTAAGCGCGAAGTCCTGGATGAATTACGCACGAACCGTCTTCCCTGCACCCACTGTGACGATCAACAAGTCAGCCGCTACGACATTCTGGGCATAATGGAAGTAGACGTACGCATTCCTAAGCGCCATAGTTTGTGGATTTATGGGACCATTACGAAAGTCATGAGACTCTAGTAGCCATTTTCCAACATTATTCTCACTCTCAGCGCACTCGGGATGGCCAAAGGTGAACAGCTGGTTTTGGATGCGTTCGTGAGTGTGATCGAATCTCAAAGGCGAAAGCCACCTCATGGTACAGGGGCTAAGTCTATTAAATATAGAGGCTCGGCTTTGCATGAAGGTATTTTGTTAGCTATTGCCATTGCGAACTCAGGCATCGCCAATTGTTGTTGAGTTCTAAATTGTGAGTGCGGGTTTATATGTTTATTCGTTGACAGTAGCCCAGGACTGCCTGTAATAAGTCTGTCACCCATAGACGGCCTCGAAGTAGCCATCCTTCGATTACGGGGCAGCGGAGTAACGATGATCTGGGCTTGATATTGTAAACAGTCCAAATATCCCTGAGCACGGAACTGGGACTAGGAGGCAGGAGTAGGATTTAAAGAAACAACGGTAAGCTGGGGGATTCATTGAGGAGTACTAGAGATAATATCTATCAGAAAGATGGAGCAGATTACGAGTGGATAATGAGCCGTTAGTCACTGGCCGCTATTGGCGTGGGTTCCCCCCCATCGCTTTTGTTGAGTACGCGCCTCATTCTAATTCTGCTGAAAAGAGAAAACCGGCTATTAGACATGGTGTGGGGAATGTGGCGTACTACATATAGACAGGATTAGGATGCGTGGCATGGGACTACAACACCCCAACTCCTATATTAAATTATGCTTAAACCTTTTGGCATAACATCCAATGCCGTTAGCACCGACGGCCTCTTCAACAGAGCTTCGACTACATTTAGGTCCGTCGCTTTATTAGAAAGAATTTCCAGATTCAACCGCCTTAGGTTAGCCCTCCCAAACCACGATTCCTACGATGGGAGGGAGGTTGTTTATATCTACGAAGGTCTATAATTGGACCGAGCGGAAGCTCCGAAGCCCGATATCGACCTTTAGAGGGGCATCTCTCCAACCTATAATGGGTAAGTAGACGCCAGTTGGTCAATCGGGGGATCACATACTCCTTTCCTTGATGAACATCTTATAACCTAACGTACCTAACATACCCCTTTGCTACACCTCCTCTTTTGCTTACGTACACAGGCACTTAACTAAATGATAGTAATAACAAAATCATCAATAGTTCTATGCATCCGTACAGAAAACTTCTCTCTATACCCAAACTCCCCTCTGCAAATACACATCGCACGAAGAGGTGGAGTTAACTTACTTATACACAATCTTAGTTTACACTAAAATCTATGATCTTGCCCACTCTCACTTTATTTCCATCCCTTTCCTCCGTTGGCTTCGCGACTCACCCCGCCCCCCCCCTCTCGCTCAACCTCACAGCTTCCATCCCGCCCTTCCATCACCGCAGGTCACAGCCGAAGCAAACGCTGGCCGAAGCCCGGGAAAACCAGGCGACCTCGCCTTACCAGGCACTGGGACCGAACGTTTGGCCGGGAGGCAGCACGACCTGAACGGCCTTGTCCTGGAAGTCGAGGGTGGAGGCGACGACATCATTGCCCCACCAGCGGGGGGGTTCGATGTTATTGAGGGTAAAGACGAGGAAGACTACGAGAGTGCCGAGCGCGAGGCCCAGGTCGAGCCCAGCCGACGTCAGGTAGTTGAGGCGGCTCCACCAACGCGGGTGGCGCGTCCGGATGCGGTGCTGGAACAGATACCCGACCAAAGCCCACGACAGGTAGTTGAGCGGCGTCGCCGGCGGCACTGCGCCGGCCCCGCCAAACACCAGTGGCGCCATCAGGTAACGCGCCGGTGACCGCGGCCATCTCCGCGCCGCGAGCCAGAATGCCACCGGCGCTGCGGCTCCCAGCACAAAAAATACTAGCAGTCCCGAGTACACGCTCCCCGGCGAGAAGACACGCGCCGGTCCGATGAGCCCCCAAATAACGGACGCTATACGCAAGCCGAGGGCAACATTTGACGAGTTAGCATTGGTTCTTCTTTGCGGCGGAGAGAGGGCAATCGTCAGTTAGACCACATACCCGAGAAAAAAGCCCGACCTCCGGGACACGTGAAGCGTTGCGGCTGTGTCAAATCACAGACTCCCTCGATGTTCTTTAGCGCGAAGTTGAGGACGACGACCTGGATGACGCATGATAACGTCGTAGAGACGACCTGTGCCATAAACATGGTTCTTGGGGGTATCTTCATATAGTGGCCAAACTTTAGATCAGAGACGAAGCTGAGAGCTTGTGACCTAGGAAAGACCAATCAGATGCGATACGCCAACGTTGGCACGGTAGAAGACCTACATCGTAATGTAGCCGTATGTCTTGAAACTACGGAGAGTTCGGTCAGCCGTGAACAATTACCACGTCAGAAAAGTCTGGCAACGTACAGCATAAGGCCGAGAGGTCGGCCGGGTTGGATGTATCCGTAGACAAACTCAGTCAATACGTTAAGCCCAACTTGGTGATTGGTGACCGCTTGAATTATTCCGATAGGCAACGAGAATACGAAGGCGATGCTCACGGCCAACAAGAACCCCCACCAGGATAGGTTGGTCGGGTATCCGAGGACGGTGACGAAGCCAAGTCCTAGAACCTATGGGATCGTTCAGCGATGCAGTTAACGAAATATCATGGGCACAATAAGGTCACAAACGATTGCGAACAGGGATAGATACCACCACGATGGTGCCTCCTTGTACTTTTGCATGAGCTTCATATGTACTGGATAATGTAATGTTAGTCGCCATCATTCGCCGCACACACAGAGCAGGAGGGCACCTCTCAAGAGAAGAGGGGCGATGTGGGCTCTAGAACAAGAGTAATACATACTATCGGGTTTCTCATTTGTGCTATTCCTGTATTGAGCCCAGATCGTTTTACGATGATGTATGTAAGTGTGAACCAACAAGGCGGTGATGGCTGCAAACGACATTCCGTAAGATACGGCAAAGGTAGTGCTGCGCTTCGTAAGCTTCATTTGCAGCGTAAGATTAATAGTATGTCAAACCTGATGAAAAGCGGCGAATACGCCTTGTACCCTTCTACATCCAACATCTTGTCCTCTGTCAAAACTCGCGATATGTCATAGTGTGCACCGGTGTTATCATACGTCACAGTATCTGTCATAGGCAAGAACTGAGCGTACCACGCGCCAGAGTAGTGAAGGATAAAGGTAATGGCAATATAAAATATTACAACACCGATTGCCGTATTCGCGATGGCATGCCTGGAAGCTTGTTAATCGAAAGACTGGAGGATGAAACCCGTACGGACCAAAAGAAAAGCAGAGGGGACAGACCATGGCGGGATCAGGGGTGACCCAACGTAACCGGCGATCTGCGTCCAGTCAAAGGTAATGGGTAGCACCGACAAGCCGGTGACGCCCCCAAATATTTGGTTTACCATAGCGTTCTTAGGAGCAATCCAGGTTGCGAAGGCGAATACGCTCAAAAATTGTGCGAAAAAGCCCGGGATGAAGTAGTATAAGGTCGAACCAAGCGTCACGAGGCCAAACCATCTATATCTCGGCATGCGCCCACCGATCATGGCCGGTTCTGGTGGCTGGTGTTCCTCGTACATTGCGTTCATCAGGGTGACAGCGACGAGATTGCCAGGCCAGATCATCGAGGCCGGATAAACTGCAAAACTGTCAGATCACCAAATGGGATGGGTTTGCTTGCAGTGATAGCTCACCTAGGAACTTCCTCATCGTGCCCGCTATCCCGTAGCCAAGGGACTGGGTCGATATAACCAATATGATTTGAAATAACATGCCGAAATTTTGCTTATAAAATACGAGTTGTGCGAGGATGATATCGGTGGCGTAGGCCACGGAGAACGACACGCTCGCCATGACCATGATTATGGAGTGCTCCTTAATGTTGAATGGCCCCGGGTTGAGGTCGCATCGGTAGCCGAAGATGTTGATCCGTCGGTGCGGCATCCACCTCTCCCATCCGCGGCCCAGCGGCCACGCGATAATCTGGGCCGTGAGGGCCCCAAGACTAATGGAGGGCTGTCTCAGAGAAAACAGAGTATTCATCGACGCGCCGACAAGGACTAGGCTTAATCCTATCGTCCAGGCTCGGATGGTGCTGCATGGGAGGTCTTCGTCGAAATTGCGAACTGCTGCTCGTACTTCGTCGTACGGAGAGTCCTCCTCCTCGCTGTGCTTCGAGGCTGATTCGTCGTCGAAAGATTCCAGGCTTCCAGAGCCCATCCGACGCAACTCTATTGGTTCTTGGCCGAGTGCGTTCTGGTCCAACAGATATTCGTGTTCTTCGACATCTTCATAGTCGCTGTCGTTCGGGGCGGTAGACCCGGCCCATTTCGAAGGGTAGCGCTTTGAACCATCGGAAGAGCCATTTCGAGGGCTGGCAAGAGGTTGTTGTTCGTACGATCTTCTCGCCCTGTATGTCACCCTCGTCGCGCCTGTGTCGGGATCCGCCCCATAATCCGCGATGCGGTGATCATTCACTCTCCTCCCTCCAAGGGCCGTGCTAGACAACTTCGAAGTGTTTCCCTCCATACCGGGGGTAAGACATAAGAAGCGGTCGCTGAGCCGGACAATTGGAGAGCGATGGGAGGGGTTTGCGCTATGCGGGATTGTCCTACATCCAAGTGAAGGCTCGAAGCGGCGCGTCTATATCAGATACGGGCAGTTTGGTAGGCTAGTCCGATTCTCTAAGTCTCGGGACATGCACAGAGCAGATTTACAAGCTTAGAAACATGGAAGTTCTAGCTGCCTGCGGTGGGGGGCCTCTTGAAGTTCCCCAAAATGTATGAAGCCCACGGATCTTCCGTGAGTGAAGGAGCAGGTTGTGAGCCACGAATTCGCCGTGCTTAGGAAAGCATTGTTCCCTAACCTAGGGAGGAGGATGCTAAGACTCACAAAACAGAACGAATTGAATTATCTACCTCTAATTGGTGGCGATTTCCAAGTATTCACGATATAAATGAGAGATGTGAGAGGAAGGCAGGCCTATCGCGATGTGCTGGCAGACAGGTGTTGAAAGGACCGCCGCAAGAATCGACCAACCCCCCTTTTCCGAATCTCGACACAGCTCCCGCTTGTCTGCAATTAGGAGGCCCTGCTTCTGAACTTGGGTATATAGACTCGTAATTTCCCTCAGAATCTTGCTGTTAGAGGAGCCAATGCTTTATTCCGAAGTCGCTGGCGTTGGTATTTCTCGGTAACGTATTCAAGAAGAAGAAGGCGATATTGAGGGGGCTTCACGATTGTGAGATTGAAGGAAGCCTTAGCTAAGATTAAGGTACAAGCCTATCTGGCCTGAGGGTGATATTACGTAATACTACAGCTCCACAAACCCGGCTAGCTTCATGCTGGGTTCTTACTGTGCACCACGTGATGTAACCCAGCCAATTTGGAATACAGGTACCTCGACCCATCCTCTAATAATTTTCATCAATGCATGCATCCGCTCCATTTTGTGTTCAACTCTTTTTCACAACCAATTTCTCGCGATTCTTGCTGAATAGATCAATGACAGCTTAACGCACTTTCAACAGACCTACAGATCGTCTTCTACCCGGTTCATGTGATCTGCGCTATGGCAAAATATGCGTCGAGTTGTCGTTACGGGCCTCGGCGCCGTCACACCCCTTGGCGTTGGTGTTCGACACGTGTGGAATAGATTGGTTACTGGCCAGTCCGGTATTGTAAGCGTCGCCGGCTTGCAGTCGCATCCGCGATGGCCTCACCTTACGAGCACTGTCGCTGGCCTCGTTCCAAAATCAGGTAGCCAGCATGATTGGCGACCAGATGACTGGCCGTCCATCGACCAGCGACGGATGTCCGAGTTTACTCAGTATGCGATCGCTGCAGCGGATATGGCTCTCGAGGACGCTGCGTGGAAACCGCGCAAGCCGGTAGAATTCGAGGAGACCGGGGTCTGCCTAGGCAGCGGGATTGGAAATTTAGCCCACATCTACGATACGAGCCTCTCATACGAAGAAAATGTGAGGCCCTTTCTCGCGAGAGTGATTTCGATCAGCTAAACCTTCGCGGCAGGGATCCAAAAGGCTGTCCCCGTACTTCGTGCCGAAGATCCTCATCAACCTAGCTGCGGGACATATTGCCATGGCGTACGGTTTCCAAGGTCCCAACCACGCCGTGAGTACGGCTTGCACGACGGGAGCTCATTCCATCGGAGATGCTTCTCGGTTTATCGCTTTTGGAGATGCCGACGTCATGGTCGCCGGCGGCACCGAATCATGCATTCACCCTCTGACATTTGCGGGATTCGGGAAGTCTCGCTCCTTATCCACCGCTTTCAATGACGATCCGCCGTCCAGCTGTCGCCCTTTTGACCGTCGGCGTGACGGGTTCGTCGTCTCTGAAGGTGCTGCTGTCGTCATTTTAGAAGAGCTAGAGCACGCCAAAGCCAGGGGCGCTCATATATACGCCGAGTTAAAGGGGTACGGCACCAGTGGTGATGCCCATCACCCGACGGCCCCCCGCAAAGATGGCCATGGGCCGTATCTCGCTATGCGAAAGGCTCTGAAGAATGCTGGCATAAAGCCCCGCCAAGTTGATTATATCAACGCTCATGCGACCGGCACACTTATTGGAGATGCTGCAGAGGCACACGCGATTCGTTTACTAATGGTGGGAGAAGAGGGTTACGCGAGCGAAGAACATGTTGCCTTGAGTAGCACCAAGGGGTCGACCGGACATCTTCTTGGCGCTGCCGGAGCCATTGAAGCCGTGTTTTCAATATTGGCGATCACAACGGTAAGGTTTTACGTATTAGGTAGTTTAAGGCCGGACACCAAAGATGCAGAACTAACGCTCCCGGTAGAACACGCTTCCCCCGACGCTGAACCTCCAAGAACCTGATATAGTGCCCCGGTTTAATCTCGTACCTCTCGAGGCCCAGAAAAAAAAAGTCAATATAACGCTGTCGAACAGCTTTGGGTTCGGGGGCACCAACGCCACATTAGTGTTCGCTCGCCTTAATCAATAGCCCTAAAAGACAACCTTACGCAAATACTTCGGCTTTCACACACCTCCATGTAGCATTCATTGCATTATATTCTACGCGTTCAGTAAGGGAACGAGCATCATCCAATATTGGACAGCGGCTGCGTGAAAAGCGAATCGGCTTTGTCCCTAGATTGCCTGGTATGCGTCTATATAGATATATGCAACTATGGAAGTGCTAGTAGCTAAGGAGAGCTATATATATAGCCGATTTAGCTGGCTGGACCTGGACCGTAATTGTAGGTGCGCCGATCATGCTAGAGCCAACCGACGTGTTTGTGTTGTCTCTTACCTCATGAGGTGACATCACATAGGAAAGGGTACGAGGGTACGAGGTACTTACCAGGTTGCTTATATGTACAGTAGTACCAATCAAAGGTGGGGGTCTAACCCCTGCTACAGATCTCCGGTATTAAGCCAGGGTCTCGTCCTAGCCCTTTTTTTTTACCACTCCTAAAATTTCTAACACGGCATATCAATGACGACGTGAAAGAGCGACAACGTCTTGATATCCCAGGCTATCCCAATTATTCAATGCCGATAACCACGACGTCTACTTACTTCCATCCTTACCATTCGATACCACGGTAGCAGATGGCGTGCAGCAATTGCAGACGGCAGCTTGCGCTGCTGGTAAGAGAAACCAGTGCCCTACTAGAGTTCCGAAATACTGTCGCTACGGCACAGTCGCAGTTCACCCGTCCTCTCGTCGCCATCGATCACTCTAGATCCAGTCATGATCAGCAGTTGCGACAGAGGAGGGGGTTCGCCAGCACACCCGGTAGACCTGCGTTAAACCTCTCGCAGTCGATTCGCGAAGGCGTCGGCAGCGTGTTCAGGAAGACGGCCGAGCCGTACCGCGTTGTGCAGGCTACCGAGACAATATACAAGGCGTGCAGCCGCGAAGCGCTGTACACCATCTCTATCGCGGACAGGAAGGCCGGTACGATACCAAAGACGACAGAGGGTGAGGATATAGGTGAAGGGAAAACGATGTGGCATCAAGGTACAATCTTCTTTGCGATCTTGGCGCCTACCTGTGTCTACGCTGCTTGCTAATCGTACACAACTTCGGCCGGCCTCTAGATTTCAAACTCCCCCCAACCTTTAGCACGTGGTCACAAATCACAATGCTGCACATGTACCTCGTCTTCGCCAGACTACGGAATCTCGAGCGAGAAACAGCGCGGTCGTGGCAGCGACAGTTGGTGGACCATTACTTCTTCGACGCAGAGGAGAAGATGGACCTATTGCACGGAATCAACTCACGCGCTCTGCGGCACCGATACCTGAAGGACCTGTTCGTCCAGTGGCGCGGCGTGATCGCAGCCTATGACGAAGGCGTCACCAGGGGAGACCCCACGCTCGCAAGTGCCGTGTGGCGCAACGTATACAAGGGTCGCGACGATGTTGACCTACGTGCCCTCGCTGCTATCGTCAGCTGGATGCGTCTATGCCTCAAGATGCTGGACCAGATCCCCGACGAGGCCCTATACTACCGGGCTGAGGCCGTCTTTAAGTGGCCCGCTAAGAATGAGCTCCTGCTGGTAGATAAGCCGACACGGGAACTCGAGGTAGAGCTCGCAAATAAATCTTCGCCGCCGGCACAGAAAGTCACTGCGTAAGAGGTTGGTATGTATACGTTGTCATTGTTGGGTACGCGACGATAAAGGAAGAGATTTTGTTGATATGGGAGTTATACCGGCTTACATGGATATATCTAATAATACCCTTGGGGCCTTGTGCACGATCACGGCTTATGCCATGCTTCACATCCTGAACTTGACTTCACCAAGCCTCAGGCGTCCACTTGGGGAAGGAAGAAGGGGCCCACGTGTATAATATATACCCAATGCAAATGGATCCTCTCTACCTGGTCTAGTTAGATCTACGAAATGCTATGAGTGAAAGGAGTAGTCTTACATACCTAGAACTAAACACGGACTGAATCAATCGGTCTTCTCCCACATCTGGAACTCATACCGCGTCTCGCCCTCCTCTTGCACCCCCTCGGGCACGGCCTCTCCGGTCCACGCGTCGAGCTCTTCCTTGGACCTGCGCACCCATCCGCTGCCGCCACCGTCGGCCAGCGCCAGCGGGAAGGAGACGTCGCATTCGTATTCAGGTTCGAGGACACGCGTCAGCAGCACGCGCCGCGCGCCCGGGAGTCGCAGGGCGGCAGCGTAGATCTGCGCGCCGCCGATGACGAAGACTCTCCTAGGCGATGGCGGAGCGTGCGCGCTTATGCCGTGGTCGTCTGAGGGAACGGTCAGATAGTCGAGGGCATTCTCGAGGGAAGCCACGAAGACGGGACCTTCTGGCCCTTCCGGCGGGGGCGAGGAGGTGGAGGCGGAGCGGCTGACGACGAGATTGAGGCGGCCCCGTAACGGGCGGAAGCGCGGCGGGATGCTATCCCAGGTTTTGCGGCCCATGACGACGACATTTAGGGGAGGGGCTGCAGCACTTCTGGCGCTATCGCTGGCGGCAGGGCGCTTGGTCACGCGCGCGAAGTAAGCCATCTCCTTCCGCAGATCGGTCCACGGCAAGCCGCCGCGGCGCCCAATTCCCATGCTGCGCGTCGCGGCGACGATGAGGGTCAGCTCAGGGGCTGGCGGCATGGCAGGCGGTAGGGCGGACATTTATTTCTCTGTGGGCCGTCTGTTTCTTCCCTTCTCTCTCTTTTAGAGGTGTTCCAACGGTCGAGCGAGCTAGCTCTACCACAGGAGACGAGACGGTAGGTACCTAGTTGGAATGAGGCCGGGCTGAATGGATGTTCGGTTGCGTGTTCTTATTTGGATTGTCTTCTTTTTCTTTAAAAAGTCGGGAGAATTCGAAGACTAGATCAGGTGCAAGTCGAGTTCGCGTTATTGTGATAGGGGAGTTGAAAAGGGAGAAGTTGTTCTACGTTGGCTCATAGATTGGAAGTTGTTAGTAGCCCACTGATTGCGATGAGTCGATATGTGTACAGCATCACTTTCTATCCCCATGCATGCCCATATATAGAGGAGATACAGATGTTATATAGCCGTGGAAATATTGCATTATTTCGTAGGTATTATATGTAAATAGTCCAATTTTCTTTTCTACCGGAATAATGCCTTCTAGGACTCTCCGTATTGAGCGTCCTCATGGGCTTGACTCGATACATTAGGAAGCGGATAGCAATTCAGTGGAGAAAAAAGGCAACCCATTGCTATCCCGAAAGCCAGAAAAAAAAGGACCGTAACCTTGTCTCCTTGCAAAAACAATCTACACATATACCTACCTACCTACCTACTCTATCGCCCTCATGTTTTTTTTTTCGCTAAGTATCATCGCCGTCATCACGTTATTATATCATTTCCCCCCTTCAAGTACCACAGGTAGCTAGTCACTCACTACCTCGTATCCATAGCCACCACTTAAGCCACCGCCGTAGCAACCCTTCCCCTATCCACCCCCCTCCTCTTCTCCTCCTCCTCATCCATTCTCCGCCTCTCCTCCCGCTTCATCGCTTCCTGGATTCGCACACGCTCTGGAGTCAGCCTCTCGCGGGGCATCGTGATCTTCCAGCCCCGCAGCGCCTCGATCCCGTCGCCGGGCCCCGTTGCCGCCATCATCGTCTTCCTCTCGACGAGACTGTGCTCCGCCGGGTCCACGCGGTTGAACCGGAACGGCTCACGTAGCGCTACTGGCGGGTTCGTGATGATGCGCACGGCGCGCCGCGTATTGCGCCCCGCCGAGTGCACCATTAGGGGATGCAGCAGGTACACGTCGCCTACACGGCCCGTCGCCTCGACAAACCCCTCCCCATCCCCCTCAGTGCATGCCCTCACTACCTCCCTGTACCACGCGAGGCTACTCTCGCGCGCGAACTCGGCCCCCTCCGCCCGCGTCGCCATCCGCGGCGACACACCCTCTGGGTGTGCGCGCAGATGGCGCGCCACGGCGTCGAGCGCCGACGGGCACAACACCGTCGCACCGCCGCCACGCGGCAGCACGTCCGAGAACAGCGGGATCACCAGGAGTGCCTGCTCAGGACTGTCGAGGTAGTGCACGAAGAAGTCGCCGTCGACGTGCCAGTTGTCGAGATCGCGGTGGTGCGGCGGCTCCGGCTCTCCATTCCTCTCTTCGCCTTCCTCTTCATCCCTCTCCTCTCCCTGCTCTGGGAAAGGCGGCCCTAGATTGACGATGAACGAGTCGCGCCACTGCCGCGAGGCCGGGTCGAGCCGGTCTTCTCCACCACACAGCTCGCAGATGGCGGCCCAAGCCCGCGGCGCGAAAGTCGCGCAGTCGAAGGTCCGGTGCGACGGCATGTGCACGCGCTCGCGCGTCCAGGTCCGCCGGTCCGTCGCCGACATACCGAGCCGCGTCCACACGTCCGCCGTTGCGTCAGCGGCCTGCGCCCGGGTGAAGCACCCCTGTAGTTTCAAGTACCCGCGCTCTAGAAAGAAGTCCCTCTGTGCCTGCGTCAGAGGCGCCGCCGCAGGTAGTGCTGGCTCCATAGCTTCGCTCTTGGGAACATCAATCGAAGGGAAGCGGCAGAGGCGGGTCTGATGAGTAGGCGGGCAGAAGATGCAATTAGGTAGGTATGCCCACGGGGAGTGATATGTGGCCGGTAGGGATCAAGATTGACCAGCCGTAGTCAGTGAGGATTACAGGCAGATGTATAAATACGTCTATAGTATAGATATAGACCAGCTAGTAGCCGCGCTTTAAACCCCGAATGTGCAGACAATTTTACAAAAAGGAGGCTGGTCAAGAAGATGCCCTCGTCCTCGTGCGAACAGAAAAAGTAGGTCTGTCTGGTCCTATGCTCGGGAAGCCCAATTTAAGTAGTCTGCCTCAGCTGTGGTGCCACGAATAGAAGGGCGATCGGCACCGGGGCCTTGGACATAGCATAAAGCCCGTATCTATTCGCATCGATGCGGACCCCCCCCTCTTCTTCTGCTTGGGGTAGACGGACAGCCAAAAGCGCGGGGGATTTGGCGTATCGAGCTGCGAGCCGGCCCCGTTCATCAAATGGAGGGATGCGGTTTCGGAGGCCCCGGGTTGGCTCACTCGCTCGCGGCTGGCAGGCTGGTTGCTCGACGGTATCGAGTCGATGTATTTTAATCAGAGGCGATTCGAGACTAAATGATCCACACGGAATGCGAGCGTTCATCGGAATTTCTCTATCAGCAAGGCATATGTATTGTTTCAGGTGGTAGAATCTAGTGTATTTCTGTTATATAAAATTTCAGGCGATTCTTCCACCGGCCATTTCCGTGATTGGCTTCTTCTGTCTATAGGTTTCTAGTTTGCGCGTAGGCCGACGACCATCAAAATCTCACGACATGCCATGGGTGAAGGGGTTCTTGATCAGAATGCCTTATAACGTCACGACGCCGCAGCTCGGAGGTCGCTCAGCTGGTCGACGTAGTAAGCGGGCACGGCTACGGCGTTCTCGGTCTCCCAGTGCTCCTTCTTGCTCACGCCGGTCAGCACGGCTAGTGTCCCACCTAGCTTGCCCTCGACACCGAACTGGATGTCGGTATTGAGTCGATCGCCAACCATGCAAGTACGTCCACGGTCTAGCTGGAACTTGCCCTCAATGGCGTCCATCATAGCTTGGCTAGGCTTGCCTAGCGCCAACGGCGTCTGTCCCGTCATGTTGATAATGGGGATGGAGATGGACCCGGCGCCGGGGAAGAAAGTGCGGTTCATGGGCAGGGTGCTATCGGTGTTGGTGGCGAGAAACTTGGCGCCCCGACGGATGTATTGGAAGGCCGTTGACAGCTTGAGATAGTTGATGTGGAAGTCAAGTCCAGCCAGGACGACGCCGACGTCCGGATCCAACAGCGAGCCGTCAGCGAGCCCCTCGAAATCAGCTGGCGTTATGTCGCGACGCATGGCCGGGTCCGTGCCGCCGATGAAGGGAATGCCCTCTTCGCGCAGCTCGGATTCGATGCCACTCTCCCCAATGACGAAGACCTTGTTCTTAGGCGGGGGCAGCTTCATGATCCGCGAGATGTAGATTGCGGCCGAGTAGGCGGAGGCGAAGATCTCCTCCACATTGCTCGGGATTCCCATGGCCGTCAGCTTCTTCTGGTAATCGGCCCGGGATTTTGTAGAGTTATTCGTAACGAATACCAGCCGTTTGCCTGAGAATTTTAGTTTCGGTGTCTCTCTCCTGTCTATTTGCGAATGCGCCCGCGATTATACGCGCATCAATTCAGCCTACCTCTAGATCTCAGCAGCTCGAGGGTCTCGACGATACCCTCAAACAGGTAGTCCCCAGACCACAAGACTCCTACGCGCGCATTCAGTCCTCCAGGACCTCCCAAAAATGAGCCGAGGGGGTCTAACCATCGCAATCGAGCAAAAACACCTATGAAGCATTCGGTGAGATTTGGGCTACTATGATGATGAGCCGGGTCAAAACGTTGGGAAATGACGCACGTCGAACTTATCGAGGAACTCGCTGATGGCGGCAGAGTCGCCGGTCAGGTACTTGGGCAATTCCGGCATCTTTGAACCCTCGCGTCCAGGTCTGCCCGGATCTACTCGTCGCCGGCGCTGTGGTTGTAGTTGCGGGTTAGCCTGGGCAGCGAAGCGATGGGAGGGGAGCTGGGCAAGGAAGCAGGCTTTAGCTCGGCGAACGTGGATGGGGGTTAGCTGGGGCAGGTTTCTCAGGGGGTGTGGTAGTAGTAGTAGTGTTGGTTAACGCCCGTGGGGACTGCCTTTTAGCATCTCGCAGTTCCGCAGCGCGCTTTTTGCGCAATTCAAGCTGTATCCTCTCTCCTCCCTTTGAGGGCAATTCCTAGCGCGGTTTTAAGCTGTGTATCCCCCCTCCCAGCGTAGTTCACCCTGGATCCTCCCCTCTCCCTGCGAAGGCGGTTCTGGTTTTTCGGTAGTAGTTGATGGTATAGTTTTTAAAGGACGTACCAGACCAAAAGTAAAGAAAAAATATACTTATAAACTTTAGAAAACATCCATACGGATAAGGCGGGGGGGGATGAACAAAATAAATAGACACTTGAAAGGAAAATCAAGAAAATAACGGAAAGCTGAGGGTAAGCCGTCATTGCGCACCCCGAACGTTAAGTAGGTACCTACATTCAATTCCGGTACGCAGGCCATCCACTTCCCTCTAGGCTGTAGGTAAACGTCCCTTATCTTAACCCACAGAAGTCAATGCTTCCATAATGACGGTTCCTAACCAAATACACCACCAACTAATTAGGCACCTCGGTATGCATCTACATGATGCATGTATGCCGCTAGAGTGGTGCTCTCCACTTCTCACTCTTAATACTACTTACCTATAGTAATAGAGTATATTAATCCCCGCATGAGGCATGGGCAACCGGTAAGTTAGATTGACAAGCATGGCCGCACTCGTGGCTGTCAAACGGCGTCTGCCAGTTTCCTCTCGGTTGTGCCACGCTACGACTTGGTTAGCTGACAGGAATTCAAACGTGCCCACCGCCAGACCTAGCGGGAGCACCCATTTCCATGCCCTGCCACTGCTACATAGGTAATGTAGTATGGCCTGGCTGCCCACGGCCATCCCACGTAGCATGTTTAAGAATAAACCCTGAAAAGCGCGCCCATACCGGCCACCTACCTATCTAACACCAAAGCTTACGCCGTACAGAGTCACTCTGTAGGCATTGACTACATATCAAGTACCTACATAGGCATCAACAGAACAAGATGGACCCAACGACCCAGAAAGCTTACCAAAATGGATTAACCTTTTCTTTTTAAGTCAGATTATCTCCTCCCGAACGAACAACACAATTCTCCCACTCTCTATATTTGATCCGAGGGAAAGCCCTTAATTCTTAAAAGTTTTGGGCAAAATAGGTCCCACCAACACAGTGGTAAATTGTGTGGGTAGTACCGGCCCTACTTATGAGCACTCGGGGTCTTGGGTCCAGCCACCGACACGCGGATTACATAACGATTGGACGGTAATCTGAGTTCTTTCTCCACCTGAGATCATCTTGATTATGGATATTCGCTCCCTCCCTCTCCCGATCCCGTCCAATCGGCACCGTAAAATCAATCACAGATAGCAACCACCGGCGCCCAGGCCGACGGCAGTAAGCGGGGGTCACAGTAGCGACCGATTGTAGGCGGTACGGACGCCTACTATATTTACGGTAGAGTATGCGAGATGCATGCATATACGTTAAGCAGGAACGTGTAACCAGCATAGTACGGCATACGTATTATACATTAGGTAGGTATATGTCACTGGTGGAATGAGGGCGAACTCGCCCCTCCATGTGATGTGCCTGCTTCATACTGCGTAGTACATATACTATACGCTAAAGTGCGAGTACCTACATGACGTACATAGGTACCTAATATGGTTAGGCAGACGCGCGCGTAATTTACCTACAGGCCTTTCCTTGTCCCGCCTGTATGGCCCATACCCGGATTGGTAAGTGCCTACGTCAATTCCCTCTACCAGCTGGTCGCAGCCGCCCAGCCAGCTATCTACCCCTCCATTAGTGTACTAACACTTCCCTCAAGCTACTCACCATATATTTTCAAACCGAAAGAAGAAAAAGAAGAAAAAGGAAAAAGACAAAGAGAAATGAAGAGAACGAGAGCGAGAGAGGAAACGACGCTTCGTACCCTAGCAAAGCTCTATCTCCCCCCACGTTCTTCCACACCCTACATTCACCTCCACCACGCAACTCGTCCACCAATCCATCCATCCATCACCCATCGAGATTGATCCATTACTCACTGCTCAGTTTTGGCCCTCTATTCACTCTTTCCAAGGGGCCACAGACCATCGTATGCCAGGACTGCCACACGATCCCTTCCTGTCAGGCCGTCGATCGCCCGGACCCTGGGAAACCCTAGCAAGTGCGAGAAGATCTCGTCACTACTAGCGGCCCGCCTCCACTACGTACGCTACGTGCGCTACATAGTAGTATCGTCGCCGAGACGCCTTAGAAGAAACCATCACGACGCCTCGTCTGTGTCCCTCGTCCGTATCCCTCCTTTTGACGACACAATCATACCCTGAGCACCTCGGGGTATTTCCATGTGCTCTATCTGTATCTGTGGAAAAGAGCCAAGGCTGGCAGGGTGGTAGACCAGTCGGGAAAATCACTCGAACTGTCGCCTCACCCCCCCCCCCCCCCCCTTAACCCCCCTTCCCATCCCATCCCAGCCCTACATCTATTTGTCTTGCCTTACAATCTCTTATTATTACATATTTGCCTACCCTCTACCCTACCCTACCTTACTCTGCTCTCCCCTATCTTCCTTGAGCTAACCCCCCCACTATCGTCCTCTGTAAACAACTTGCCACACCACCCCACGACCACCTCAGTCTGACAATCATCTTATTAGCCCAGTCATCTCATCAAGCCGCACTCCCCTTACTTAACAACCAAATACCTCCCACCTGATCTCCTTGTTCCTTCGTCCGTTCGTTTCTGGTCACTCCTTTCTAACACAACCACATCTGCTACTCGCCATGCCGGGAAAGCAGCCGAATCTTTTCGTCTTTAACGACGTCCAAGCTCTCGCGCCCGCCCTGCGCTCCTACATAATCACATGCCAACATGCCGGCCTCACCCGCCATGGCGTCTTCAAGGTTGCCGTCTCCGGCGGCTCCCTGCCCAAGAATCTCGCGAACGCGCTCCTCGCCAATCCAAGATCTCCGGAGGATGTGATCCAATTCGGCAAGTGGGAGATATTCTTCGCCGATGAGAGAGCTGTGCCCTTAGACGACCCGGATAGCAACTACGGCCAGATCAAGAAGGAGATATTAGATCACATCCCCCCCGAATTCGGCCAGCCTATTGTGCACCCTATCGACACTCAATACCTGGATGACACTCAAGAACTCGCCGACCAGTACGAAAAGGCTCTCGTCAACTCCTTTGCCAAGGGCGACTCCGTCAAGCTACCCATATTCGACCTACTTCTCCTCGGTACCGGTCCGGACGGTCATACCTGCAGTCTGTTCCCCGGCCATCCGCTCCTTCGCGAGACCGACGCCTGGGTGGCACCCATCGAGGACTCGCCCAAGCCGCCGTCCCGGCGCATCACGCTGACCCTCCCCGTCATCACACATTCGGTCAGGGTCGCGTTCGTCGCCACGGACGGCGCAAAGCGGGAGATTTTGAAGGAGATCTTCGAGAGAGGCAACGGCCTACCGTGCGCGCTCGTCAACGAAGCGACGGGCGAGAGATGCAGTTGGTTCACTAGTGCTGCCGCTGTCGAAGGCATCAGTTTCCCTCGGCGAGGATTCCTGTAAGGGCGAGTCGTGGTCGCATAGAGGTCGAACAGCGTCCCGGTGATGCGGCTAGACTCTTCGGTGTGGGGAAAGAAGGATAGAGAAAACGAGAGAAGATCCACAAGCTAATTACTGAGTGGATCTCGCACAACAAATTCTGATGGCATGTCATTCAACCCAGAGGAGGTCGATAAAATCGCATCAATGCGCGTAGGGCGCGCGTGGCTAATGCATCACCGTACACACGCGCACGCGCGCATATGTGTGCATACGGTGTGCTGTGGCCTCTGAAGTAGGAATCGGATATCGGATACGAATTCTCCTTTTTAGACAAATACCTAACATACCCCCTTCCCCGGACCCATTCACAAAAAGCTGGTCTTCTGGAACAAGAATGTGGAACTAATCCACGCTTTAGACAGGCTCATATCTCTTTCCCAAATCACCTTCATTCATATGAGTTCTTCCTCAATACCGGGCTTGACCCAAGTTTGGCGTGTACAGGTACTATTCTCGGGCCTTTCTCCTAGCTTCTATCCTGTTAGGTCTAGCATTTCCTAGCTATCTAGGTAGTTACGCAGGCTTCAGGTACGGTATTTTACAAGTGCAAGAATAAAAAAAAAGGTGCAATAATAACCTAACCAGACATAGAGTGATGTTGTGAAGCGAGCTTCGAAATCCATACCTAGGTATCTATGAAATTTCCTCGTGTGATGTCGGTCCTTTTGGGCCCTATTTCAATCCCCGATTGAGACCAATGTAGTTAGTAGACGGACAGGGTCCCGTCTTCTCACGATATAAATGTGCCCAGCCCCTTTGGTCCTTGAGATTAAGACGACTACGGGTAGACACATATGCAAGAAGACACGTATTGATGCCCTGCCTAGCCCAAGGGAATTTTGCTCCGAGCCAACACACCCCCTATCTATGTAGGTACCTACATCCTGAAAAGCGGTGCCGATATGACGGAATCAGGGCGGCTAATGCCGCCAACATCCGCCTCTAGCTCCCCTTTTCTTTCTACAAGTGGCATATTGTATTGCGCAATCTATCGGGTTGCCTTGTATAAGAAGTATGGATTGGGTATATAGCGACTATGCGTATTGACAATCTCTCTTCGACCATGTAGCATGCAATCTCGCGCGTGGTATATTTAGGTATAGGTAGGTATACGAAAAATTAGTAGGTAGGTAGGCACCTAGTTATCAACCAAATGTCGTGTCATTCCCCAACGCGCTCCTATCTTGCCCTCGTGGTGCCGCAGTAGCTGCGCTCGCCTTTGTCAGAACATGTAGCGTGGTTGCTTCACGTACGAGGTAGCTCTGATGGAGAGCGCATCTCACGTACGCGTGAGAGGCGCGCAAATAAGTTGGGTGTTGTCGCGTCGGCCGTAGCGTTGGTGTTTCTGCCCTTTACGGCCTTACTTACGAAGGCAGGCATCTGTTTAGGTAGGTATATCCGACCCGGCGCGGTGAGTCAACCCCCCCCCCCCCCCCCCACTAGCCTTCCTCCTCTTCTCTTCGCCCGTCTTCGAGCCTCTTCTCGCGGATGAACAGGGCGGCGACTAGTGCGGCGGCAGCTAGGATTGCGACGGGGACGAACGCGCAGCGCACGGCGCGGCTGTAGCAAGCGCGGACTACGGCAGCGACGGGAGGGTCGAGCTCTCGGATCGCATCGAGGCTGCGGCGGACGCGGCGCTCGATCTCGCGGGCGCGGTCGCCGCCGCCGAGCGCCGGCGCAGCCGCCTCCAGCCCCGCGCGCAGCGCCTGCTGCAGCACCGCTGTCGACGTGCTGATGCCTAGCGACGTCCCGAGCGACCGGAACAGGTACGAGCACGCGATCGCGATCGCCTTGTCATCTTCGGCCGCGTTGGCGATGATGGCGATCAGGGTACTAGTTATGACTGCGGGGGTCGGGGGGAAAGGCGCGCGTTAGCGAGGTTGCCCTTGGGTACTTGTTCATGAGGGTGATGATGGAGGGGAGAACGTACATATGCCCGAACCGAGCGACAGGATGGAAATCCCAACGACGACTCCGGCGGTGGAATCCGCGACGGCGCCGGTGAAGGCGAGGAGCACCGGGACGCTGAGGACGAGGAGGGCGTAGCTGAAGAGAGTGAGGGCGTAGTACTTGCCGGTGCGGCGGATGACGAAGCCGGCGCCGAGGGAGCCGGTGAGGCCGGCGGCGGTGCTTGGGATGAACACGAGGCCAGCACGGGCGGCGGAAAGGCCGGCAGCAGCCTGGAAGTAGAGCGCGATGAAAAACAGCACGCCCATCTGCGCGGCAACACCTAGCAGGTTCGCCGCGTACGCGGCGAATAGCGGGCCGTCAAGCACGATGCGCGCTGGTGCGAAGGGCGCCCATGCCCACCGCGCCTCCACCAGCGCAAACGCTGCGAACAGCGCTGGAGACGCTGCCAGCGGGCCCACCGTCGCCCACCGCGACCACCCCAAGTTGCTCCCGCCGTCGAGCCCGACGAGCAGCGCCGCCACGGCTGCCACGAGGATTGCGGCGCCGAGGAAGTCGACTTGGCATAGCTTCGTCAACCAGGCAATGTCGCCGTCGTCACCATCAGTAGAAGACGGGGCCGGCGGGCTCAGTGTTAGATAGACGGCGACCCAGGCAGCGGCGGCCAAGGGGCACTGGGCGAGGAAGGCCCAGCGCCAGCCGGGGCCGTCAGCGAGGACCCCGCCAAGCGGAGCACCAACGGCGACGCCGGCGGCGAAGATGACGTTGATGTAGCCCTGCCAAAGGGCGCGGTCGCGGAGGGGGACGAGGTCGGTGACGAGAATGGAGACGACGGCGTTCATGCCACCACCGCCGGCGCCGGCGACAGCCCGGGCGGTGCACAACTGGGCAATGTCCCGTGCGAGGCCGCAACCGAGGCATCCGATGCCGAAGACGGCGTACGCGAACATCAGGGAGGCGCGCCGGCCAAAGGTGTCGCTGAGCCGGCCGTACAGCGGTTGTAGCGCCGTTAGCGTTAGGAAGTACGAGGTTGAGATCCACCCCGTGCTGTTGAGCGCCGCGAGGTCGCTGCCGATCTTACCGTACGTCGCGATCGTGAGCGTCTGGTCCATGGCCACGAGAAAGATCTACCGCCCGGGTTCTGTGGTTAACGTGGGGGAGGTGAGGAAGGGGGGGGGGTTGTAGAGTGGCGGCGCCGCGACTTACGCCAATGGCCAGGGCAGGTAGCAGGGCGGCTAGGTTGACCTTGAGCAGCGGAGGCTTGCCGTTGTCGCCGTCTCCAGCCATAGCAGCCGCAGCATCGATGTCGTCGACCGAGCCAGCTTCCACATCTACCTCACCGTCGTCGGGAACCGCCAGGCCGCGGCCGCGGCCCGCACCGTCCTTCACCGGGGCGTTAAACGTGCCATTGGATGGCGGTAAGCTCTTATCCAGCGAGTCACTGCCTACAGACGCCCCCGGTCCGAGCAGGGGCGTTGTCTCCGTGGATGGCGGTGGCCCCTCGTCGATCTTCCCCGAGGAAGAGGGCGGAGAAGAGGCCGGCATCAGGAGAGGAGAAGGGGGGTGTGGGGTCTGAGAGCACTGCGTGCGCACTCGAAAGAGGAGCAGGTTAGTGGGTAGGAAATGGGCTTCTCGTCTCTACCCCTGGTCACGATGGAGAGAAGGGACGGACGAGGAGGAATAGATAGGAAGCACAGATTTGTGGCTAAAAATCGGACCCCAAGCTCAGGAGTCGATCTAAGTTGTACGAATCGTAAGGATATATACACTAAAAAAAAAAAAATTTAAGAGGAACTCTCCCCGAGAATCGGGCGGATTCGATGCAATGACAAACCAGTGAATATTCACTCCCCCTGAACGCTGTCAGATTCACCCGACTCTTCTCCGCAGTTGGCTAGGAGGAGGCACCGCTGCAACGGATATGTATGCGTGTGAGAGAGACGGTCGGTACACTCTGATTGCATTCGCTGCAAACGACTGGGGAAGAGGAATGATACGCCTACATGCCTCCTGGTATATGATATGGTGGCATGCCTTTCTTATCTCCCTATTTCTCTCTGTGGGTAATCTACGCCCATGTCGTTAATCCTCTAGGTAAGCCTACGATATCTGCTCTGAGTGGTCCCTTCTCTCGTTCTAGACCCCTTCTCCCTCCTCCCCATGCCGCCACCTACCTACATGATCACACAATCAGCGCCACGGATTCGGTTATCGTCCCCGTCGATTGAGCGAACTGACAGCAAGCTAGTGGAGCATACATAAGTGAGAGAGCGAAGAAGCGGTCCGCGCCCTTCTTCTCCATCGCGCACTTCTCCCCTCCCTTACATACATGGGGTCCCTGCCCTGCTTGCTTACGCACCGCTTGAGGGGGTCCTGCGACAGGGCGCGCACGTCTATGTGTGTAGGTAGGTATGTATAACACACGTATGCTAGGTACGTCAAGGTAGCAACGAAACCAACAAGAGTAAATCGATAGATGGAGCCAAGACGAAAGCCATCAGATTCTATGCCTGTCGACGAGGGTGTGAATCATCGAAGGGGAAAACAGTAGAAAGAGGAGGCCAGAATGCGTATACCTATATAAACGTATATATAAACATATGTATGTATGTATGTATGTATGTATGTATGTATGTGTGCTAGCGTTGCAGTTGTAGGTACCTATAAAGCATACCTATGTGCCTTAGAGGTATTGATATTTCGAAGATGCGCAATGCTACATAGCTGCGAATAACGATAGGCTGGAGGGGTGTCGTCGTGCCTCTCCTGCTCCTGCTCCTAAGTACGGGGCGCGGTGGCACTATGTTAGGTAGATACCTAAGGTAGGTAGTGTGCACGGCAAGCCGAGAGAGGATGCTGGTACATAGACACTCTTGTGTCTCGTGGACGGCATTCTTGATAATAACGACAACCACTTCTGGTATTCGGCACAATAACGCAGATTAGCACATCTTGCATTCGCGTAAATACGCCTGGGTATAGAATAGCCGCGCGCAAGCGGCCCGGCCGACGGCACTCCGAGGTGGGTAGTAGCCGTGGCGCAGGCATGTTGGAATGCCAGCGGTGAAAGTTGCGTGCAGGTTGGTCGGGTTAGGTGTAAGTCGAGAGAGAGAAAGAGAGAGGTCTGGGGGGTTTTTTTTTGGCATGTTCCTTCGCGGGGCGGGACGAACCCAGGGGGATGGAATTCATGTTGCATCGCCTGTATGTGTTGCTATGTCCATGTAAAGTATGCCTATAATTAGGCGACGTAGTAGTCTTGTTGGCAGCGAATCCTAGGGATCTGTTTCTTGTTAGAGAGGGGGTTGGAAACGCGGGAAGCTTGGGGTGGGGGAGGAGGGGGAAACGCGTGCTGGTTTCCTTCTGGTCTTATTTCTTGTCACTCTACGCGCCGACGATACCAACGACATACAGAGGAAGAGAATAGATATCTCCTGTAGACAGGTGTATGCTGTGCATCATTTTACCATGTCCGAGGATAGGTGCTCAAGGTGTTGGTAAATTAGGTACCTGCCTACATCATGTACTTCCATGATACATGACACGATCTCTCACCTTACTCAGGTAGGTATTCATACCTCGCGTGCGTGGGAAGAGAGGCCAAAAACACGCCACAGAGATAAAACCTTATACAGCTGTGTGTGTGTGGTGTGAATTACAATATTAATCAAATAACCCTAATCCCTACCTGAACCTAGTCGTACGATTCAATCCCCATCCTCGATCTCCCCTCTCTCCCCCTAGGATCCTTCGTTGTTTGTAGCCAAGTTATCCCACAACTATTCCCGCGTCTATTCTTATACATGCCCACATCAAACAGGTAAACAGGTAGATACCTACCGAGGTAAACTGGCTACGAACATACACAACTTGTGTGTATAGTACATAGCGGATGCGTTGGAACGACATAGAAGCTTGATCCAACCCTCCCCCCCCCCCCCCCCCCCCAAAATAGCTTCTCCCGTCCGATCGTTTCCTCGGCTCGCCACTCCGCGCAACAGGACATGCCGTAGGGTCGCAGTCGACTACGTGCATAGCTTCGTTCCCGACGGATCTACCTGCTATGCAAGGTAGCAGCACACATGCGTGGCAGAGCTCAAACTTCCGGGGAACTGGTTGTTATTGATCAGGCGCATTTGTTCTGTGTGCACGTATATTACCTACCGACGTATGTGGGCACACCGTCGAGCGTGTGTATCTGGATATTCTACCTATGTGTGTACATGTGTAATACGTGCAGTACATGCGCACGTACCTAATGCAGCCACACGCTTCTGATACCTACGACTCTACGAGACACCTTCTCGTACACGTCTTTCGTGCCAGCTCTCCGTCACACGCGCATCACCACTATGTCCGTGTAAGAGAGAGAACCCCCTCCCCGGATCACGCAGACTGAATTTGCGCGGATCGACCGTCACATCGTCGCGGGCCCGTTACGCAATGGCGACGTGATTCCCCCACTCTCTCGCCCCTCCTGCATCATCATCATCGCCGTCGCACGGGGTTTTTTCATTACTTTACTTTTTCTTTTTCTCAGGTAACGCGCGTTGAGGTCGAGGAGGAGGGAGGGCAAGGTGGCCGCCCCGGATTCTCGGGTTCTAGTTCTGGTGCCACACGTTGAACAAGCTAACCCGCCCGAATTAGGTGGGTACTCTAATGAGGCAGGTACGTGTACATGTAGGTACCTGAGGTAGGCAATTCGATGCTTTAAAGAATTGCACCGCCTAAGATAATAGAGGCCTACGACTATCGACGTAATGTGGGTAGGGTAACACCATCACCCCCCAGTTCGTGCTTTCGCGGCGCCGGGAGTTCGGCACGCAGCAGAGTGAGTCCGGCAGGGCGAGGGTGCGAGATCCCGAAGGCGTGTTCTGTAGATGGTGTAGATGATGAAGGGGGCTGAGGTCCGAGGGGGCGGCCAGCTCGGAAAGGACGTTGAGGAGAGCCCGTCGTCGTCAGCTCTGCCGCGTGAAAAGGAAGTGAGGGGAAAAGAAATAAAAAAAAAATAAAAAACCTACCTACAAAAAAAGAAGAAGAAAAAGGAAATGGATGCATAATACGCTTGCTTAAACTACGACTGATCGCGCGTTGCGCGATCCGGTTCTTCCGATATTTGTTCTCTTGGCATCATGTACCCCCGCATAGGCATTCGTTACCCATTGCGAGAGGGTTTGATGATATATATCTACAGACACGCCTGCTTTGCGCAGGTACCTTATAGGTCGCCACCTGTCCAAATGTAAGTCGGGGAATTGAACCCCGTAACCCTGCATTTATTAACCAGCAACCCTCAACACCTGAGGGGGCAGGAGGGTAGGTCCGTCTGTATGTAGGTAGGTCAAGAGGTACCTCCAGGTGATCTCACTATCTGCCTGCCTGCCGACCTGCCTTACCTACGATCGCCTCTGCATACCCTCTATCCCCCTCCTCCGTCTCCCTGACACTCGACAACCCTGGCTCTCAGCTTCGACGCGCTGTGAATCTAGTCCCGCCATCTTACGAGCCTGGCTCTCTTTCGGGGCTAGATGATCTGCGTCCGCACTACGTTAGGTTGCTCCTCGCCCACAGCCCTCTCCCTTAGCATCTTTCCTAGCCGTTGGCGGGAATTTGTAGCTTGGCCGACATGTCGCATTATCGTTACTCATATACTAGTTGGTAATTTTCCTCCCGGCCGTCCCTTTTAATGTACCCAGCACCGCCCCAATCGAGTCCTCGCCTTCGGTATTTCCCTTTCGCATTTTTCTTGTTTTTCCTTCTTCTTCTTCTGGCTACCTCCCCATGCATCGATGGTGCCCGTCGTGCTAGTGACCACCGCGCTTAAAAACCCTCCGAGCGCATGTATGCAGGGCGTCGTTCGTGTCGTCCCAACATACCAGAGGAACCAAGGGCGAAACCGCAAGAACAACGTCGCGCCTTAGTCTCGAGGTCTCGGCATATAGATGCAAGCACCCGTGTGCGCAACTCCGCCTAACCTACCGGTCCCGTTTCTTCTCTCTCTTCTCTCTCTTCTCTCTCTGTTGCAATCATATCATTATTCTCTCATAGGTAGGCATATAGATACTGTGCGTACATCCTTATACAAACAAAACAAGCAAGCATGCATGCTCGTCGGTATGCTTGTTCGAATCGCCGTCGTACCTTGCGCAAACTCATAATACCATACCTATCGACCTCCTTTTTGTGGGGTGTGATCGTGACTCGATGTCGGGACCTGTCGTATTCGTCCTATCTATATATACCTGGGTACCTATACATCCCCAGGCGGGAAGGCGAAGGCGAGAGAGCAGGCGAGAGAGAAAAAGACGGGCGATTGGCAGGTGGATACATCCATCTGGCCCTATCAATTTTAGAGCCAACCACTTCTCCTCTTTGGGGAAGATTCCGTGGCTGAAACACCCGTCCAGGGGTTCAATTTCCACGAGGAGCGGCAGAGAGACCTGGAGGCTTGCTGGTTCCACCCTTGTTCCTATAGAGATGCGAGAGGGATCGCCGCGTTCCATGGCCAGAAATACGTACCCGGCCCTCGCCAGGCCTCCCACCAGGAACAAGTCCCCAGATCCCTAAGCTGGCTGTTCCCGACCCAAGTCCCCTTCCTCGACAGTGCTTCTTGTTTTGCCGAGAAGACCTGGAAAAAGAGAGAGAGAGAGAGAGAGGAACCCCCATGCATGCCATCGAGCCGTTCCCTTCTTACTCGCCGACGAAAATCTCGTATGGATCCTTCGCATATGGTACCTGCATCAGGCATGTTGTCATTCCTAGGTTAGGCGAAACTGTCGCGTAGGATCAGGGCAAGGATACTGCGCTTATATAGGAAGCAAAGCTTGGTGAACCCACCCCCATGCGACGGGATATCACTTATTACATCTGCACCCTGGGTTGCCTTCCCCAGTCTCTTCTTCTTCGATCTCATCGGACGAAATCTAACAGACACCATGAACAACCTCACCCTCGCCCTTCTGGTATGACAGCATTTGTCGTTTCGTCTTCCTCGCCCTCTTCCTCTCGTGAAACCACACCTCTCCAAACGCGTCCGATAACGTGGTATTGTGATGGACCGCTCCACGCTTCAGGCCCCTAAGCCGGGTCGCTCGCGCTTCTCGAAAGCGCTACCTGCCCCTCCACCCGGGTTGGAAGATGATAGACCACCGCCAGCGTCTCGAGATCTCTCATCTCTACCTCGCTCTCCCTTCCCGCCTAGGAAGGATAGCGTCACTGTTAGGACTAGCAACAATAGTATAAGCGCGAGTGTCAAGCCAAATTTGACCGAATCAACTCTACCGGCGCCGCCTCCAAAAAGTATCGTGGAGACCCCTCGCCCACAAATGCAACCGAAGTTGATCCCGAGGAAGCCGGTAGGGCTTCCAACAACACCTACCCCCACGACCGCGCCTAAGCCCAAGCACCTAAAGCGGGTGTCTTCGATATCTAGCATATTGTCAGCATATTCCCACACCTCGTCGGGCTCCGTTCAAAGGTCGTCACAAGACAGTATCTTCACGAAGGACAGTGAACCCGCAAATTCACCTGATCGGCCGGGAGTCGACGACGTCCAACAGTCCATATCCAAGTCTGCTCCATCGCTTCCGAATAACCCTGGCGGATATGAGAAACTTGAAATCTCATTTGAGGTAGGGGCGATCGACCTTCAGCCACCGATTTCGATCAAGGATGTGACTCGCTCGAGCACATCGTCGGGTGACCGACAACAAGGTGCGTCCTCGGGACAGGGGGATGGCGCTCTCGCTCTCAACAGAGATCCTCCGGCACCTACCCCAACAACCTTAGACGATACACCTCAGCGACAGGAAATCTGGCGTCGACGTGCGTCATCCAAAACAGACGGCAGCATCCTCATCCCAGGACTCGTTCTAGAGACTCCCCACACCTCTAACCTGACCTCAACTCCTTCACAGCCCATCAACAAAGACCCGACCCCTTCACAATCCGTCAACACGGACCTCATCCCCCCTCCAGCACCGAAGCGAAGCAACGACAGTCCGGCAATTTTACTTCCAAGAAGCGGTTCGCTTCCGGGAAGAAATATCCGACCAACCCGGCAAGCGGAATCGCAAGGCCAACATGAGACGCGCAAATTCAATCCCGTCCCTGAAGAGCTCACCCAGCCAGGCGAGACACGCAAGGGAGCCGGGATTCCCGGCGAAATCCCAGCAGTGATGGATGAGTACTCGGAATCAAGCCTGCAAACCGACGCCAAGATGAACGTTACGTCACCCGCGAACGGTCAACCTGTTTCGGGGAGAAATTCTAGGGAAGCACCGAAGAATGCCCTCGATACGGTATTGTCGCCTAGCTCGGTTGTATCGTCGTCGTCGTCCGAAGGGAACCCGGTCGTGCTCCGGGCCATTGGAGGCCCCCTACGCAGCCAAGTCGATTTGGGTAGGAAGGGAAGCTCGCCCGATCTAAGAATGCACGGCCGCGGAATCCCGAGTCACCCACGACCATCGCGCAGCAGTTCTTCATTGCGCTCTGTCATGACCCCCTCGCAAGCACAAGAGTCCGCGAGAACCAAGACGATACCACAAGTGAACCCACCCCCCGTGATGTCGGTTTCATCACCACCAGGTTCGAATGAGCCGCCTCAGATGCCCGAGCTGTACAGGATGGTCTCGAGGTTGACCGAACCACTCAGCGATATTAACGAATTCACCGAAATGGTAATCGACGAGCAGACGGAGAAACTCAATGAGGCCGTGGCCCGTTTCCACCGAAATATTAACCGGACTGCGCCAGTAACCGACGTCGTCTGGCAGGCCAAACCTCTGACCATTCAACATTACGAATGCTTTGCACGTCATACCACCTGGCTCCCCGTGAAGAACACCAACTATACACTGTCGTGCCAGACGTGCGGTGCGGAGGATAAAAGTTGGCGTCGGACGTGCGCGTTTTGCAGTCTACGCATCTGCATCAAGTGCCACGAGCAGCTGATGTTAACCCACAACTCCGATCTCAAGGCGTTAATGGGCAACATGCAGACCGATCTACGCGAGAACGAGCGCCGTTGGCAGGAGAAGAAAGCCGAATAAGCGATCCATTCTTCCCCCCATCGTACGCCCAGGGAGTCCCTATGTGTTGTACTTCTGGTTAGCTTCTCCCAGGAGGCGAGAACCCTGGCCTTTTTTTTTTCCCCTTTATTGATTCCCGTGTGATTATTACCCGAGTTATTTTGACAGAGGAAACCCTTGAATGAAAGGGTCCTCGACCGACGGCTAGCAGCCGGATTATTCATTCACATCCCAATTCCCCAAATAGGCGGAGAACTGGGACTTGCAACGTAGGGAGGGAGGCGTTATCATTGATGCCATTTGATGTCGCGGCGAACTTGAACGTGTGTGATGTACATATATCTAGCCAGAGAGGAAGAGACAGAAAAGGGGAGGTTGGAAGGTTAAGGGAAATGAATGGGACACGAGCATGGACGCGGCCCAGGGAAGGGAAAGGGAACGGGAAGTCATACCCAGGCAATTCCTTCCATTGCATAGACGATGCCCGAGCTTGACACAAAACCAATCTACTGCGGCACGTACCTTCTATCTCTACAGTATCGGCGATGGCTTGTCTAGAGGACGCGAGATGTGCCTACTTCATTAGTCGCGAGAAGTGTTTTTGCATGACCCGCGCCGCGCCTTCTCGTCTACTCGTAGTTCATCTCGTTCGGTAGGTACCTTGTTCGTCTTCGATCGTACCTGAGGTACCCTGAGGTTACGTTAGGCACGTACCTGTAGGTAGCTATGTACGTACCTCTGCATAGGCCCGGAGCCGGGATAGCACTGCCGGCTGGCAAGAGCTGATTAGGCCTGCCTGCCAGTTTCTCCCGATTGTTACCCCACTGCACTAGCCCTACTGCGGGCAATAGGTACCTGCCTAGGTAAGGCAAATTGAAGATACTGTAATCGATGTGCCATCTTCCCAAGGTTATGCCTACACACCTCATACATACCCGAATTCACAAATCCGCCCGCGCGAGGTTCCTTATCCCCCTTTCTAGCAGGGAGCAAGGAGGGAAGGAGGATAAAAAGGAGAAACGGAACCGATAGACATTAACCTAGGCACCGTCCGAGATTGGCCACCCGATACATCGGCACCCGACATCATGTCATCATCAAGCGGCCTCGGCCGGACGCGCTCCATGCGAAAGCCCGCTGCCGGGAGCAACGCATCTGGCCAGAGAGACGGGCCCGCGACGACGCGTGGCGAGGCTAGGAACGTCTCGCCGAGCCGACTCCCCACGAAACCCGCCATGACAACGCGGTCGACCGCAGCAGGCACCACCACCATCTCTTCCTCTTCAGCCGCCCCGTCACGCACGAGAACGACCAGCTCCGTCACGGGTCGGCCGCCCTCGGGCATTCTCAGCAAGCCTCCGTCGGCACGTCAAGACCACGCCGGGACTGCGCCCGCGAAACCTCTGGGCCGGGCGCCCTCCGCACGGCAGGTCTCGTCCTCTGCAGCCGCGCCGCCGCCAGCCGCCTCGTTCGCCGCGGCGAGCCGCTCCACGTCTAGCACGGCCTCGAATAGCAGCACGGGTCGGCCGAGGTCGTCCGGCGGCCCGCCTCCGACGGCGGCTAATCGAGATCGCCAGACCGTTCACTCACGTTCTAAATCTACCATAACGAGCCTAACCGCCGCCACGACCCTCCACCCGGCGCCGCAGCAACCGCCCCCCTCCGCTGCCTCATCGGACCCCTCGAGCTCCGGTGCCGCTACCGCTGCTGCCACTACGAGCTCGGGCCCGCGAACGCGCTCTCAGACCCACGCGCGCGCGAGATCTCAATCCGTCACCACACAGGCCACCACCCAACACCAACCCCAACGCCCACTGTACCACCCCCCGGCAGCAGCGGTGGCGACCGCCGCCCTCGCTAACCGGCCCGCCTTCAACACCCATCAGCAGCACTACAGCCCTGCCAAATCGCTCCGGCCGAAGCCGCTAACCTCGACCTTCCTCGCGCCGCCCTCGCCCTCGAAGTTACCTGCCAATGTCGCCCTCTCTGCCGAGACGAGCCGGTTGCAGACGGAGCTCTTGCAGCTCTCGCTCTTACGGCGCGATGCCCCCGCGGTCGATGCCGAGTGGCACGCGAGCGCCCGCGCCACCCTCGGCGCCCGCTTCGCCCGCCTCGCCGCCGACCACGACGCCCTGGTGCGCCGAGAGCGGGACGGCGTCGAGACGAGTAACGCGGCCGCGCTTGCGCGCTGGGGGAACGCTACCACCCCCGACGCCGCCGCCAGCGGGGGGCTCGGGCTCGGGCTCGGGCTCGAGGCCAAGCTGCAGATCCTCGACGAGGTTCTCGACGGCGTGTGGCAGCTCGGCGAGCCCGGCAGCAGGTACCAGCGCGTGGCGCGCCGGTTCGAGGCCTGGGCCGACCGCGCGGCAGACATCGCCGCGGCGCGGCGCGCCGGCGACATCGCGGCCCTCGTCGACGACGGCGACGAGGTACGGTTCCTCGGCGGGCTCGACGCCGCGTGGAAGCAGGATCGCGCCGGGCTCGTCCGCCGGCTCGATGGCTGGCGCGCGTCGCTGCGCGAGCTGGGGCCGCCCGCCGATCTCTCTACTGTCGATGACGGTAACGACGGAGTGGTGGTGGTACCCGGTAAACGCAAAACGGCGAAAAGAGAAGTAGGGAAGGGGGGAGCGGGAGGAGCAGGAGACAAAACGCCGGAGAGCGACGGCGCAGACACGGGCCTCGCGCGCGCGCTGCGCGGCGCGACCGCCCTCGTGGGCGACATGCTCGCCGAGCTCGCCGTCATGGAGGAGATCCAGCGCGAGGCGGCGCGGGCCGAGGACGCTTGGATCGAGAGCATGGACCGGGCGATCGCGGCCGAGGACTACGGCGACGGCGCCGCTGGGGCCGCGGCGGAGTCGACGTACGTGCCGCTGTGGAAGCTGGCGGTATAATGTACCGCTCAACTATTACCGGGGAGGTTGCTTGTGGAGGAATATACTTACGATGCCACGGCGCGGGAGTTGTGACTCGGGTGTGAGAAGACCCCAAGGAGACTCTGGGCTGGATTCAGACAGTGGATCCCGCCACGATCCGTATTCTGTAGTGCTTGCCAGGACGGATACACGTCAGCGTGCGTATGGGTGGACGGATAGATGATCCCGCGCTTCACGGCAAGCTACGGAAATGAGTACACCTATTTAGCTAGCTACCTAGGGAGACAGGCTTTGAGCTTATTCGTCAGAGATCATCGACCTACACCTCCATGATGCTACTTTACCGATAACCAACCAAGTCCATGGTCGATTTTAGCACCGAAAACCCCGAAGTACGGAACCCCCCCCCCCATCTCTCGTGCCATTCAGTAGACGTTATGCAGACCTAATCATGCAACATCCGCCGCTATCGCCAATAATCATCGCCAACGAACATCTACCCACCCAACCAACACACATGCCTGCCTCCACACTCCGTAACAAATCAATATCAATGATAGCTGAGCTCGGGGTTCGCCTTAAAGTTGCAGCGGCAACGGCACTCAGGGACGGGGCACTCGACGTGGCGGCTGAACCACTGGCGTGCGTGGTCGAGGTGCAGAACGTGCTCGCAGCGGAGGCAGAAGGTCGGGAACCGCGCGGCGAGTCGGACTTGTAGATCGGGTGACGCCTCGGGCCGGTCCGAACGCGGCACCCCCACCACCTCGAGGCACACAACGCAGCGCGGTAGGTGCCTCCCGCAGTTTGGGCAGCTGATGCCCGCGCTGATGTTAGTCGCCGTGAGCGGATTCGAGGCCGTCGCCGTTGGCCCTTGACCTCCTTGGCCACCTACACCTACCGCTCCCGCTAGCGAGGATGAGGGACCACCTGCTCTGGTGCCCGTCTTGGAGAGTTCGTACTCGGCGTCGCAGTATACGCAGCGGAGGGCGATCTGGCGCGATGGTGGAGTGATGGTGGGGATACCGGCACGCTTACTCTTTTTGGTGCTCTCGACTTCGAATTTGGTGCGCTGTAGGAAAGCCCGGTGACGCTGAAGGTAGGCCCGATACGCGTTACGCCAGGCGCTGCAGCGGTAGTCGTTAATAAACCGTGGAGAGCAAATAGATAGCACGAGGGTGGCGGTCTGGACGTCGTTGAACTTCTCAATGTACTTGGCGAATATGTCGACAAGATTGTCCGTGATTCCTGTTAGTACTATGCCCTCGATATCGCCCGTCTCGATAGCCTTCTCTTGTTCTTTGTCGAGCCACCGAGTCAGCTTAGCGTCGTCGAAGTATTGGAGCGCTACGAAGGTGCGCTCGCGGAGTGGCAGCGACTCTTGGTTCGCGATGTTCTCCCAGTTATTAGTTGCAATGAGGGACGATATAGCCCGGAGATACGGATCTGTCCTAGAAGCCATCGCATCGTCAAAATCTAGCTGTTCGTGTCCTCTGCTCTTACTTCCAGAACTCTTCAATTGCAATGCCAACGAAACGAACAGAAGTTCTGGATATTCAGTACTGGCATCTTTAAGGGTCTGTACAGCCCTATCGAAGTCACCTCCGAAGAGAGCGCGCGCGGTTACCATAGTATACCAGGATGAGCTCCGCTGAGCAGGTTGTACGTTGGAATCGTTGCTCGGGTACTCTTGGGCTGATCTGCCCCAACCGCAAACCCGTAAGGCAGCTTGCCTGTGTGTTTGTTTTCGTGTCTCAAATCCGCCGTACGCCGGCTGTCTAGATCTCTTGTTTATCTCTTGAAGACAGCGCTCCCACGTGGCAGCATCCGGAGGCTTCGCACCATCTGCCAACCTTGCTGTCTTGCTATACCCTATAGAATATCTCAGCCGCTATCCCCACGGAGAGTTCATCGGTATACAGACCTAGATCGCCTGTCCATATGTTACGAACGCCAACATAACTCAGGTCTATACCATGAGCAATCATCCCGGCATCAGAGGTAGCCACTTCAGCTTCTATTACACCGTTAGTCACCGGATCAAATAAATTAGTAGTGTAATCATGGCACGTACCGGCAATCCACTCCCACATTTCCCTCAACCAAGGGTCGTCGGCTATTATATCCCTATTTGCGAGGTAGTTAAATAAGTATTTTTCCTTCGAGCGAAGGAGCATTGTATGGTCTACGATGACCTGGGCCGTTTTAGGAAACCCCTTTGTGCCTGGCGCTAACGCGAGAAGCCTCTCGTGTAGCTCACGATTCGATGGTAGGCCACTGCCTTTGGTGGACAGGTCAGCGAATGGTCGACTCAATTCTTCCCCTGCGGAATTTTGCCGACCCGTGTCCTCGATATTTTTCGAAGCTTTGATGATCTTCTGGGAGTATTCCCTCAGTCTTCTCAACCTGTCCGCTATTTTTGGAGTGTCGGTTGACAGCTCTGACACCTGTTCGCTACTTGCCTCAAAGTCATAAACCGGATCAACCACAGGCGGAGGCGACCTTAACGCTTCTTGGATCGTGGCATTAACTGACTCCTTACAGGCCCCAAACAGGCGTACGCCCCTGAGCGCCATGTCGATGTTTAGTGGCCCCATCATCTCCGAGTATTGGCCCGCCTCAAACTGCATAATAGTATGGTATTTGCCTCTCCCTTAGGATTGATTAGCATTAGCAATCTATCGCACGGGATTACTAGGCCTACCTTCTAGACCACGATGGGGGGCCTGCCAAGGTATCATCTTGAAAAGGTGCTCTGACGTGTAGGATGGCTTCTCAAGTATGTCGAAGGTTCCATTAGCACGGAGAACTACCACCCGTGGTGTCAAGGCAGGAGAGTCGAGGTTCACCCAGTCAAATGAGACGATCCTATCATCCTTTCGATCTTTCGTATAGGCTATGTCTAGCTCGTACGACTTCCTAACCTCTAGGATCTCAGGACTGTCCTTGGGGTGCACCTCAGGGGGTGTGAACTCTCTTCTCGTATCCAGCACTTTCAGCTGGCCAGTTCTAGAGAGTACGGCTAGCAAGCCGCTACGATCTCGACAAAACCGTAGCGATCGGACCAAGGAACCTCTATCCTGGAAATTAGCGTCCTTGACGTCGATGGCTCTTTCGAGGTTAAGGGCTGCTCCCCAAGGCAAATCATCGGTGTCTACGGCATCGAGATAGAAGCGAGAAGAGGATGGTCGCGAGGTCGCACGCCGATCCCAAATCACCAAGCCCGGCTTATCTAGCGAAGACGAGGCGAAATAGTTCTGGTCTGCATAATCGATGGCCAGATTATTATTACACTTGGTCTGGTAGTTCACCACTGCCCCATGTGGGTCTTTAGAGGCGGTCAGCAAATGTCGCGATGTCTAAAACAAGCAGGCCGGCTACCGGGGATATTGTCTACCTCGAAGATCATAGATACGGATGCCCTGGTTCTTGATACCAGCAACTAACACCTGCGGGCTGTCCTCGAAAAATTTGGTGCTTGATATAGAAATACTAGCTTCGAGACCGATAACGGGGTTCATCGAACCTTCGAGGGGAGACCATGAAGCACCAGGCTCGAGCGCGGCGAGGCGGCTCACATCGAATATCTTGAGACACTGGTCATTGCGCACGCGCTCCAATCCGACAGCCAGCAGCGTGCCCGTGTTGAAGGCTGCCGCCTGGCAAGTTCGGGTTATCCTTATAGGGAGTTCCAAATGAGAGGTCGAATCGCCATAGAGATTTATGAGGTCCACGGTACCACTCGCCGTCCCGATGGCGACGAGGCCAGGATGAGCGGGGGACCAATCGTAGGTGGTTATGGGAGGGATTTCATCGTACTTGTATGATTTTTTAAAATCGAAGCTACCGTTCTGGGCAAGACCGGTCGGCTCGTAGAGTTGAACTACTCGGTGTTGCAAGTTGACATGGAGAAAGGTGTCGTAGGCTGGATTTGAGGACCATTTGATGAGGCCAGGCTCTGGTCTATCCATGTTGGAAGATATGTATTGTGTCATTCATCACGGCGGGCCGAAGCGGGGATTTCGTTACGAGGCGTGAGTAAGGCAGACATAAATCAAGTTACCGTCCTATAATTGATACTGCATATCCCAAACTCGGTTAAGCGTGGTAGACGGGTAAATGGGAGAATACTGGCAGCATATGGAGCTGGGCTTATTGATTTGATTGCGAAGAGAGAGGAACGACGAATGATGGGCCGAGTTCCAAGTGCTCTACGCCGTAGATACGGGCAGACGGGCAGACGAGGTTGTGTAGGCGCAAAGGAAGAAGCTCTGGTCCGACAGTAGAGAAGGTGAAAGTAGAAGTGAGAGCCGCAATATTCAATAAGTACATGTTGCATTGAGAAGTACCCACCTGTATCCGCCTGTGCCTAGTTGCATTGACGGAACTTCAGATCACCTGAAGCACTTCGGGGTAAGGTCTTTCTTTTGGCAGGGCGTACTAAAGCCTACAGTGAAGCTTAGAGATTAGGTATTTCTAAGTATCTGTAGGTACCTTATTGACCTTTAGTAATTTCATACTACCCTCGGTAGGTAATTTATAGGACGCCACTAACGGGTAGCAACTATAACGCGAACCTGTACTATATCTGGTCCTTCTTTAATCCCAGCCCGCTACGCTCATTGATAAAAATGAAGGATATAAATACCAGAAGCGTCGAGAGGCTCAATATGTATGGCTTCAAATTCCGAGAAGTGTCTAGATGTGCCTCTCCATCCTATTCTCCATGTATAGCGCCTAGGTAATTAGCGGGTCCCGGGGGTACCTGACAAGAAAGGAAAGACAGGGCTTCCAGGCACTAATGCCTGTCCTTAGAACGTGGGGTCGGCAACGCTCCCAGTGCCTTGACGAATTTCTGCCAGCTGTGGCCACGCGGCACGACATAGCTAATCCTAGGAAATATTACCTACCTACCTACCTAACTCTAAAGATCTAGGGAAGGAAAAAAGCCATCATTTTCCTTCATCTTTCGCATCAACACACGAACTTGCCCCTGGCTTAGATCCTACCTCTTGCCGAAACATAGACACGCTCACACCAAAATGAGTTCGAAACGGAAATTCTCCGAATTCGAAGGCGACGGCGCCAGGAAAGAGCAGCCAAAGAGTCGCGGGTCCATCCCAGAATACTCTCCGCCCGAAACCCCCCAAAGGAATGGGAAGAAAAGCAAAGCGAAACCGGGAAGCGTAAACTGGATCAAGAAGAGGGCGCGCACAATTGAGAGACGCTTCAAGGCCGGCCAGACTCTACCTGCAAATATCCAGAACGACCTAGAGAGGGAGCTGGCCCACCACCAGCAGAAGCTCTCTGAGATCGCCATGGAAAAGAAGAAAAAGCATATGATCAAGAAGTATCATATGGTCCGCTTCTTTGGTACGTCTATACGGTCCCATGCAAATTTGTAGGTCGAATCTGATGGCGTGCAACAGAACGAAAGAAGGCGGATAGACTCGCGAAACAGATCCAGTCCCAGCTTGAGGCTGCCGAGGACGAGGGAACACGCGAAAAGTTGGGGGTGGATCTACATCGGGCGAAAATAGACAGTCTCTATGCCAGGTTCTTCCCTTACATGGAGCGATACATCAGTCTATACCCGGTGGCGTCGCCAGATCTCGTAGCGCGTGGTGGTGAGAAGTCAGAAGACGCAAGTTCGGCGGCGCAGGCCCTGCACACGGAGAGACCACCATTGTGGCGGGATATAGAAAAGGCGTCAGAAAGTGGCACGCCTGCATTGCTTCGGATCCGGGATCGGAAGTCGGATCGGGGCTCGATAAGCAAGCGTAACAAGGGTGGTGCCCCGAAGCGTGATATACCTGCAAACGGCAACGTCGCAAGCAGCCAGCAAGGGAAGGGCGAGGGCAAAAGCAAGCCCAAGCGTGACGAAGCCTCGAATCTGAGCAACGACAGCGATAGCGAGGGTGGATTCTTCGCCGAGGGGTGAGGAGATGCTTTACGAGAGGCAGAGTTGCACGATACGATACCCAGTTACGAAACCAGAGTATAGAAAGCCACGATATCACTGGTAATTAGACCCCGGGCATGAGAGTCTTCTGCCGAGGTCGGTAGACGGTGGAAAAGGGGTCTGTAAGTTTGGCAGCTCTAAGGCGTGCCCGTTCCTAAAGAAGTGACCAGACAGTAGTTCGCCCCCTGGTGGCTATTCCAATTAACTCTTTACCTACCTATGCTCGAGTAAATCAATGACCACAGGAGAGGACGCAGACACTCAAGGGAGAGGGAAGACTCAGCCTCGCGTGTTGGCTGTACACGTAGCAGTAGTAGTACATACACGTAAGCCAAGGAAAAAGAAAGAATTACCTACGAGCAGACGGGTCTTGCAGGAAGTACAGGTACCCAAGGTCTAGGTAGGAGGTAGGTTGGGCCCAGCGTAACCCACCTCGCACTAAGCAAGGTCCGGTAGGTACCTACGTACACCTGCTGCACTGCTGACCTGTCTTGACGGCCCTCGCCAATGGCAGGTCTCTCACCCACATTCCCCTCTCGCCTACACACGAATCCGCACCCACGCAACGCACGCACACTGCACATACCACACACGCAAGTATACCTATATATACGTGCCTACAAGATAATACCTTCGCTCCTACACAGCCCTGGACCGGAGACAGAGCGCGTGCAGTGGTATTGACCCCTCCTAATGACTCCTCCCCTCTAGACTATACCTACTTTATTCCCCCCTCCCCTCCTCTCTCCCTTCTCTCCGACTTACACATTTGCCTATTTGAAAGCTGGATAGGCAGACACATATACCTATTTGCAACCAGATGAAAGGAGAGAAGCACGGCAACGCCAACAGCAGAAACCGCAACAGCCAGGGGCGTTGACACCATCATGGTGACATTACAGACCTACGAGGCTATCCAAAGCTGGATCCACCAGCAACTGGCCTACGAGGCCACTCACATAGACAACGCCCCTTTGACAGAAGCGCAGCGGAAGCTGCTAGAGAAACTAGAGCTCACCCTGCCACCCACTATGGCTCCCCAACCCGACCCAGTTGTGGGCGATACGAATTGGATCGGCGTTCTTCTAGGTACTTACTTAAAATCCACGCAGCATGCTTGGAGCCCATGCTAATGTCCCGTCGAGAGAGCCGAGTCCCCCGCCTGCGAATACCCAACAGCACGTCTGGCGTCGAGTTCGTAGAGTCCCAAGCTCCCGCCGTGCGCGGGATGCTGAGGTGGCATTGTCACGTCAAGCTTGAGGAGCATGCCATGCCCTTTCCTGGCCCTTCCGGCGGCTTGTTCCCGGACGGCACGCTGCCATCTTTCTCACGCAAGAAAGACGCCAAGCAATACGCCGCGAAATGTGCCGTCGAATGGCTCAAGGAGAAGGGATATATACCTCAGACGAACGCCAACGGCGTGCAGTCCGTTTCGCCTCAACCGCAGGTGCAGGCCCGGCCACCGGCCCAGGCCACACCGCCGGCCTCGCCGCCGGGGCAGAGGAAGTCACCCCGTTCGGAATTGAAACGGATGGCCTCCGCCTTCGACAACGATGAGGTATCGGATATACAAAAGGTCGCCCGACTTTGCGAGCTCTACAACTTTCCCGAGCCCCGATACATAATCACAAAGAGCACGGAAGGAAAGGATTTCTTCGACGGCTATCCAGATTTAGGCGTCCTGGCCAAGTCGCTCCCTCGGGACATCGGCCGCGTGAAAAATGTGTTCGGAAAAAAAGCGACAAAAGAGAAGATTGCCCAACTGTTGCTGGGTCCTCTAACCGATATAGCGTCCAAGCGCGAGGATGAGAACCGGCGCTTCCTCAACAGCTTACCACCTCTTATTAAGGCGGAGCCGTCCCCGGAGCCTTCGAGCGCGCCGAGCGACCAGGTTCCTGATCTGTTGATATTGTGATGATGAACTTCGAGCCAAAGTTGGTTGAGAAACGATGTACTACCGACTCTCGAGTCGTGATGAACTCTACCCAATTTACGGATACCAGAAGCGGTGCTACCGGCCATGGTGCGCCTGTTTCCCAAAGCTATTCCAATGGATCCGTGTTTGCACCTATCGTAACTGACGAGGATATGTATTCTTGCTCCGTTGAGAATCGGATTCGATATTGAGCCTAAGGCTCATTATGAGGGCGTACTTTCATTATCATCTTCCTGCATTCGTCTTTTTGTCTAGCCGTTCTTCCATACACATACCACTCTGTTGTCTTCTCAGTTTTATCAATAGCCTGCTTAACGGTTGTATAACCATTGACCGTACCGATACCCGCAATGTTACTAGGAGTACGGGCAGCAGCGAGAGTCGTAGCTATCAGAACAGCCCCAAGCTACCCGCCAGTAATTAGTCCGATAGTAGAGATCCCTCCGGTGGGCCGCGGGGGTGTAGATAGACGATAATCTATCTAGGTAGATAGTAAGTTAAACTAGGCCACCCTTCCACAAACCACCTTTCCATAAACTACTTAAGTTAAGCATAACTTTTTAACCGTTACGTTAATCACTAGGAACATTCATATTACCAAAGTTAATTAAAATTTATAACTTATATAGATTTATAAATATTTTAATATCATTATATAATTAATAAAGAGATAAAAATAAATTAAAAATGAATATAATTATTAAATATTAAAATTAATTAACTTGATAAGTTTTTAAAAATGATTAATATATTAAAAAGTATATTTCTAAATTTTGATATAATAGTTTACAAAATAGTATTATTATATAGATGTTATGGTTTTAAGAGTTATTTACTAGATAAAAGCTATATATTAATAATTTAAAGCTAAACGAAAAGAGAAAAGGAGAAAAGTATAATGGAATCCTTAAGCCAGGTAATAAGTATTTTCCCGTAGTAACGTAAATAAGCACTTGCCTTCTGAAAGGATAAGAAGGCGAATACCTAGCGATAGGCGGTCGCCTATATAGCGAGAAACGGGGTAAGCTAAAACGGTTACCGCCTAAGAGGTACCTTCGTACCGGTATAGGTATTATAGTACCTTATATCCTTATACCTATCGCGTATCTTCTTATCGCTTCCTTATAATTATTCCCTTCTTAAGTTAAGTAATCGTTCCGATTACGAATCGATATAATATCGCCTGCGTTATATTATTAATTCTATTAATTACCTTAAGGTATTAAATATTAAATCGGGCTTTGTTAATATAGCCGGTTAATTCTACCGATTAATACCGTTAACCGTTATTTCCTAAGCGTATATAAAATTTTTCTACCGTTACGCTCGCTTCTCTTAACTTTTTCCCTTTCTTTTACCCGTCGGCTTTCCTCCTTCTCGCTACGTTTACTTATCTTATCCTCTTTTAATTAAATAACTAAATAAGAGTCGTCGACGTATCCTTATATTATTATCTCCGTTTCTTTATTTTATTATTAATACGCTTACGATACGCCGTTCCTTAATCTCCCTTTTTCCTCTTAAGCTAAGCTTAGCGTAACATAATCGAAATATCGTCGCTAATATAGCCTATAATCCGCCTACCGAGTACGTTACGCCGGTAGAAAATACCGACCTACCGTATATGATTTATTTCCGGTATCGCTTGAAGTACTTCGAGATATCGTTCCGCTTCTTATACGTATTCCTTAACGCCGCTTCTTCGAAGTACGGCCTCTATACCTACCGCCGTAAGGAATATATCCCGGTAAGTTATAATTATAGCGCGCGTTCCGGACGCGTTTCGTTAACGTATCGATATAGCTAACTAACGGTATTACTAGCGATACGCGCGGCTTATTTACCGTAATTAACTTTATTAACCGCTATTATACGGTAAAAACCGACGAGGATAGCGAGTCCGGCGAGTTCGTATATTCCTCTTACTTACGAAACGCCTTCGCCGTTTTCGTTTACCGCCTCCTTTACGCTTTCGAATAAATAAAGAAGAATTATAGGGTTAGTTTTTATAAAAGTAATACTAAGCGTAATCGCGCGATACGTTATCCTTATAATAGCGACGCGTTATCGACGCGCTAGCGTTTATTATATATATCGCGCGTATTAATTCTTATATATAAAGGATCTAGGAATACGAGTTATAGGTAATAAACCGCCGTAACCTCTTCGCTACTTACTACCCGTACCTAGGTCCCGATACCGTAAGTAACCTCCGTTTCGTATTTATCGCGTCGTTTAACCGTCGTTTCTAAGACGACGTCGTCCTCGCCCGGTAATAACTTTAGGTTACTTACCGTTTAATAAGTAGCGACGTAGGCTTCTCCGCCTAGATTAACGCGAAAGACGCGTTTATACGCGAGTTAAACGAAATTATAAAGAAATACTTAATTAATATAGAATACTTCGGCGACTAAGACGAATTCCCCGAGCTTCCCGCTAACGATTAAACGACGCGTTAATAACGTAAAGCTAGACGCGGTTCTTTTTTTAATTTTCCCGTCGCTACGGCGACGCTTTAGTATCGTTTTAGTAATACTTTAATAAGGCTCCGGCGTTTTATCGCCGTTCCTTTTTTCTACCTTCGGGTATTTTATAAAGTAATTCTTAAGTATCCCCTTTAAGGAAATTTTAAAACTCTTAGTTTTAAAACGACTTCCTTTTCCGCTTTTTCTAATCTTTTACTTCGAATTACTTAATTTTAATCGCTACGTTATCCATATCTTCCTTCCGAACCTACTAGTTATATTTTAACGGCTAATCCGTTTATTTTATTAAGTAAAAGGTATCCTTTTCCTTTTATCGCTTTCCCCGGACTTTTTCTACCTCCTATTCGTCGTCGTTTTCTTCTAGCTCCGGTATAATTAAAAACTAAGGCTTTTATTCTTGCTTCCTTATTTTCTAAGGTTTTAATAGGGAAATAAGGAAGACATTATATAGCGATTAATATTTTTCGGGTAAGGTTAAGCGGTACGCCGCCGACCCGATAATATCGAAAATCCGGAAGGATCCGATAAATCTAGGTACTAACTTTAGGCTTATGCCTTTAAGCTTTAAGTTCTTCGTAAAAAGCCTTACTAAGCTTTCTTTCTTTAGCCTAAGGAATTTATAGCGTTTATTATAATACTTCGCTTACGATTCGATAGCCTTTTATTAATATAGTCGTACCTTTTCGCGTATATTTTCTAGGATCTCTATTCTTTCTTTTGCTACCGGTACCCCCCTTTTAGGAACGTCGTTCCTAACGTTAAAGTTTATTATTAAGTAGTACCTTATTAAGGATATAAATAATAATAATCCTATTATTACGTTCCTTACGTTATTATAAGTAAATTATATTTCGTTTAATATACTCGGTTAATTCGCCTACGTATCGCTAACGAAATATCGGAGGTAGTATTTTAATGTTTAGTTTACCTTTTTTATCTGCCCGTCTATCTACGGGTAATACGCTATCGAGAGCTTTCTCTTTATCTTCGAATAATAATATAAGCTAAACTAAAAGTCGCTCGTAAATAAGCTTCCCCTATCGGTAATTATTCCGTTTAAGTAGCCGTATCTTATATATATCTTTTAGTATAGTAATTCTATTAGTTCGGCGGTTAATAAGGTAGTAATAATAAGGAAGAATTTCGTTATCTTCGTATAGCGATTTATTATTACGAGGATAGCGTTTACCTCCTAACCTCGATACTAGACTTCCGGGAATTCCGTTATAAAGTCTATCGAGATCTCCTTCCAAGGGCCGGTTAATAGGGGTAGAGACTATAGTTCGCTATAAGGGCGATACCGAGGCGCTCGTATCCCTTAGTAGACCTAATACCCCGTAACTTACTCCTTTATATCTAGCCCTATGCTTCTTTAGTAATACTTACGTAAGAGGAGCTTATAAATCTTCTTTTCGTTAAAATATCCCGCTAAGGGATCGTTATAGTAACGCATTATAAGCTTTTCCTTAACGCCCGGCTTCATAGGAATATAAACTCGGTTTTAATACCTAATTAATTTATTTTTATTTACCGCTTATAAGGAGCTATCGGCTCTAACGAAGCTACTTATTACCTTTAGTTCCTTTCTTTGCCTTTTAAACTTAGGGTTACTTTTCTAAATACGTTAAAGCAATACTCTTATAGTTTCGGTAACGTTTTCGTATATCGTTTCTTAAATTATTATCTCGCTAGCTCTTCGCTTACGGATCGTTTATAAAATATACCTTAAGTATTTTCTTTTAAAAGGTTTCCTATCCTTATTAAATACTTTAATTACGGCTAGCTTTACTTCTAGTAATAGTAGTAGTTCCGTTTAGGCTTCCTTTTTTTTATAGTAATCGGGTCGCTTCGACGACGTATCGGCGGGGTTACGCTTACCGTTACGATATTATATTACGAAATCGTAGGATATTAATTATATATATTACCTAACCTACCTTCCGTTAAGCCTAGGTTATTTTATAAACGTTTAAAGATTATAGTAATCCGATAATACTTCGACGGTATATCGATTCCTTTATACGTAATACCTTTAGTATTTAAATAATTTTACGATAGTTATTAGCTCTTAATTAAGAGTACTATACTAAAGCTTTACGCCTTTAAACTTCTTCGATTAAAACGCGATAAGATAATATAGGCCTTTCTCGTTTAATTACGACAGGATCGCCGATATAGCGTATCCGGAAGCGTCGGTTTCGATCCTTATACGCGTTTCGGGGTCGAAATATCGAAGTAGTAGCGCTTTCGTAAAGGCGTCGCGTAGCTATCGGAACGCTAATACCTCCTCGCCCGCGAGCTAGACTTTTCCTGGTTTTCTTCCGTTAATACTTCCTTTTAATAGTTCGTAAAAGGGCTTTATTATACGGGAATATCCTTTTATAAATCTACGATAGAAGTTATAAAATCCTAGAAATTATTATATCTCGTAAAAGGTCGTAGGTTCTAGCTAGTCTTCGATAGTATTTACCTTTTTCGGGTTTATCGAAACTTCTTCCTATAATATATAGAACCCTAGGAATTCGATACTATCGCGATAAAAGGAATACTTCGCTACGTTAACGTAAAGATCGGCTTCTCGTAGCCTTTTAAGGACTTAGCGGAAATTACGCGTATAGGTTTCTCGGTCTTATACGAAGATAAGGATATCGTCGAGATACGCTATATAAACGATATCGATTAACCTATAAAGCGCCTTATAGATATAATTTTAAAAGGTAGTAAGGGCGTTAGTTAGTTTAAAAGGCATTATTAGATATTCGTAGTAACCGTATTAGGTCCGGAAGGCGGTTTTTCATTCGTCGCCCTCCTTAATTCGTATTTTATAATACGCGTTTTTTAGGTTTATCTTCGAAAAGATCTTCGCCCCCGAAACCCTATCGAGGATTTTAAATATAAGGAAGAAGGGGTATCGGTTCTTAGTCGTTAATCGGTTTAATCCCTTATAATCGACGCATAGCCTTAATCTTCCGTTCTTTTTAGGTACGAAAAGAATAAGGGCTCCTACGGAGCTTTTCGATTCCCGTATACGTCTAAGTTTTAGGTTTTCCTATATATATCCTCGTAGCGTATCGAGCTTATTTTAAGTTAGAAGATATATTAGGCTATAGGAAGGTACGAAATCCTCCGGCGTTTCGATAACGTAATCGGCTTATTTATAAGATAATAATATAGCTATTTCCTTATCGTTAAATACGTCGACGAAGTCTCGTAACTCTTTAGGTAAGTCTTCGATACGCCTTAGTATCGATACCTTTTTATCGGGTAATAGGATAGGTTCTAGTAATTAAATTATTACGAAGACTCTTACTTCGTTCTTTCGTACGTATTTTACGAATTAATAGGGTTTTATAAGCTCGTACGTAGGTTTTATAATTTTAAATTACCATCGATTCGTTTCCGTATCGAATAAGATACGCTCGTCCTTTATTATCGTTATAGAAAGTAATATAGGGCTTCCCTCTAGTTTAAGGTCTCGGTCGATCGCTATATACGGGCGTTCTAGCGTCTTTATTATACCCTTACTATCGGTAATTCGTATTAATATAATATATATCCCGTAGCTTAAATACCGTAAGTCGCCGATAGCGCGTAATACCGGCGCTATAAGTTTAACTCGTTAAAGTTTCGCTTACTTAGCGAATTCGACGCTAATATAATTTATTTTAACGCCCGAATCGAAATCGAGGTACGTTTTAATAATAGTTAATGCTTTTATTATAGCTTTAACGTAGAACCGTATTATAACCCCTATTAACGGATACGGCTCCGTAAGTTAAGGTATACTTAAGAAGCTTAGGCTTTTCCCTTTCCTTTAGCGAGGCTTCCGATATAAGGCGAGTTTTTCTTAGGGTACCGGTTAGTTAAGTACGCCTCGCTATCGTAAATATAATACCTTAATATATTCTCGTTTTAACTTATTAAGTTCTTTTTAAGCGGGGTCGTATTATCGTCGTATCGCTAGCGTTTCCTTAGCGTAACGGTATTATTATCCTTATTAATCTTTCGCGAAAGCGTATCCTTTATATCGTTTCTCCTCTTCTAGGTCGGGCCTTAGATAAACTTAACTACCTATTAGATATCTTACTTAATCTCTATTTAATCGACGATATTTACGCGGCTCGTCGGCCTTTCGCTACCGAAACCCTTTAAGTATAACTTAAAAGATACGTAAAGTTTAGCGTAAAACGTTAAGGCCTTTTAGCTTTTTAACCTAGGTTCGCTTTAATTTTCGATCGAGCTTAAGTAAATATCGAAATCCCGCGGAAATTAATTAGAATATTATTAAGCGTTTTCCATTTAATCCGTTAGTTTATATTCGCGGTTAGTCGCGTTTTTTAAAAGGAATAAGGCTTATGTCTTAAATTATTCGAAGTCTTCGAGCGCTACGTCTCGTTATACTTACGTCGGTATTTCGCTCGTATAATATTTTTATAATACTCTCGCTTCTAGTTTTATATAACGGATAACGTATAGGATCCGTTTCTATATCGATTTAAACTTCTTAGGGGCGCTAAGGTATATAAGGTCGAGATCTTTTAATTATTCTTCGAATTTCTTAAAGCTAAAGTCCTTTTAAAAGATAAGGGTTTCTTTTATTTTAAGGTCGGGGCCCTAGCTATCGTTTAACGAATTAATATCGCTTCGATAGCGCTTACCTTTACCCGGGCGTTTATTAAAGTTACTATAGACCTCGTTTTCTAATTCCTTAAGGCGTTACTAGGCTTCCTTAAGGGCTTTTAATTAACGAATCTTTTCTTTAACCTCTTAGAGGTTCTCTTATAGGATATTTAGTTTAATACGGGAACTACTACCCGCTTCGCTTTCGTAGGTATCGCCTTCCTACTAGCGAAGTCGCTCGTTCCGAGAACTACTACGAGTTACCCGCGATTCGCTCCTTACGGATTCGTTACCGCTTCCTTTTATAATACGGGCTATCCTTATTAGGTAGCTTTTAAAGAAGTACTTAAATTATAATGAAATCCTTAAGCTAGGTAATAAGTATTTTCCCGTAATAACGTAAATAAGTACTTACCTTTTAAAAGAATAAGAAGGCGAGTACCTAGCGATAGGCGGTCGCTTATATAGCGAAAAGCGGGGTAAGTTAAAACGGTTACCGCTTAGGAGGTACCTTCGTACCGGTATAGGTACTATAGTGCCTTGTACCCTCGTACCTATCGCGTACCTTCCTATCGCTCCCTTATAAAAAGTGCGCCCTATAGGCTGCACTTACAACAGCTAGCCTTATCCTCCACAAGTGCTAGGAACTAATCATCTGCCTTACTCTAGCACTAGCCAGGGCCTTACAATAGGCATAGCCTATAACAATAGAAAGCCACCTATATATAGCTCCTTACTTCTTTCCTAGTTGCTCGCTTACCTAACCTAGCTCCCAGCTTACTTACATAACATAGCTCGCAGCTCCCTATCATTTATATATATATGCGTAGCTTATATCTATATTATTTATTTTCTTTTTTCGATAGTTAATTAATTTACCTTTTTCCTTTTATATTCCGTTGCTCTTAATAGAGCAACCTCAACGTCTACGTAGCTTTCTTAATCTATATAATAAGTACTTTATAAAAATAGAATTAATAAAAAGATAGCAAAGTAATTAAATTTATATAGTTTATAAAAACTAAGTGTTTCTTTTATTTTAATATTAAATTAATATACATGATAAAGAATTTATATATTTAACTTAACCGAATATTAATAAAGTAATAAAGGAGTAATACCATGCAATCGATAGATAGGTACTAATTTAGGAACGGTACTAATTTGCTAACATCATTCTCTAATCTAGGGTCTTGTACCTAGGTACCTCCTACGAGACAAGCCCAGACTTTTGGGAATGTACGAGTAAAACGTGAAACATCCAAGTCACCCTCGACTTTACGACGCTTTCTTCCCTAATATGCTTCTCGTCGCGACAATGAGCCGCTGCCACCGCTCCTGTTTCCCCTCCCGCTTCATGTGACGCTCGCTTCGACCGCGCATTTAAAGACTAACCCGGGAAAGGCGTCTTGCGGGGTAGATTCTCGTCGAGGTGACCTTCGCGTTGTGCACTAGAGAGTCGACTCGGGGACGAGACAAGATTTCCCTTCCGTCCCCTTCGCCCTTCCTCCTTCTCCGGTTTGTGGTTGGGAAGGGGAATATTTCGGGCAGGACAGCTAGCAAGTGGCTTACGCGAGCCGATTACCGCCAACCGCTTGGGACTAACATGACACTCTCTTAGCCATGAGTTGTTCACGGGCCCTACGCACTTGCGAGAGTCTGGGCTGCTCATGCGCAGGCCCGGGTCCGGGCGCGCGCCGGGCGAATTTTGGTCTCGTAGCGTCTGCCTCAGCCGATGCACTGCTGGGGGCGAGAGCGAAGGCCCTGTTGCTGTTGCCTGCGCAGAGGCCCCTGTATAGTCTGCGCGCGAATGGCTTGAAGCTTCGTTACTCAGGAAGAAGCACTCGGGGGGGCGGCAGCGTAGGAGAGCATCTGCGTCCAAGTGCCACTACAGCTTCAACTCTTGTCTCTAGAGGATTTGGTTTGTCTCACCAGAACCTCCTCTCGTTTACCACCGGATATCGACAGATGCATAATGAGACGAAGTATAAGGACCAGTATGTTGTTCCAGTCGCCTCGCTTCTAGACCAGCCTAGCATTCGAACACTTCCTATCTATATTTATTTTTCAACTACTATATTTCAAAGATTCTCGCCCATAACCAGCCCAACTCATAGCGATATGGGGTTCCCGCCAGCTGACAAGCTAGTAGAAGCCGCCAAGTTTCAGAGCCTTCGGGGCCACTTCCAGAGAAACCTCGCGGGATTAGGAAAGTAATCCCAAAGGTGCTCCCCTCTCTGACGCCACACGAGAATATATATACGGTGCCCAATATCCTAACATTTTCGCGCCTCATCACCGCCCCGTTCGTCGGCTACGCCATTCTCCACGACGCCCACGGTTGGGCGTTGGGATTGTTTGCTTACGCCGGTGCCTCGGACCTCCTAGATGGTTGGATCGCCCGCCGGTGGAAGCTGCAAACAGTTGTTGGCAGCGTCGTAGACCCGATGGCCGACAAGACGCTCATGACCGTCTTGACCGTATGCCTAGCTATGCGCGGCGCGCTGCCCGGTAAGAAACCCCCCCCCTCCCCTCCCCTTTGACTTTTCCCACATGCGCGAAAGTTTCCCCGATACGCTCGAACGGAAGCTTGTAGTATTGGGCTCGCCATTACGGAGCTGTTTGTCCCCCTGTTCCACATATGTTGAACTAACTAACATCTGGGACTACCAAAGTATGGCTTGCTATCATCATCCTCGGGCGCGATGTCGCCCTGGGCCTCGCCGCCATATACTATCGGTGGGTATCTCTACCGCCACCGAAGACGTTCACGCGCTACTGGGACTTCTCCCTGCCGTCGGCGGAGGTACGGCCCACAACAATCAGCAAGTACAACACGTTCCTACAGCTGGGGCTCATGGGGGTTACAATGGTGACACCTCTGCTTAGCGTGGATGTCGGTCCGACTCTTACGGCTTTTCAGTAAGTGATTTTCGACAAGCCCCCTCTCCTCTCTCGGTCCGTTTCTTGCGCTCCTTTCTCTAGACATTATCATTGTAAGAGAAGGGAGCCACGGGTACGAATTTGATGGAGATGGTTTTCTATTTACGGATGCAAGTACTAACTTGAGAACTAGATATCTAGTCGCCACCACGACAGTGTGGAGCGGTCTGAGTTACATCTTCAGCAAGGACGCGGTCAAGATCCTATCGCATAATAAAGGCAAGAAAAAACGCGAATAATCGAGACACGGCATCCCCTTCCCGGGAGATGTGGTAAGACGAGATATGTACAGTTCATTGATTTTTACGGAAACGCCTCGTCACTTGCACGGCAAAGAGGCCATGTGGGAATGTTTCTATGTGAAGAGGAAAAGGGGTCAGGGGTCAGGGGTCGTAAGGGTAGTTCGTACGATGGTGTATAGTATGCTATAGACGAGTGATTTCCGCATAGGTTTGGCTTTCTATCAAAACAAAAGTAGACGGGCGGGCAGCACGTTGCAAGAGTAGCATAGCGGGTCAAATAGAGCGCGAAGTGGGAGGGCACGGATCAATGTTATCGGCACGACAACGTGACGGCATACCACGCCCCTGATCCGTAGGGTCCGCGAGGAGGTACTACGTTCGTATCGCCGCTCTCTTCGTTAGCGTCGTGAGGTATTTGTACATTATCTAAGTATACACGGTCACGCGCGGGCACCCCAAGGCCGCGCATACTGCCACATCTGAGATGTCTACGGCGTCTATCCGTCGACCCGCCCCGTTCACGTGGTCGAGTAGGTAGGCATTTCCTATCATGATCTCCGGCCGCATCGCGTCACAGCTCCCTCGCCCTGGCCTCAGCATCCAAGGCCTCGACCTCGGGCCCCAGCGGCGCCGTCTCGTCCGCCAGCACCTCCTCGACGGCGCCGGTTCCACGCGTACTCCGTCCCGCGCCCCTGCTCTGCGCCGTCTCTTTTTGCACGTGAGCGAGCAGCACAACGCAGCCGGCAGGCGTGACACCCTCGATGCGGCGCGCCTGGCCGAGGCTCTCGGGGCGCGCGGCGGCGAGCGCCGCGCGCTCGTGCGAGCTGAGCCCGAACACGGCCCCGTAGTCGAGGTTCGCCGGCAGCCGCAGCGTCTCGTCTCGCAGGAACAGGGCGCGCTCCGCCGCCTGGCGGTTGACGTAGGGCGCGTACCGCGCCTCGACCTCGACCCGCGCCCGTACCCGCTCCCCGTGCGCCGCCACCTCCGGCACGTGCGCCGCCAGGTCGTCCAGCGTCACGCCCTGCAGCCGCAGCATGTCGAGCGCGCTGCGCTTCCGCGTGTCGTTGCGGTTGCCGAAGCCGGCCGCGATCCACGCTGGCGGGCTCAGCACGTACCGGCCGAGAGCGCCCGTGAGAGCGTCGACGGCCCCGCGCTCCTCCGCGTACCGCGCCCATCGTGCGTCAGACACCACGCCCCACGCGCGCCCCTTGGGCGTGAGCCGCGCATCTGCGTTGTCGGCCCGCGCCGACATCCTGTATTCGCTGCGGCTCGTGAACATGCGATACGGCTCCGAGACGCCCTTGGTTACGAGGTCGTCGATCATGACTCCGATGTAGCCGTCGGCGCGGGTGATACAGACGGCGGGAAGCCCGCGCGCCGCGCGCCCAGCGTTGATTCCCGCGACGATACCCTGGCCGGCGGCCTCCTCGTAGCCCGTCGTGCCGTTGATCTGCCCCGCTAGGAAGAGCCCCGAGATGGCTTTCGTCTCGAGCGAGGTCCGAAGCCCGCGCGGGTCTACGTAATCGTACTCCACGCCGTAGCCGGCCTGCGTCATCTGCACGTTTTCGAGCCCGTGGATTGTTCGGAGCAGCTGCTCCTGCGCCTCGGCGGGGATCGTCATCGACAGCCCGTTCGGGTAGATGGTGTCGTTGTCGAAGCCTTCGGGCTCGAGCCAGACGATGTGGCGCTCCTTGTGGCCGAATTTGATCACCTTCGACTCGAGCGACGGGCAGTAGCGCGGGCCGGCGACGGTCTCGCGGATGTGCACCGTCTTGTCGAGGTTCTGGCGCACGATCTCGTGCGACTGATCATTCGTGTACGTCGCCCAGCAGAGGAGTTGGTCCTCGACGGCAACGCGGTCATCAAGGTAGCTGAATGGCTCGGGGGGGTCGTCACCAAGCTGCTCGGAAAGGATGTCGAAGTTGATACTGCCCCTGTGCAACCGCGGTGGCGTGCCTGTCTTTAGCCGACCGAGCTTGAACCCGGCCTCGCGCAACGACTTGCTCAGGCCGAACGTCGCCTTCTCGCCCATCCTCCCCGAAGGGTATACAGTCAGCCCGATGTGTATCTCCCCGCTCAGAAAGGTCCCCGTCGTGATGACGACCTGGCTCGTCGGCAGCACCTCGCCAGACTCGAGGCGCACGCCGGTGATCTTCGTCTTAGGAGGCGCGACACCATCCGGGTGCGTCTCCTCGCCGAGGACGATGTCGGACACACTGCCGGTTATGATGGACAGGTTGGGGTAGGCGAGAAGCTCCTCACGCATGTGCTTCTTGTAGAGAGCGCGGTCGATCTGGGCGCGGGGCCCCCAGACAGCGGGACCCTTCTTGCGGTTAAGAACCTTGAATTGGACGCCGGCCCTGTCGATGATGCGAGCGGCGACGCCGTCGAGGGCGTCAATCTCACGGATAATTGTGCCTTTACCGATGCCGCCGAAGCTGGGGTTGCAGGAGCACACGCCGAGGTTATCGAGCTTGGGCGTGACGAGTGCAGTCCTCGCACCGACCCGCGCCGCTGCTGCGCATGCTTCGGTGCCAGCGTGGCCGCCCCCTACAACTACGACGTCGAACGGCCTATATCCCCCCCCTCCAGTTAGCTCACGCCTATCAAATTGCGATAGCGCGGTGAAAGAGAGCTCTATCATCCGCCGACCTCACCTTGTGTCCTGGGCTAGAGTGGCGAAGTTGCTCCGGTTGAAGTGCGGCAGATGGAGTGGTCGTCTCCGGATGATGTCGGGGGGCCGGCTAAGTCCCCTAGGCCGCCACGCTTTCTTCATCTTCGCCGACGTATTACAAACCGAACAGGTTTGAGCTGGGACGTTGAGCGCATCGTTGAAATTGTCACCCAATCGGGGCTAGATTTTATTGATAAGAGGTGCCGATAAAGAAGGAGCTGAAACAGGGAGGCGGTGTGCAATGTACTAGACGATCAGGGCAGGCGGTGGCATTTTATGCCGGACTAATTATCTACACCTTAATCGGCGCAGAAATCTACTACTGCTATCCCACATAAGCATATGCCGTGCCTAAATTGTGCATCGCGATTTACGCAGAGGTAGCACCAGGGCCGATACTCCGATGCCAATTCCGTAGCCTATCCTGTCCGTCCGTCCGTCCCGCTCCATGCTATCCTATCCAGCGCCTACCGCCTACTCAGCTCCTTCCTTAATCTCGCTGCTGTCGACGTCGGCGGCGGATCCGGCCACGAGGACACAGCCTCATGGACCTCATCGAGAAACGTAGCAGCGTTGTGGATAGTGGTGCCGCCGAGCACGACCCGAACCCCAGGCGAAGACGCGTTGATGCTAGCCGCAGTCTTGGCCTCCTCGTACGTTGCGCCGCCGATCACGAATACGACTATGTCCTGCGGCTTGTCGCGCGTCGTCCCGCCGCCCTCAACAAATGGGTACTGTTGCTCCCGCAGCCGGCCCTTAACTAGGCTTTGCAGCGTCGCCTCGAGGTGCGGTGTGTGCTGGGTGTATACATTCTCTACACCCTTGAGCCCCTTGATGGCCCGCGCGCCTGAGAAGATTCCGCCTGACTCGAAAATGTCCGCGATCCCGCTGGCCGACTGCGACTGCTGCAGCGAGTGGCGGTAGATGAGTAATTTTGCCACCGAATCCGCCTGCCGTGCGGGGACGCCGCCTGCTGCGGAAAGCAGGTCTACGAGCATAGCCAACGAGTTGGACGGGTGCTTCTCGTATCGCAGGGCGTACAGCGCTACTAGCCCGATCTTGTTCTCGGGGGTTACCGTAGGAGACTGTATCAATTTCTGGACATTCTATAGCGATGTTAGTCTCAGTCAGGACAGCGTTTACGAAGGCGGCCGCTGTTATCGTACCCTCAGGTCCGCACCGTGATTGTCGTTACAAGCCAGACTCTGCTCGACCTCGCTGACCTCTAACAAATTCTCGGAGCCCACTCTTCGACTCAGTTCCGAAACTAGAGTGACATGCTTGCTGACATTGCCGGAGAGTTTTCTAAATTCTGGGTATTCCTCAATAAACCGCTTCATGTCAGATATAGATTCGATGTTGGCATTATTCTTCGTCTTGGACTGGTACTGCTCCACGTAGTCCTTGATATTGCCGCCGAGGTCGCCAAAGTTTAGGTACATATTTTTTTTGAAGAACGGGTCTTGGTCTTGCGACAGAACAATTTCCCTCAGCTCCGGTCGGATGTCCTGGATGTCCCCTAGATCTACCCGCCCGTTCTGGATGCCTAGTAGTTGGTGAACCATGGCTTGGTAAGTCCACTGGTTGAGAAGCGGCGTGGCGGGGTCCTCTCTCCGGTCGAGGATGAGCAGTATAGGCGGCGTGTCGACTCTTCGAAAATCAAATAGCTGCTCTTCTTGCGTGATGTGATACCGAACTTCCGTGGCCAACTTCTTGGCTAGCAAGCTGTTCCGCTCATACCGAATGAGCGGTTTCTTTTTAAGCGCCAGTAGCACAGCTATCAGGCCGTCGGTCGTCCGCTGCAGCGAGTCCGGATTCCAGAGATCCGGCGAGCTACCCCATATCCTCTGCTGAGGCGGGGCGAGGTTGAGGGAGAATAGGTCCGGGTTGATGACGACGAAATCGGCAAAGTGTTCTTGCACCGCCTTAACGACCTCGTGGTCGTCGGCTTCGGCTAGCCTCTCTAACGACGACTTCTTGACTACATTGCTGAAGTAGAGGTAATATTCGCCGTATTTAGGATCCCGAAGCTCATCGATGAGAAATTGAACAGATTCCGGAGAAGGCCGCACGAAGCAGAGACACCGGAGGTGTCGCATCTTTTCGCGGTTCTGATTGTCGAGCCGGTCCGTGAGGTAGACCTCGTGGTTAAGCAACAAAGACTGGGTGATGGCGGTGGAGACAATTGGCACGGTATCTTTGTCTAGTAGAAGCATCTTCATCTTAGCAGATGGTGCCCCAGATGCGCTGTCTCCAGCCGACACCATCTTAGAGATGTAGCCGGAGACGGCTTGGACGACATCCATGGTGATGGTTCAGACGTAGAGATGACAATCTGCAAGCTCGTGATGTATTGGCGGTGGATGCATGCAGAGTAGGTCTGTCAGGATACGATCTTCTCTCTAGAGGCTTGGTCTATAGGATGTGTGCAATGCGGCTTTGGTAGGTTACGAGGATGTGCGATCTGGTTGGCTGCTTGCGGCTATGGTGGTGAAGAAGGCGATGAACTGAAATGCTGGAGGAACAAGTTGGCGATGAGAGGAGAGACAACGAGATGCATGTGCAATAATACCTAATAGAGCTCCCCAGCTGTTCACAGCACCCCTGCACCTGTAAGTATCTTATTACAGGTGTTTCCCGCAGCCTGCGGATATCAGTTCTAGGCACCTGTAGGTACCTACCTCTCACCTGATGATGCAGCATTGCCAAAGTACCTTAGGTACCGACCTACATAGGTAGGCACCTGTGGGTGTTGCACCTACCTGCATCGTGTATTCAGCCAATGAGCAGGTTCCTAAGTCTACAGTGTGTCGTCAACTGGGACAGGGATGAGGGGAGCTAGATGACGACAAGGTAGCATATACTTTTTCTAATGTGGGTACCAGACATGGATGAGGTGGTCGCGAGTGTATCCAGTACATTGACCCAGATAAGATAAGCAATTGGCGAACTTCTCGTTCGCAGGTAGTTTGAGCATCAAAAAGCTCCATCTCATCTACATCTACCCGGTCAACTTTATAAACTCAATTATTCCTCCTCTTTTCCCCCCTCCCTCTCTCTCTCTCCCTCTCGTCTTTCTCTCCTCCTTCACCTATTTCCCCAGAATTTCGGCTCCAGTTTGCTTGGGATGTTCGACGCTCAAAGGAGCCATACAGAAAGATGGCCTCGGACATGTGCCCAGCCAACTCTGCACCAACGTATGTCCCAACCCGCCCCTCTGCCCTCCTGTCGTCTGTGGAATCGACAGTAGTCAAACTAACCTCTCGCCACCGTTGGCAACCACAGCCTGTCGTTTACCCAGGGGCTCATCGTTGGCCAGATCTCCGTCGTGCTTCTTCTAGCACTGTTTATTAAGTTCTTTATATTCGGCGAGGCTCCCTCACCCGAGATCACCGCCACCATCCGCGCAGCCGAGCGTCGATCTCGCACTCTCGCCCACCGGCAGTCCCTCCTCTCCCTCCGATCATCCACTCCACATACAGCAGCGGGCGCCGCTTCAAGGTCGCCCCAGCCGACGCTAAATCAGAAAAAGTCGAGCGTCCTACGGAGCCCGCCGACGCTCACTATCGGTTCCATCCTCAACAAGACCTACTACAACGTCGATAGCCATCAACCCGAGTCGCTGGACTGGTTCAACGTGTTAATCGCTCAGACCATCGCTCAGTTCCGCAGCGACGCTCAGCAGGACGATGCCATCCTCAACTCCCTGACCAAAGCCCTCAACGGCACCTCCCGCCCGGACTTTCTCGACGAGATCAAAGTCACCGAGCTTACCCTCGGCGAGGATTTTCCCATCTTCAGCAACTGTCGCATCATACCTGTTGACGAGGATGGCCTCAGCCTCAACACTGGCCCTCATGGTGAGAAGCGCTTCGATGCTAATAGCACCCGCGCCAAGCGTGAGGGCTCGCGGCTGCAGGCCCGCATGGATGTTGATCTCAGCGACATGATTACACTCGCCGTTGAGACCAAGATTCAGCTCAACTACCCGCGGAGGCTGACCGCCGTCCTGCCCGTCGCCCTAGCCGTGAGCGTTGTGCGCTTTAGCGGCACCCTAAGCATCTCGTTTATCCCCTCAAACCCATCACAGACTACCCCGACTATGATGACCTTCAACTTCCTAGACGATTATCGCCTCGATTTCTCGGTGCGTAGTCTGGTAGGAAGCCGTTCGCGTCTACAGGATGTGCCGAAAATCGCCCAGCTCGTGGAATCGCGTCTTCATCGCTGGTTCGATGAGCGTGCCGTCGAGCCCCGTTTCCAGGAGATCGCTCTTCCGAGCATGTGGCCTCGAAAACGAACTACGCGGGGCGGTGACGAACCCCTTGACGGCAGTACCACTGCAGCGTCGGTTAGCGGTGGTAGTAGTAGTAGCGCCGGCGGCAGTGCGGGCAAGGGTAAGGGCCGAGAAATAACCAAAGAATTGAAAGAGGGGGCTCGTAGGGAAGTCGAGACACAAATGGCGAAGCGCGAATATAGCCCGGTCCCCCGGCTGCCCGACGCCCTGAGACACAGACGACCCAGAAGCCGGGGTAACGGGTCCGGTATGGGATCAGGAGAGTTTAGTATGCCTGGCAGCTTACCAGGGATGGGGATCGACCTGGCGACTTGAGAATACCTTGCAATAAACCACCGGCTTGGTGCGTCGTTATAACTGCCCAAGATCGACGGCAACAGCTATGGCAGTAACAGCTACAACCCTTTCGACGCCCGCCCCCCCCCCCCCTTGCTAGCATCTACCTCTTAACATACATACACTCCGAGGCATTAGGAGACTCCTTCCAAGCTCCGCGGCGGCCCGCCTAACAGCGTTTCCCCATGGAATCACTCACGCCCAGATAGTTAATCGGCCAATCAGTCTGAAAGGGAGAAACCCGACTTCGAACAAAATAGCACTCGACCAGGCGCGAGTTGTGGTACAGAATAAACGAAGATGTAGGGAAACCAGACGTCTCTCTCATCTCCTTCACCCTTCCCTTCTAGCATTTTGCGAGAAGCAACCTCCCCCCTCGCCTGGTGTAGGATTTACCAAGAAGACGGGAGACTACGGACATCGGCCGAGTTCCGCAATCGACAGCATCTCCGTGACTGCGGTGTACCCCCACACAAGTCTAGATGTGTACCGGATATGCATAACATGTTGTAAACCAGATAGACACCCAGCGGCCCCCTTTCCCCTTCTTCCTTCTTATATTCTATTTGCTCACCATCACTTCCTCACCACTGTACAAATCAACAAAAACAACATATAGACCCGTGGGCCGTCAAGAGCACGAGGGAATCAGGGAAGAGAACGAGAACGGGTGGGGGGGTGAACGAGGAAGAATTGTACAGGTAATTCTCAGAGAGCGTGTGTCTGCATATGTGTATATATATACTGTCGCCACTCTCTCATGTACTAATTAGATAGCATATACGCACCTTAGTCTCAGGCGGTCCGGCTTGCCTCGAGGGGGAATGAGAAGATACGAGACCGAGGGAATGGGTAAGCAGGGGGACGGGGAGACGGAGGCGTGGGAAGGAAGGTTGCCTGGCCGCGTGTAGTATCATATCAACTACCCACCTCTTGATCAATCTAGGGACACTAGAAAATGAGGGGGAAATTGTAATAACTAATATATATAGCCTGGTGCATCCGTGACCATCTCATGAGTCATATGCGGTATACTTAATGGAATGGATTTCGTTTCATGCTTTATCCGTCATGAGCTCGCTAACTACATATATACCTACGTATCATCTTGATTAACACCAAGATCAATCGTGACCTCGGGTCACCCACTCAGTTCACTTCACTCCGATCGTCTTCACATATCAAGAACTACAAGTGCACTATCGCTCATTGTTAGTAAGCCCAAACTCTTCCACCACCCCACTGCACCGGCTACAAGCAATCCGTAATACGTGACCGTCCACCAGAGGTCATCCCTCGGCTTCGCCCCGCCACCGTCGTCCCAGCGCTTGACGCGACCCCAGACGCGGGGCAGTCCCATGCAGTTGCAGAAGGCGTGCGCGAGGACGGCGGTGAGCAGGCTTCCCGAGCGCAGGAACAGGAAGGCCGCATAGGCGCCGAAGAGGGTGGTGTATGTGAGCTGGAATGCGGAGCGTAGGACGGCAGTGGCACGAGGCTCGGAGGGACGCGACACGCGCGCCTCGTAGTAGTGGTGCAGGTGCGCAAGACCGAAGACGAGGGGTGCGAGGGCGATAGTACGCCACGCCGAGGCGCCGGATAGCAGAAGCAGTGGCACCGACGCCGAGCGGAAGAGAATCTCTTCGGTTAAGGGGCCCTACAGAGTTTGTGAAGTCAGGAAGGGAATAGTTATCGAATAGAGGGGTGAAGAGGGAAGGAGTAAGTGTTGGAACATCAGAGATGCACGGTGGGTGCTATTGTGTCTGTCCTCATCTGACAGGTATCGAGTCTGCTCGGAAACACGGACCAGTGTTCTCATCATGGGAATGCGTTTGCCGGTTTGGCGAGGATGGCATGCTGGATAGGCCGGAATGAGGTGAGGCGAGAGGAGAAAAGGGAGGAAAACTTACTACTACGATATTACGCCACGTCGTCCACTCAGAGCAGACCCGCGATACAAGGCGCAGGGCAAGTAAGTCGCGCCACCCGCCGTCAACCACGAGGGTCTCGAATAGCGGCCCCACGAAGAGCAGGGTAGTGAGCAGGAGGCAGCAAGCAGCCTCACGCAGGCCGACAGGCCAATACCCGAGAGCATGCAGGGCCTCGGGGACGGTGGCTGCCGGCGCCTGGCCTCCGTACCCGAAGGTCAGTATCACGAAGGTGGTAAAAGAGCAAAGGGCACAACTCAGCGACACGGACGCGGTGCGCGCGCGAATCACGGACGGCGCGTCCCGCGACAATGTGAGCGACGGCCGCGTCCGTGGCGACAAGTAAAAAGGTGCCACATAAGCGAACGTGTAGAGTACCTGTGTTGCCTGGTTAATTCTATTGGGCTTCCGTTTTTCTTCTCTGTCGCTCGTGTCTCAAAATATCACCGACCTGTGTGGGTGGAAATAAAAAAAGAAATAGACGAGGGCAGGGGAAAGAAGAAAATACTTACGAGTAAGAGGACGGCGGTTCGAGTGCTGATTGGTGGTGGTTTTGCTACCGCGGCTAGGTCAGGATCAGGCCTATCGGACAAATTAACCCAGCCAAGGTGGACGGGTTTACCGAGTTGGTGAAGCGCGAATAGACTTACGTTCTTCTGTGGTGAAGTACCGGCTGATGAAAGTCGGTATTACAGGCATGGCGGACGGAAACCCAACTAATAGCTTGCTCCCTTGCTGTAGGAAAATCGTGATGGTGACCTAGTCCACCTGGGGCGAGGCTGAGACAATAGTGTTATCGTGCCGGACAGGAGGCGTCGAGGTAAGAATGAGAGAGACAGCCTCGCACAACCCGAACGTCTAAAAAGCGTGTAGAGGTGCTGGGGTCTGTTCATGCATGAATTCTCTCTCTCATGCTGAGCCTCTTAGGATAGATAGCCAAAAAATATTTCCCAGAGATCGCAAATGACGATGGAATGATTGCTGGGACTCAAGGAAATTACCATGCACGATCGGGTTATGCCGTAGAAAAGGCGCGAGCTTGTGCGGGGAGTATGTTGTCAAGATGGGAGGGGGGGAGGGGGGGATGTGTGTCCTTGGCCCTTAGCCCTTAGCCCCTGAACCTAGACAAAATTTCCGGGGTGGCTGGTGATGAGGTTTGCTGGGACTATCTCGACGCTCCAATTCCGGATACCCAAGTTCAATAGAGATGATAGGTATGATACCCTCATACGTATGCACGTAGGTATATTGACCGGTATCGCTGGCAGCCATCATACATACCTATATAGGAAGCGCAGCGCAAGGCGTTTGGCGGTCTTGTGAAAGAGCAGCCACAGGCGCGCACGGCTGGGCTGCGTCTCTCGGACCCGTTGGCGCTCCAGCTAGCCCATTCACAGGCTGCCGAGGAGGTGTGTACGTGTAAGCGCGAGAGCGGCTCTGAATCTGACCACGACTGCGCGGAAAGACGAGACGAGCGCTGTATCAAGGCTGCTCGGTCCGGGCTATCGGATGGACATTAAACATGCACTGAGCATCTAGAGGCGTCTGGGTTCGAGGAGTCGTTATAACTTATTTATGCAGTGAGACGCTCTCCAGCCTTCTCGACGAACAGAGCAACCCTACGTTGCCTCGTCCCGACTAGCACATAGACTAGGCCGGCCAGGGCCAGGGCCAGGGCCAGAACCCTTAAGCGCGAGACTCCGTCAGCGTACTAGCCAGCTGTGTAATGGTAGAAACGCTGGGTGGTATCCGCACCGTACGTAGGAGAGCCTCGACAAGGGACAAGGCCTCCCCAGCCGGTTCCCGGGTACTGTGCCGGGGTTAGCGAACAACTATCTCTTTGAGGGCCGCAGGTACAAAGATATTTCAGATGCATTCCTGAAAGAGCCGGAATGCCACATTCAACAGTCTCAGGAACTTGTTGTTCGCTTGTTGTTTATTTGTTGATGCCGCCATCAAATGGCATGTCTTATTTCTCTTAATCAGGCTCCAATTATGTATATGTAAGAAAGGGAGAAAACAGGAATCCGGAGCTAAGTGGGTTATATAATAGAGGACAGGTTCGATTCCTGACAGCGCTACTTGGTAGTCTCTATTGTTTAGCCTATCTGGTGACTTCGTCCAGGCAGCAGGTACTGCGTACTTTAAACCCCAGAAGCTACTGGTTCGAGCCAGAGTGCCGCCTTTGTAATAAGGTCCTTTTAGGTGGTACGTGTGTACCAGTGCAGGCTATACGATAGTAGTGGAGCGTATCTTATCCTTGTAAGATCCTGTATTCCGACGTATACTGGAGCAGGCAGTGTTGTAATAGCGCGCGGGGGCGCGTGCCTGTTGTATGGGTCGAGCTAAGTGGGTTATATAATAGAGGACAGGTTCGATTCCTGACAGCGCTACTTGGTAGTCTCTATTGTTTAGCCTATCTTCCGGTATGTGCATGTACGCTCTGTCCCTTTTGGGCAGCCGATGGACCATTAAGGGAACCTCGCGTATGTACATCGCCTAGGTACTTGGTGGGAGGTACCTACCTCCTAGATATCTAGGTATGTATGTACATAGGCGCATCAGGTACTTGCCTGTAGGTAAGGTACGGGCTTCAATGCATTCACATGCCTACATTATATACCAGATACATCTAGGTAGGCAGCATCCAAATCTTCCGTGACTGAGTCGAGTGGTAGCCGTAGACAGTGATTTTTCAGATACAGGATGGCCATATCTGAGGTCCATTCATCATATCCGTAGGTCAGGTACGTGTGTTACCTAGGTACCTACCTAGGTACCTACCTGGGTACTTAGAGATACCTCAAATTCTCCTGTACGGGGCAGCTATGATGTGGTGCAAAAGTGGAACTGGCCTGATTGGTACCCTTACATGGCATCCACCTGGACCCATCAGGCAGCTAAGCCACATTTCTCTCTCTGCGTCCATGCTCTCTTGTCCCCATTTCCCCGTCTCTCATCCTCACCCCCCACACCCATCTCAAAGCTTTTTCTACCTTTCCTCAACTTCGACTCACGCAGGCCAGCTCGTCGCTCTCGGTTTGGGGTCACACCTCCCCTGAACTTGCAGGGGAACCCTGAGCATCTCTTCCTATCTGGAGCCATGTCCCCGGATATCGCCCAATTGAACCTCTTCGTAGCCTGTCTTTTAATCCGGGTCTCTCTTCACCGATTCTTTTCCCTTGCCTCCCATCCCCTCCAACCTTAGCTGTACCCATGTCGATGCCTGACTTGACAGGTGGCTGCGGTATGGCTGGCTATGTACTATATCGTACGTGGTGATACTTTTCTGGTGGCTTTCATTTCCTTTCCATCTGTCGCTGTTTCTCGCCCTCCTTCTCTTCCTTGTTGTCAGGACAATAGCATGGTGTGGCTGTCGGGGCATGAGATGGGAGAAGGAATTGCTAGTGACAGACGAAAAGAGGGAAACCCAAGCTAAAACTAGATGGAGATGGGAAAAGAAAATATGTTCCCAGGATACAGGGCGGCGGCGTCTTCTGAGACAGCGCCAGCTTCTTGTCACGGCTACCACGTAGTGATGAATGGTTCTCTGTTTTTCCTGCTCGTCTTTCCTGGCCTCTCATGTAGCCTCTCGGTTGTAGTTAAACGGCTACTCTGGTAGGTTCCTCGACCGCTAGCCCACAATTCCTTTCGACCTCATTTCAACTTACATCCAGAACTTGCAGTAGGCCTGCAGGCTGCAGACGCATCCCGGCTCGCACATTGGCATCCTGCCTAGAAAGGCACGGGACGACAAGACACGACGGAGATCCTGGTGGGCCTTTCGCGCATCACTGCTGTTCTCTCTCCGTCCGCCGGTCTCTGTTTGTTTCCACCTGGCACTCCCCGTCGTGCGCGTGGAATCTGGAAAGAGAAAAAGCAGAGGTACGAGCCGAGATGCTCCGGGGTACATGGGCGGCTCCTTAGTTCGCCTCAGCTGTCCCCTAGACCTTTTTTGGCACTCTACGAACTCCCTGGCTGTCGTATTATCCAACGTCCACAAAGATTGGAACCCTACCGCTCCTTTTTGACCGCATTGCATACCAGCACAGCTAATAAGCTGCCTCCGTTAGCTAGTTACTAGCCAATCGATCTTGACCCGTCGCTTTAAGTGGAGGGGGGGGGGGGACATATTCAGGAAATATCACCCCCTTCCCGCCTGTCTTCTGATGGCCTCGCTGCTTCTCCTCCGATTGTGTCCCCCTCTGCCGATATGGATATGAGTGAGCGTATGCGTGTGTGGTGTCTTTAGCTTAGCAGTTATCTTGGAGGTCTGGCTTTTGTCGACCTGTCCCACGCTCCTTTGCAAGACGTATTCGTCTCTGCCCCCCTCAAAGATCTATCGTTGTATATGCGACGCCTGAACGCATCTCCTTGTTCAACTCTTCTCTTCGCTGCCCTTTCCTGATATAATAATACCCAGCCTTAGTCTTCACGTCTCTCTTTGTCTCTCTTTTGACTTCATTGGTTATCTTCTTTCAGTCTTCGGACATCCTTTTCTTCCTCTTCCTCTTCTTCTTCTTCTTCTTCTCTTTCTCTAATCTTATTATATTCTACATTAATATTGCGCCTCGCTCCCGCGGCTACGACCATCACCTCTGAACGGTAATTGACTCGACGACTTGTTATCGTTATTATCGTACCTGGATGCGCGATACTTGAAGCGATACTCGACCTGAAAAATATACGCCATTGCTCTTCAGCCTTACCAATAGGCTTCTCTAGATCGCATGAATCGTTATGGCCTTCGTCTTAACATAGCTATAGTCGCTCAACTGAGGTGAAAAAAAAAAAAAATCAAGCGTGTGCGGCTATTTCCCGCCACCTGCGGTCGGACCCACGGCAGAGGATGGCACCTTCGACACCCCCATCATCATCATCGTCGTCACAATCGCGGAGGATAGGATTGCACGAGAGGTCGGAGTCGGAAAAGAACAAGCTGCAGATTCGCATCGTGCCCTACTCACCACCCAGGTTGGCTGAAGGCGAAGCTAGTGGCAGCAAGCCTCATGCGGCGGAACCGGAAATAGGGGAGGATGGCGCCCGACTTGCAACTAATAACCCAGCAATCACTACACCGAGGACGGCAAAAACTACGGCCTATCGATCAGAAAGTCAGCGCGCCGACTCATCGCCTTCACTATTTTCAACGCCTGCCACGCCGTCGGTAAGGCCCAAGGGTAGAGGCGTTTCAGGGCCGAAACTCGCTTCCGACTCGTCTGCCCTCGAGAGCGCTACCCCACCATCCCCTGTCATTAACAGGCCTCCTTATGGTACCAATAGTAGGCGTATTAATCGATCACAGCCATCGCACCACGATGGCGGGCCAGCTTCGCCATCGTGGAAGCCCTCCGTATCCAGAAGAGAAAATTACATCAATGTCCACGCAGACAAGACCTTCTCCGTCGTTTTAAGGCCTACGCGACCACACAATTCCGACAGGTCGGATTCGAGTCTCAAATCAGCTCCTTTTTCTAACACGTCGACCATTAGCTCGCATGAAGGGAGCTCGTTTGATGCGTCAACTGAAGATCGACACGGCTCCCCGTTGAGCTCAGTGCCTGAGCGCAGCGTGTCGCCCTACACATCGACAGGTTCATCCTCGATAGCCACGGTATTGCCTGAAGAGCCCGTTGAGTCTTCTCCCTGGAGTCATCGCATGGTCGGTGGCTTGCGCAAGGTCCCTAATCCGTCGGAGTTCAAAAATAAAGGCAAAAGCAAGGAAGTCGTCGACGCAGCGCTACCACCACTGCCAGAATCCGCTCCTACGTCGCCGCAGCGCTCCCCTCTCGCGACGAAGCAATCGTTCAATTCTGAGCAAAGCGATTCTACCATTGACGAAACAACGAATTACAGGGTAATCGGCCGCAGCTCTCCGCCTTTGCTAGACTCGGAAAGCATCGAGGCGCCGCCATCATCAAGCAGCTCAAATTACATGCTTCTCGGCCAATCGTCCCCTCCTCGGCTTCCCGCCTCGTCTCCGGCTCCGGAAGTTGCCGACACGCCGGCAAGCAAGAACTACATTGTCTACGGCGAGCCCTCGCCGTTTTCGTCGCCGATCAGCCCTGCTCGATCGCATCGCTACCGGTCTTCCGACGAGAGCTCATCCCGACAGGTGCGGCAGAAGTACTCTCAGGAGAGCCTCGTCGTGCCTCCGCTCAGGCCACACAAGAGATCATCCTCCGAGAACCTCGGCCGCTATAATAGCCAGCTGTCAAAAGAATCCCTTCGAGGTCGGGCCAACTCGTTCTCCTCTCTCTCGAGCATAGTTACTCAGGATACGTCGTCTCTGATCATTGCTACCGCAAACGTTGTCCATCTGAACTACACACCTTCCATATCGTCCGTTCCACGATCTACATGGGTAGGCCCTTCCAACGTCGCGCAGCAACGACCACGGATGGATACGCATCAATGGAGCTCACAGCTCTCGACTGTGCTTTCCGAGGACGAGGCCAGCTCTCCTGGCTCACGCGTCGTATCGATAGGTTCGGGTCACGATCGAGGTAGCAGCGCTTTTGGCAGCGGGAATAGCAGACAGATCCGAAGCTTATCATCGTCGCTAGCGGGTTTGGAAGAAAATTTGGAACGTCGAGGCTCTCGCTCACGGTCTAATTCCCGGCCCGATTCCCTAGACCGACCAATGCCCGCCTATATGAGGGGTGCAAGAGAGTTACCTACCCCGGCCACGCCCACCATTCGAGATCATGATGAACACGGTGATGGGATAGCAGATCTCCACCATCGGTCGTCACGCACACGTTTAGGCTTTTCCAGACAACCGTCGGATCGTAGTCTTCGCTCGACATTAAGCTCGCGCGCCGGGAGTCTCACCTCCGCCTCCATTCCGACTTGGGCAAGACTTTACTATGGGAGTGGGGAGAGACGTTGGCTGGCGCCAATGTCTGCGAGGTCTTTGTCCGAAGCTGGCGACAGTCGGCCACCGAGTTCCTGGATTCCCAGCCGGTCTCCATCTCAAGAACAGAACATTTACAATCCTCGTCGCCGACCGAGAGAAGTAGACACTGGGGACGGACGGCCGGATTCGATGGAGATCGCGCCGGTTGTCGAGAATGAGGTTCATGTCGGTCCCAAAAAGAAAACATCGAGCATCTGGTCTCCTCATCTTCGTCTAGATCGGCGAGCTACGGACCCTAGCGTGTGGAATGCGCCTTCTACTACCTGGTCCGCCGAAAGTAGCATGTTTGGGAGGCGTAATATCCAAGTAGTTTTATTCGTAGTAGGATTTGCGATTCCCTTTGGTAAGTCTGCCCTCTCCATTATGTAAGCAAATTTCACAGAAACTAACAGGGAGAGACAGCATGGATGGCTGCAGCATTTCTTCCGTTACCTCCCAGGGGAGTTTACCCGATAGACGAGCGGGACCAGAGTACGACAGGGTTCCGTCTGTCGGACGAGCCGGACCCTTTCCATCAACGGATCGCCCCCGTCGACGAGACTCGATACCACAACGCTCGGTGGTGGAGGAACCTGAACCGCTTCATGTCTATCGTCGGTCTGTTGATCCTTGGCGTGGTAGCTGCTCTCGTGGTAGTAGGTGTCCGGCAAGGATGGGGCCGACGATAGCGACGACGATATCGATGAGAGCATTTCCCGAACTTGTGAAATGGACTCGTTTACGGCATTTCATCTTCTAAACGACGTTTTACGATTTTCTACGTAATATGTTAATGACGACTTTTATGAGCCACACTGGCTGTTTACAACAAAACATAGACCAACCGAGTTGAAACGGGACACGCTGCCACCTGCCGCATGTCCTTGTCATCATTCATACTTGGCCGCTGAGGTCCACCTCGCTCACCTATTTTGATCTCTGGCCACCCGCATTCCTTTTTTCTCTTTTCTCTCGAAATTCGATGTCTCGGGACGATTGTACGCTTATTTTATACCCTCACGACCTCTTCGTTCGACCCTTTTTTTTATTTGGAGGCTGTACATTTACCAGAAGCGACCCAATAGACGGAAACAACGCGACCATGATACCCTCAGCCAAAATTACTGCGTGGAATCGGAACAAGTGCTTGGCGGGATTCCGAAAACGAAAATAAATAAGAGCTAGGAACAACCAAGAACCGAAATCTAATGATGCAATCTCGGAAATACTTGTTTTTTTTTTTGGTAGCCATGTTTCTTTAGGGTGGAGTGAGAAAACCAGGGGGGAAGGCATATCAAGCATTTGGAGAAGGAGGTGGTGATGATATAGTGGTGTGGCTACTCCACAAGGGGGTTCCTTTATCACCCTCATGGCGTAGGAATACGTCTTCTCGTTCCAGGTAGTCTCGTTGTGGCAGACAGACCAAGGTTTTGACGCCTACGATAACGAAACTAGATGAACAAAAATTACCAAAATATCACAGGTGCTTGTGTGCGTCTCTGTCTCGAACGGGTAAGGATAAAGGGACGTAGAACCTGTCCTGCTTTTAAGCATAAGCGGGGCGTTCTACACGCCACCGCATTACCAGGTATGGAGGGGTGGGTAGTACGGTAATTTATGGTTCCCTTAATGGCATATTATTACCTTATCCAACTTTCAAGACGGTATACCTTGAAATTTTTCGCAGGTCGAGCAAACGTCACAGAACTTGGCTTCTACTCATCCAACATCGCAATCCTCATACCCATCCGTGGCACCCCTGAAGAAGCTGGAGTACGATGGCATAGGAGGATCCTTGAAGACTTCACCTATGAAAGATCATGATGAGTCTCTACGTCACACGTGTTCCCCTGGGCCGGGCGCTACTTGCTCGTCCATTTCACCTCGTTAAACGATTCAAGTTCTCGGGCCGGGCAGAGCAGGAGACAGCAGTCAACAACAAGAACCTCCCAGACACACCGGCCAGGACACGGTTTGCGCCGTCGCCAACTGGGTATCTGCACTTGGGCTCGTTGAGAACGGCACTGTATAACTATCTGCTTGCGAGGGCCACTGGCGGCCAGTTTGTACTACGGATAGAAGATACAGATCAGGTTAGAGCACCAGATTCCTGCCGACCACTTGGGAGGAAAGGGAAATGCGAGGAGGCGAGGGTGTATAGCTATGTCGCCCGCTAACTGTTGGCAGTCAAGGATTGTATCAGATGCTGAGAAGAGAATATACGAAGATCTGAAATGGGCCGGCCTAAGCTGGGACGAAGGTACCAAGGCCTACACTCCTGGCGAATCCACATTCGTGTTCTAACACCTACAGGTCCCGACGTCGGCGGCCCCTACGGCCCATATAGACAGGTATGTACGCATTAGGCGCTATCTATCATTCCTAACGAGGGACCTACCTCGCCCGCTCCGCAGCCCAGAGATGAGATAAGGCTAAAATATTACAAAGTCGGAGCGACTGGAGACCTACACCCAGCACGCGAACCAGCTGATGGACGAGGGCCACGCGTTCCGGTGCTTCTGCACGCCCGAGGAGCTGCAAAACATGCAGCAGCAGAAACTAGCGACGGGGGAGTTCGCCACCTACAGAGGGCCCTGCCTGCACGTCGACAAGGACGTGTCCGACCAGCGGGCCGCTGACGGGGAGCCGTACTCCGTTCGTTTCCGCCTCGACCAGGCGCCTGTAGTGCACGACCGTGTATATGGCAATTACACAAAGCCCATGAGCGAGGATAGCTTCGTCATTATAAAGCGCGATGGTTACCCGACTTACCACTTTGCTAACGTCGTTGACGACTACCTCATGAAAATCACCCATGTGATCCGAGGAGCAGTCAGTCCTACCCTCACCGCTGTCACTACTACCAACTCCCACGTCCCCTCTTCATCTTTTTCTTCTTCTGTAGGTCCACCAGTCTGACTAACGACGGCGACGACAAAAGGAATGGCTGGTATCAACACCACGACACGTCGCGCTGTACGACGCCTTCAAGTGGCCGAAACCAGAGTTCATGCACGTTGGGCTGCTCGTGGATCGCGAGGGGCGGAAGTTAAGCAAGCGCCAGGGGAGCTTCACAATTGGCTCCTGGCGCGAGTCCGGCATCCTTCCCATTGCCCTGCTTAACCACGTCATGTTGCTCGGCTGGAGCCAAGGCCCCCGTTCCCCTGGCAGGGGCCAGAAAGATGTCATGGATCTCGCCCAAATGATTAAAAAGGTAAGCCGGCTAGCCCCTTTCCTTATAACGCTTTGCCATTTCTCCTTGTTTTCTCGTGTATGGGCCTTGTGTATATCGCATACCAAGCACTAACGCTGGAGAAACCTCACCTGGACGGCGTAGTTCAACTTGAATTTTACCAAGGGCAACGTCACCGTCAACCAGAAGCAAAAACATCTACAATTCATGCACGCGAAGCGCCTCTCAGTTGCGGCCGATCCAGAAACCCTTAACACTATTTCTTCGAACCTAGTCCCTGTGCTAGAGAAGCTCATTGCGAAGCGCGAAGCGGCTCGTCTTGCTTTCTTCCGCCCCCCTAACGACGAAGAGAATCCCGGCGCAGAGATAGAGGGGGAAGAGGGCGAGAATGAGGAGTCCTATGGAAATGAGCACCTGCTCGGAAATCTCGTCCCTGCTGCCCTAGACGAAACCAACGTCGATACTGGGCTCTCACGCGAGTACATACGCCGACTCTTGATCGCTGATTTGGCGCACTATCACGGCCCGCGCACGACTGTGGGGCGCAACGCGCAGCTCCTCTGGTCGATCCCGGAGCTATGTTATCGCGACGCCCTGTTAAGTAAAAAAGCACAATTCTCGACGATGTTTCTCCTAGATCACGATACTTCGTTGTCACAGGGGGTAGAGGCGGAGGCAGAGATTGCGCCAGGCGCAGAGGAAGAAGTAGAGGCGGCGGAAAAAGCAGAGGCAGCGGAAGAAGCAGAGGCGGCGGGAGAAGCAGAGGCGGCGGGAGAAGCAGAGGCAATAGAAGAAGCAGGGGCCGGGGAAAAGGCGGGGGCAGCGACTATACCGACCGTTCAACAAAATCATCACCAGAGGAATGTACCACACACTGAATATCTCCCTTCCCAGCTCGCCACCATGCTTGCCGATATCTTCCGCGGCGTTCCGGAGGAGAATTGGAGGGAGCTCTCGATTGAAGAGACGGTAATACCGTTCATTGGGCGAATATTGGCGACTCCCGTCCCTACCGACGACGACAGCAGCAAGCCCACCTCCGACAACGATAGCAGCAAGCCCGCCTCCGACGACGACAGCAGCAAGCCCGTACCCTATGGGCATGAGTTTCTGCGGTGGGTACTGGCCGGGGGGCGCTCCGGCCCTGGGGTTGTGCACATCCTGACGATGCTCGGGCGCGAGGAGTCAATCGCGCGCGCGGAACGGGCGAGCAAAGTAGCGCAAGAGATGGAATTGTGATGTCGGCGTGGACTATCCCGGTGTACGTGCTACGGGGGAAGCGGGGGCCAATGTAGGACTATATGGTCAAGAAAAGGAGTCGGCAAATGAGAAGGCGAGTGAGAAAAAAGGGGGAAAGGAAAACAGGAGAAATAATTGAGGATGGAAGAGGGGAGAGCAGTAAGGTTAGCTCTTCCATTGACATCACCACTCATACCAAGGATGCAATATGCAGGTACAGTCATTATTGTATATACAACCTCCGTTTACGTGCAACACGACGGAAGGATCCGAAAAATGGATATTACTTCACGACGCCCCGATTGAATGTTTGCGCGTGCAAGGTATGTATAGCGGGTGGATATACGCCGCACTACCTGGAGAGGTATACGCCCCTGCCGGAGAAAACGGCCCCAGACACGTACAGACGTCGAGGGCGTCGGTGTCCCCGGATATCATGTCAACGTGTCATCTTGATTTCACTAGCCGACCTCACCTCCTTTTCCATCCCTTGCCGCTCACCCTTTCCTCCCCTCCGTCTCTCCAGCGGTACCCAATGGGGATGCGACGGGAAGAGGAAGAGGACGTGAGAAATACATATACACAGTGCCAACTCATGCTTACTTGTTTATCTGTTTGCTTGCTTGCTCACTTACGTTCCCTCCCCGCGCGGGAGAGTGTCTCGTAGTAGCCTGATAACGAGTTGGTATGCCATCGACCGGCGAGCTAGTTAGAGACGAGCAGCAACTAGAGAGGGACGCCTAGAGAGGGTCGCCATCTATAGAAATACATCTGTAAGATAGTTGCTGCTACCCACGCCGGCGAATATCAGAGTCTGTTGATGTCCGGCCCGTCCTGGTCTTGACTCCTCCTACCTCGTATAAAAGCCAAAAAACCCCTACCTACATGAAAAGAGTGAGCCGGTAAAAGTGGACCGGTTCGTCTTTCTGCGTCTACCATGCCGTTTGAGCACCCGTGTACTACGTCGTAACCGTGGGCGCCTCGGCTGTGCTCATCATGGTAGCGACTGCATCTGTGGTTCCATCTATGACTGTATCGGCGGAAGTAGCGGAGGTCCCCAGGCTGCCGAAGACCTTGGCTTTGACCTCCACAGCCATGAGACCCTGCTTCTCGTTCGTAACAATAGAGCGGCTTGCCCGCACTAGCCTGTCAATCTCGGCGTCGAGGCCCCTGAGGCCGGCCGTGCCGCCTGTGCCGCTGCCTCCAGCCGCCTGAAAACCGCCGCCGCTGCGGGCGTAGCGCTGGACGGACTGTGACGCCTCGCGGATGTTGGAGCCGAGGTCGAGCATGCGCTTGTCGCCGAAGTCGCGGTTCGTCAGCAGCGGGTTCTGGGATAGTGTCTGGACCCAGTACTTGCTCCAGAGCAGCTCGAGCAGACTCGAGTCGAGCGTCGACTTGAAGTGTGATACCTCGAGGCTATAATAGCGGCTCGCGTGGGCGCCGAAGTCCTCAGCCTTAGCAGGGGGCACGCTGCTGCTGCCACTGCTCAACGGGGCGGGGGGGTGCTCGGCGAAGGAGACGGGCCTGTAGTCATTAGGGTAGGTGCGGAAGGCGCCAATATCAACGCGGCCGGCGCTGATGGTGCGGTCGGGATCGATGACGACGGCGACGAAGGGTTCATTGACCAACTGCTGGATTTTCTGGGTTTCCACGTCGATGCCGGAGAGCCAGCAGCCGTAGCCCGGGTGGCTGTGGTACCAGCCGACGGCGTTCTCCTGGCGGCTGCCTTGGTCGCGAGAAAGCTGCAGGTACTGGACCATATATTCGTTGGCCCCTTCCTGGGCGTTGACGCGGGTCTCGGTGCCCTCGACGGGCAGTGCGAAGGCGTCGGTGACGACGATGGTATCGCCGTCGGCATAGCCCTGCATCAAACCCATGATCTCGATCGAGCCTCCGGAGCGGGCATGCATGACCATCTTGATGAGGGCGATGGCGCTGATACGCACGTGCCGGAAGTAGTGAGGGTTCTCCTTCCAGGGATTGGAGGCATCGTTTTGGTGGCTGGGTGAGTAGTTGTAGAGAGCATCTCGGACGGGGTCGGCGAGCACGATGTCGTTGTCGAGCTCTACACGTATAGACAGGCCGCGAGGGGCGGGGAGCAATATCAGCGCGGGTTCCATCGGCGGCGAGCGCAGGAGATGGGGTCGAAGTATGCGATGTATGTGCTACTCACCCCAAGATTTCATTGCCGCCTCCATCTCGACTGTATGAGGACTGCTACTATCATCAAGGAATCCAGAAGGGTGCTTGGAATGCTCCCGGCTATAGAAGAAGAATCCGGTTGGGGTCGGTTAGAGGTGTAGGTGGAAGAGCCGTACGCTGGGAGGGTTGTAGGTGGGAGAGTGACGTGGGGCGGGAGCTCTACCTACCTCCTATCTGCGGCTGATAACTGATAACCGATAAGCCGACCCTCTTTTTGTCTATTTATGCCGATGTCTCAGAGCTATCTCCGATACTTGCATAGAAATGTATGTATCTACAGAAATAGTTTTGTATGCCTCACAACCCTCATATCAAGCTTATGAACCACCCCACTTCCTCAGGTAGGGCTATATCGATAAAGCATTCGTCCAATTTCCCTGCATTCTCGAATCGCGCAAACCGAAGAGTCGCAGATCAACTCCGTCCACGAGGTTGCGCAGTTCGTTGGCTCTCTACGGGGGCGCGGAGAAAGCGGAAATTTCCACAGTATGACTAGATCAGCTCTTATACGGCCGATACGGCACTTATTCACGAGGCCATTGGTAAGATTACCGTCCTTCTCAGAGGATTCGCGATGGATTGGCCGATCGGCTTACCTCTTCACGTTCGGAAAGGTCCAACCGCCACGATACGCCTTGGCCGGATTTGCAGGCGTCCGCTCGGAAACAACGATGTACGTTGCGATGCTCCAATCGAATACTTGATGCGCACGCAAAGAGACTTAACTACGAAACCTCAAGAGTTGAACCACCTACTCCCACCGATCCGACTACGGCAGTCAAACCAGCGGCTACGCCTCCTATAGCTGTGTATGGACCTAACTGCTGTACGTTGGGAGACGCAGCATGACTTACGCAATTGACAGGAACGAATTGCCGGATGCCCGCGAACAGAACCAAGTCCGACTACCTCGAGCCGTCCAGGCGCTCTACCTCCAGCCCCTACGCCGGGAGGCTCCGTACGGTGTGCCGACATGTGACCTACAACTGCGATCGTTCAGCATCCCGAACCTTGAGTTCTTCTGTGACTTCGCGCTGCGGGCGGCCTATTACCTGAGCCTCCCTGCCTTTGGGCCGGTGCCGCTACCTAAGATCATCGAGCGCTGGACCGTTCCGAGGAGTCATTTCATCTTCAAGAAGTCGCAGGAGAACTTTGAGAGGATCACGCGCAGGAGGCTGATCCAGATCCGCGACGGCCACCCAGAGACGGTCCAGATCTGGCTAGCCTATCTGCAGAAGCACGCGTACTATGGAATCGGTATGAAGGCAAATATGTGGGAGTTTTCTAGCCTCGGTACGTTCCCACGAACCGCGGCGTCATTCCTTTTTACTAGCTGCCTAGTAGCCTACCTCTATCTTTCCTATCTCCTTGATGTCGTATAAGTTCAGTCCAACAGGAAGTGCGCTAACCGGGACACAACAGGTATCGGAAACGAGCTCGACGAGCAGGAGAAGAGCTTGCAGCAGATCGTCGAGGACAAGCTCAAGACCTTTGGCAAGAGCGGGACGTTGGGTACAGTTGAGAAGGTGAAGGAATTGCTGCGCAGTGAAAGGTTTAAGCACACGGCGTAGATGGAGAGGACATCTCGGTCTACGTACGAAGTGACGCCATCAAGATGTGTGAAAAATATTTGTGGGTATGCCTAACGTAGGCTCGTTCCTACTAGGCATCTGCCAGTTGTGAGTTATATAACCTGGCGTGTATTGATATCCAGATGCATTCTTCATATCTAATCCGCAAAGGCTACGAGAGCAGTTATCCGGAATCGTTTATTATATGTACCTACCTACGCGTTCTCTCTTTCCGTGCGTTCAGGGTTACCCAAAAAGGGGGCGGCATGTCTGCCCACGGGAAAATGCGTACCCAGCTTGTCTATACTTACGGATGTATGCTTAAACTAGGTACTTATTCTTCTGGTTTGTTGTCAGAAAGATGGATATCAATTTAGGTATTTGTATATCTACAGGTGTTGTTGTACGTCACGGTAGGCTGGCTTCCTAGTAATTGCGTGGCGCCTTGATAATCTAAGGCGCGCAATTGTAAGGAGGCAGAGCTGTTGAACCGTTGTTGAATTGACTGAATCTAAGAGCTCGTAAAACGTCGTTGTACAAGCTTATTTACAGGTGGCTGTTGCTGCAGCTCTTACCTAGCTAATGTTGATTGGCCAATAGATCCACATTCACATTGTTGCATTGTATGGTATATACATATATATATTTGACTATATACGTGTACCCATGTATCGAACTTCACCATCGAATGCAAGTATCGCATTCAAGAATATTTCTAAACCATCCCTTCTGCATCATACGGAAGACGACGACAGGACCAGCACTAATCAACGCCGCTCGCCTTGCCGTCCCTGTGCCTAATTCTATCGGCATGACTAGGTGAAATTCCCAAGTCATAATTCTGAATTCCCCCGCCTCTCGAAACCCCTTCTATAGGTAGCTCGCGTACAATCCGGTAACCAAGCCGGACCCAGACCCTGAGGCATCCTACCTTATAACAGTCAATTACGCCACTTATATGTTGCAAGTGAAGGCTTGGATGGCATAGATGTCACCGGCACTTTGCGTTTGCTGCCGGCCTCTAGCTGTCGGCCTAGCTCGGAGGCGGATCCTGTACTCGGCCGCGCAGTCGAGGAGGAGGCATCAGCAGAGGCGAAACCAGTCCACTGCGGACGACAGCGCTGCCAGCCAAGAAACATGGGAGGCAGCGAAGGTCGAGCTGCCTAAGCCAGAAGGGAAAATAATCTTCTCCGCCATCCAGCCCACGGGCGTGCCGCACCTGGGCAACTACTTTGGGGCGCTGCGGCAGTGGAAGCAGCTGCAGGATGCTGCCCAAGGCACTGAGGACATGGTGCTGTTCTCGATCGCCGACTTGCACGCAATCACGGTGCCCCAGGAGCCTATAACGCTGCGCATACGTCGCCGCGAAGTGTTGGCCTCCCTTCTGGCCGTAGGCATTGACCCGTTGAAGGGGTCCATACTGTTCTACCAGTCCTCCGTGCCCGCCCATGCCGAACTCATGTGGATTCTCAGCTGTACCGCGTCGATGGGATACCTAGGGCGTATGACCCAGTGGAAGGTTGGTTCGCCCCTATTCTTTGCTTACCCCTTACCACCCCCCCCCCCCCCCCCCCAACCCGCGCTTGGTGGAAGGCCAAGAAGAGAGGCACAGGGAGAGACATAGTGGGTAAAGGTGTGATGCGATATCTAATACGGACGTGCGCAAAATCACGACATAGACAAAGCTCCAGGAGCACAATAAGGCAGCCGATCTTGACGACTCTACTATGGGCGGCCTGAAGCTTGGCCTATTCTCGTATCCCGTGCTCCAAGCTGCCGATATTCTGATACACCGTGCAACCCACGTGCCCGTCGGCGACGATCAGCGCCAGCACCTTGAATTTACGCGCGAGTGTGCCACCAACTTCAACGCTACTTACAAGAGCCTTCTCATCCCACCTCAAACCGTGACAAGTACGTCAGCCGTGTCTACAGACTCACTGATACCCTCCCTCCAGTTACTTTACCCCTCTCACTAGTCCCCCCCCCCCCCTTTCCCGTGTCTTGTCTCTCACACCAGCTTGATGTAATATATCATAGTAGGCGTGTAAAGGAACTGATGCTTCATCGTCGCTAACGCTAGCCCAGGCCCCTCCCCGCGGATAATGAGCTTTGTCAACCCCGTGAACAAGATGTCCAAGTCCGCCCTGAACCATCGCTCCCGCCTCCTCATCACTGCTGATGCAGTTGAGATCAAATCGCGCATCTTCGGGGCCGTGACCGACAATTTCAACGGCGTGACGTACGACCGGGAGAATCGGCCTGGCGTTGCCAACCTCCTGGAGATCCTATCGCAATGTAGACGCTCCTCCCCCTCCCTCCCTCCCTTTCCCCTTTTCCCCCTCTCCCCTTTTCCCCCTCTCCCCTTTTCCCCCTCTCCCCTTTTCCTCCTCTCCCCTTTTCCCCCTCTTTCCGGCCCTCGATCCTAGCGGTACCGAACTAACCAGTCCTCTCCCCGCAAAATAGGCACCAAGACCCTGGCAGGCAAGGCACCGTCCCCGCGCGAGATCGCCGAGGACTACGCATCGGCTGGCAGCACGCTCGCGCACCTCAAGGCGGACGTGACGGCGGCGCTCGAGGTCGAGCTCGAGGGCGTCGGCGACAGATACCGAGAGCACCTGGAGCGCAAGGGCGGCAAGTGGCTCGAGGAGGTCGAGGCCGAGTGCGCCGAGGCCGCGCGCCGCAGCGCCGAGCGCACCATGGATGCCGTCCGCCGCGCCGTCGGCCTCGCGTAGTCCTGTACCGCCCCGGACGAGAGGCGGAGAGGGCTAGGGGCAGCCGGGGGAAAAAGACAGCGGAGAGGAAAGGAACGCAAAGGAGGACAACGCGGTACGAATATACTACCTCCACGTACATATAATATATACCTGCCTCTCTATATATGCAAGAAGCATATGTGTCTGAAGAATACATCATTCCTCCACGCAAACCGGCTCGGTCGTCCGCACTTCGCCATCTACTTACCTATATACGCGTACGCGCACACACCCGCAAGCATACCTACTTGCTACCTACCTACAGCGTATACGCACGAGCATCATCTCTAAGGACAGCGCCCTTCGCCTTTACGTGCGTGCCTAGAGGATCTATCCGCCTGCCTCAGTCCTGCGCGTAGTTCGTTCCTTCGGGAAGCAACGATCCCACTTGGGCTAAAGTCACATACACAGGTGAGATATCCGGCATCATATAAGCGATACGGCACACCTACATTCGAGATACATAACTCGGAAATATAAAAGCCGATTAGAGGTAAAACGCATTATCATTAACCAGCTACCGTCCCTATCTGTACCAACAAGAGCACGACGCCAACCACACCACCTAACTACGCTGACGCCTACTTCGTCAGAGAAGAGCTCGTCACCCGTGGCGTCGCATTATAATATCTCGCCGCACCGAATCGCATTGGGCCGTATCATGAGATCGCGAACAATAGTCCTAGCGGCTTGATAACCCTTATGAGGGGGGGGGAAGGACCTTTTTCGATTTAGTTCGATTGCAGCCACGCCATAGGCCGCGAAGCTTAGCAGATACCACCGACACGCCGTTCTTGACCGGTCGGGCCCTTCACGAAACGTACGCGAAACTCGAGCCCCGACAGGCCAGCCAGAAATCGCGGACGACTTGGCTGGTGGCGCGCTGACCCCGGAGACTGCGTCGGCCATAATTAGCTCCCCGGACGCACACACCTAAATAACTCGGTATCCGCGGGGGAAAGACGTACCTGATGATCTTCTTGAGGAATAACGCCTTGTCCTCCTCCGATACCTTATCGCTAGGAAACGACGGGTCGTTCAGGGCTGCCTCAAGCCATTGGCGCGCGCCAACATGCTGCACTACCAACTTCTTAAGTGGATCGCTGAGTTTATCCAGCTCGCTCCTTGATGCCTTGCCACCGATGTTCTGTACGAGCGACTGCGACAGTTGCGGCCCCAGGTAAGACATCGCGGTGTCGACGATGGCCTGGGTATGTGGATCATCTGTCTTGAGCGTGATGAACGTTGTCTAGTGATAATAAGAAATCATTAGCATCAACACGTCTCTGCCCTCATGGAGATATAAGTAAACGGACCCAAAACTCCGTCGCTGCCAACTTCGGCAATGGCTCGCTCCCGTTTAGTAGCTTGAGGGCAAATAAGAAGAGGAATTCAAGCATATTCGAAGGCTGGGACATGAGAATTTCCGGGCGTTGGGCCATCACCCTCTGGACAAACTCGAGGCCGTATTGCGCCAGCTCAGGATCTTGCTCGGGGCCTAGTTCGCTGTTAGCACCAGTATAATATAGGCCAATATTACGTCGCGAGACAAAAGCTACTACTGGCTGGCCGACTTAAAAGGGCCACCAAACAAATTGCTTCTGTCACAACGAAGTGACCACTCACCTGAGAGTTGATGTAGGATATTGAAGATCCACGGCAAAAGCTGCCCAAGGATCTCGCCGGCATGCTTCTTTTGCCCTCCATTACTTAGAGACGTCACGAAGACGCTTGCTGTATTTACCACAGTTGCAATACGGGTTTGCCAACCGTTAATGATGAACTCGGTCACCATCTGAAGGGGGAATACGAACGGCCCCGGTTCGGTTTCTGAAAACCCAGCGCGTAGAATGGAACAAATGACGTCGACTACCTCGCTATTGCTTGAGAAGGTCTCTTTTAGTTGGACGAGGGTGTTCTTAAAGATTGTCAACATCGACTTCCTTAAATCGCCATCAAAGGCTATCAAATCTCGACAGGGATATTCTCACCATGATATTTACGTGTGTTTGTGTCGGATTCACGTCTGGGGACGGTCGAAACCCGTCATCCTCGGTATCCAAATCGATAGGGCCGTCGGTGGGGGCCTGAAGCCCCTTTGCGATGTTGCTAAGGCAGCGAAGGGCTCGGATAGCTAGTTGCAATGATACTTCTACCGCCGAGACCGGTGCTGCTGGGTGCTGTGCTATGTCGTAGGCTCGAGGTATAACCTATAGTACGTTAGAGACCGAATAACTGAATAGTCGACCAAAGCAGAATGCTTGGAACAAAATCCCGCGAGACTCACGGGATCATTAGGGTCTACGAGGAATCCCTCTCCCCGAGAACAGAGATGTAAGCTGCTATTAACATCTACACCAACTAGAATCAACAGCCTCTGAAAGGCAGTTGTCTTTTGTGCGTGGTCGGGAACTGCTTGTATGATAGATGCAATGGCACCAACTACCCGTTCTTCGGCTAATGAGTCAAACTCGGGGTTGCTGCGCAGCGACCCGTATTGCTCCAGAAAGGCATTAACTTCGGTCGTTAACAAGGATCGACAAGAGGAACATAGTTTGTGTATTGATTTCGACGAAGGCACCGTAAGATGACGATCGCCCACGGCGTTGAAGAGCAGGTTCAGCGCACCCGGTAGAAATTCGGCGTGGTTGCTGAAGTAATCTGAGTAGCGCTCTATCAGCGAGAGGCATGTCTGTCTAACCCGCATGGGTATGTCATTCTGTCCCCGGAGTAGGAGATCGAACAGAGGAGACCCGAATACACAAGTCAGAAGCTCGTCACATGAGGTCCCGTCCGACACACAATCGGACAGCGCACCTAAGCAGAAGCTCGCAGCTTCGAGCTCAGCCCAAGCCGAGCTTTTCAAGGCCTGTAGTAGGAAGTCTACGAAAATCGAGACGAGAGACTTCCCCGAAATTGTGTACACGGACTGAAGGTAATCCGCAACATCTTTTCGCGCCTCTGAAAATCCGACTCTCTCCGTCGAGTCCCACGAGTTGTAAACGTCAAGTGGCGGATACTGTATTTTCTGCCAGCTATACGAGACGACACGCATAATCTGCGACAGGGGTGGGATATCCCATTGTAATTTACCTGTAGGCTCGGTGTACAGAGTGTCTACCAGGTTTTCGACGAAGGCGGACCAGAATTCGAGAGCAGGAACAAATATCTTATCTTCGGCAACGGGGTGGCCCTCGGCGCTCAATAGGAGGGCGAGGCTGGTAAGGAAACCTTGCGCTCTTTCATTAGTGCTGTCCATCATTTCAACCATCTGGGCGTCCCCGAAGGCCAGCATAAACAGGCCAAACTGAACCGAGTCGAAATCAAAATCGGCCTGGAGGAGGGCTAGATACTTCTGCCGAGACCATTGACTCTCGAAGACAGAGTATAGAGATTCAAAATGATCGCGGAGAAAGAACGACTGCCAGTTGGCTAGGGCGTCGGTAAGAAGCTCAACCGCTGCTTCATATAGTTCGTCGACCAGAAGGCAATTGATAACAGGCTGGACTAGCGTCTGGAGTTGCTGTATCAACCGAGGCTTCGGGTTACGCTGGGCGTAGAGAAGCCAGGCTTGTAAACAATATATCGAGTCTGCTGGGTGGGAGCGCTCGCCACCAGGGCCTTGCAAGGAATTGTAAGATAGGATGGTTACGACATCACGCCCATTTTCAAGAACGCGCTCGTGGAGAGAGATATACTTGGTCGATTTGGTATCGACTTTCTCCGATTCTTCGGCTAAGACGGTGGCAAACCATGTGAGGACGAGGAACTTGCCGGGATCCAACGCTCGAATAGCAGGTTCGATAGTATCGCCGTCCTTTACATTCTCGACTGGTACGCTTGCCTGAGTATCCAGACAGTACAGCAGGTGACGCACGCACTTGGTCCAGGTGTGTGAGTAATGAATAAAGTAAGTGACCAAAGCAGAACAGAGCTTCCTTAGAACAAATTCGCGTGATCCATCTCCCAGGGAGGTGATGAGCCAAGAGATGAGTTGTTGAAGCACCGAGACGGCATCCTCATCCGGCAGGCTATAGGGGACTCAGTCGGGGAAGCCTTCGGCGACATTGGCGGGGGCGGTGTTACGCACCTTTCAGTGTTTAATTTAACGATGATGGTCAAGGCACCAAAAAATTTGACGTTGCCATCCGGCCTGGATAGCAGGCCCTGGGCAAGTTGCCATCCATCGGGAGATCTCTGGAGACCTTGAAGAACTTCCTGGATACGGGCAATTTTGGCTGCGGGATTTGGCTTGTACAACTCTCGGATCAACTGCCCGATGTTAGAGACACTACCTGTGTAGCTACCGACAAGTACACGCCCGCAGAGACCCGTATGTGCTCATATAAACCTCCGTTCAGAGACGTATAGACGGAAGAGTAGCATGTAGCCGCATGGTGCCGGACAGGGGCCGTAAAGCAGAAGAGCCAACTTACATGTTCGACCTCGGGCAGAGTGGTAGGAATCGGTATATCTTCCATGGCTGCGTTGACTTCTATGAGATATATCATCCATATCGAGGTGGTGTGCGGCTTGGGGAGGAGGCTCTAAACTCCGAAGACGTATAGTGTTCGGACAGTGGAGCGGTGGGCGTCTGAGGTGATGAAGCGACGAAGGGTTTACTGAGTTATCAGGTTGAGGTATGAACCAGGGCAGTCATCGACAGCGGCCATGGGCTGCGGCTTAGCGTAAGGTCAGATGGGCCTTGGAAGCACAGAGAGATGTCGTCGGTGAGGAGGTAGGAAACAGGACGCATATACGTAGGGTACCTGTGTTTGGTTTTTGATAGAGACGGAAGGCTGGCAAGTAGAGAAGGGACGGCCTATGAATGTACCTCTATGGTAGGAGGCCAGGAATGTAACCTGCACCTGCCTTCGGTTTGTTGTCGATGCCCGCAATGATTCTATGCGGTCCTATGCAACTAATCTGCCAACCTTTATGGAAAGGAAGAGGTAGGTAGGTTAGGTTAGGTACCTACGTTACTTAAGACTTGGTGGGTATTGCCGTAAGCCAAGTCCAACGAGTGGCGGCATGCAATAGTCGGATATGCAAGTATATGGAATATATACTGAGTATACATATCGGAGCGTACCCAATATGGCACGGTCGCGTGAGCCCAGATGGAGATAGAGTATATCTGATGTCACCAGAGTGGGTGGCCTTTGGAGAGCTTCCATGTTATGCAGCCGGGATAGACATACCTAAATGAGGTATATAGGTAGTAAGTACAGTCGTTACAAAAACAAGTACTTCTTAGTAATGGTTCCCCAGAGGAGGTAAGTACCTCCTCTCTGGCTGATATGTATATGTACTAAGTAGCTAACCTCTGGTACCTGTCTCCCTCATACGGCCCACCTATCTCCCAGGGTTCCAAGTCATGGGTCCACCCTACATACATCCCACCTTCCATTAGATTGGCGCTTCCGTAGCCTCAACCCCCAGTATCTTTGATTTACTTGCTCCCCTTTATTTACATACTTCGCCCGCCCTCCGCCCTCCCCTCCCCCCTCTCGTTCGTCACCCAGCACTTTGGGCTGGTATCTCATGGCAACGCCTCCTCTAATGTTGATTGCAGGCCTCTAACATCGCAGGGCTACCCAAGCCCAAGCTTGCAACATCTCTACGAAAACCTCTACGCAAACCTCTAATCAGTACGCAACCACATCGACACCCATATACCTCCTAACCTACCTAGGCAGGTAACCTAGGTCAACATCCGACCCGCCCTAGATTCCGCTCGACTGGGCCGCCTCTCATATCCTCCACCTCTCTCTATACCTATACCGACCGTTGCCTTGGAGCTCTGATATTGTGATGGGCTATTGCCTATGAGAATTATACGGCCCCTCCTCGCATCGTCGGGCACCACACGGGTCCGCTTCGCGTCTATCTTTTTAACCTCTAAATTCGGATATTGGTTGTGGAACGCCCCGCCCTCTTCGACAACCCGCCGTTCTCTTTGCCCAATTTTGATTTCCCGCTCCCAGAGTTCGACCGCTGCTATCGAGATGGGAACGGTTGATACGACTGCTCGGCTTGCCGAGCTTCGGAAGCTCATGGTCGAGAATAAAGTCGACGTGTATAGTAGGGCAGCCGACGTATTCAAATTCCTAGGCACCGAATTCTTCTCAGCTAACGACTATCGCGTCAAGTTATTCCCTCGGAGGACAGCCACTCGTCTGAATATATTGCGCCATGCGATGCTCGCCGTGCCTTTATTTCCGGCTTCACCGGTTCCGCCGGTTGTGCTGTCGTCACCCTTGACCGGGCCGCCCTGGCTACAGATGGCCGCTACTTCAACCAGGCCTCCAAGCAGCTTGATGAAAATTGGCTGCTACTGAAGCAAGGCCTCCCGGATGTTCCTACTTGGCAGAAATGGTCCGCAGACCAGGCCGTTGCCGGTAAAATCGTGGCCGTCGACCCTACTTTGCTGACGAGCGGCACGGCCAAGAAGCTGTCCGAGAAGATCAAGAAAAACGGAGGCAAGGACTTAGTGCCGGTTGCGGGAAACCTCGTCGATAAGGTCTGGGGAGCCGATCGCCCGCCGAGGCCGAACGAACCGGTGATAGTCCTCGACGAAAGATTTTCCGGGAATGATGTGAAGACAAAGCTTGCCGACCTCCGGAAGGAGCTCGAAAAGAAGAAATCTCTCGGCTTCGTCGTCTCCATGCTTGATGAGATCGCTTGGCTTTTTAACCTTCGAGGGAATGATATCCCCTATAACCCAGTATTCTTCTCGTACGCCATTGTTACCGCTGACGAGGCCATATTATATATCGACTCATCTAAACTGAGCGACCAGTCTCTATCGTACCTTGCAGACAACGGCGTCACCCTTAAGCCGTACGAAGATATCTTCGGCGATGCGTCCGCGCTTGGCAAGGAAGCCGAAGCTACGAATCCCGAGCTTCTAACCAGCGAACCCGGCTCGAGGAAGAAGTTTCTGATTTCTACTACGGCTTCATGGGCTCTCAAGCGCGCGCTTGGGGGGGATGATTTAGTAGAAGAAATGAGGAGCCCGATCGGAGACGCCAAGGCTATCAAGAACGAGACTGAGTTGGAAGGGATGAGGGCGTGCCATATTAGAGACGGCACGGCTCTTATTGAATATTTTGCATGGCTCGAAGACCAGCTGGTAGTAAAGAAGGCCACTATCGACGAAGTTGAAGCCGCAGATAAACTCGAGGCTCTACGGACGAAGCTACAGGATTTCGTCGGGCTCTCCTTTCCAACAATATCGTCGACGGGGCCAAAGTGAGTCTGATTGGCGAATAACGGGCCCCGAGTAATTTTACTAATTATACATTAGTGCTGCTGTTATCCACTATAAACCAGAGCGTGGGAATTGCTCTATTGTCGACCCTAATGCGGTCTACCTATGTGACTCCGGGGCACAGTTCCTAGATGGCACCACAGACACAACCCGAACATTACACTTCGGCCGACCCACCGATGCTGAAATAGAGGCCTACACGCTTGTCCTGAAGGGAAACATCGCTTTGGACACGGCAATCTTCCCCAAGGGGACCACTGGCTTTGCACTGGACAGTCTTGCACGCCAGCACTTATGGGTATATTTTATCCCGAAGTTTACGAATTGCTAAGCCTTGCTAATTCCGCGTCGTAGAAATACGGGCTCGATTACCGCCACGGTACGGGCCACGGTGTTGGTTCGTACCTAAATGTGCATGAGGGACCCATCGGTATCGGTACCAGGGTGCAGTACTCGGAAGTTCCGCTGTCGGCGGGCAACGTCATCTCAGACGAACCTGGATACTATGAGGACGGTTCCTTCGGTATTCGCATCGAGAATATTGTCATGGTAAAGGAGGTGGAAACTAAGCACAAGTTTGGCGACAAGGCATATCTCGGATTCGAGCATGTCACAATGGTGCCGTACTGTCGCAAGCTGATCGACCCTAACCTGCTAACGGATGAGGAGAAAGCGTGGCTCAGCGATTACAACGCCGATATTTGGAGCAAGACGAAGGGGTACTTCGAGGAAGATGAACTTACAACGGCTTGGCTAAAGAGGGAAACGCAGCCGTTCTAGAGGTAAGGCTTTTCTAAAGTCTGTCCGGCCGGCAACCGGCGGGGCCAGAAATCGAAAAGGACTGCCGAGGCACCTAGCATCTGGGCTAACTAAGTACAACTCGTATTCCATAAATCACCATGCTTGGCTACTCGAAACGCATGAACGCCGACATGGCAAAGAAAATTCCGAACGATAACTTGAATGCGGGTTCCTCTTCCAGGGCCGCAAGTATCCGTGAATTCCTGACCCGCTGCTTCAGCCGCAGCTGCTGCACCAGGTCGATGCCGTACTGTGAAACTACCTAGATAAGATAACACGCAAGTCAGAGGTTTATTAAAGTCGATGAAGCTTTTTTGTAGAAATAGACATATGTGAAGAGAGGGCAAGGGGTATAGGTAGACGGTAGTAGATAGATAAGCATACTTGCACAAGAATCACGGAGAGCCCGAGGAGCAGGACTAGCATCCTTGAGAAGGTGCTGACAATTAGTCCGGACACGAAGCCTATAGTTACCTTGCGTCAGCAACAGGAAGGCGTCTACGCTACTCATTGCCCCCCTTCGTCTCTCTCTCTGATTATCCTGAGAACCAAAAAAGGGGTCCTCGCAGCGGGTCTGCCGCATATATCGTATATACACCTAGGTCGTATACCGAGAAGCACACATAGGCGGGTACAGAGCCACGTACCAGTAACGCAACCCCCAGACAGTTGGCGCATGGTCTCCGGGTCCAACCCGCCGACCCTTGCCTCCCTCCCGTGGTAGTCGCGAGAGAGGGGTCGCGGCACATCCCGCGTGTCGAACCGGTACGGCGCGGGGCGGATGGGGAGCGAGCACGCGATCGACGCTGTACCGAGGCCGATGAGGAGGGGCAAGCGGAGCGGGCGGACGGACATGGCTGGGTTCGCAGGAGCTATGTACCGTATTCTGACCGAGACAGGTAGGGCGCCAAAAAGGGGAACAGTTCTCAATAGCCGGGTGCGAATCGAGGCAAATCGTTAAAATAACGGGAAGCTGGCAGGTTACGAAACCGATAGCTTAGCTTAGGCTGGATACTGAGGGGAGGCGGTGGGCATGGAGGGTTGTGTTCCTCGTATAAGAGGTGTGTGACAGGAACGGTCGTTGTTTTACGACATGGAAGTGGGAGCTGAGCTTGTCCTCTGCTAGCTATTACTAATTGACGTCACTCAACGGATAATTCAGCTCCATCAGCTGCGCAGCCGTTGGTCCCTAAGCCGCTCCACATGGCGATTTTTTGCGTGGACAAGACACCTGCATGACTTGGCCACCCAGTGGCGTCCGGTAATGCGCCCGCGCTCCACGGGGTTTGGTCGAGATCAAAGTCTTGCAAATATTTAACTTTTTTCTTCCGATATCTAGCACCCAGAACTACCTCCTTAGACGGTGGCGCAGACGTTGTATACAGATATTTCAGCCCCGGTATGGGCCGCCATTAGATCGCGGCGAGATGCGGAACGCGAATAAACCAACGGCCTCTCATGAGCAGGTCAGGTCACACAACTCCTAACGCCCGCGCACCTTTTCCCTTCCCTAACCGACATAGTCGGTGGAAACGCCTCCTGTGCCCGAACGTGCCGCCTCGTCTACGTATATTATACAGATTTCCCTCCGTCCAGGTCGTCCGGCCGAGAGGGTACGGGGAAACACGTCGCCCACGAAATTGCGTGGCCCTCGTAAAGGCGCAGATCTAAATAGGGTGCTGCGTGGCGATTATCGTGCGCGAACTGGCTGCGTCAGCTTAGCCAAGGCCACCCCATACACCACGTATCCGCCTTGCAAGTTGGATGTCCTTCTGCATGATCGTCACTCGTTTCGCGTGGATGGCGCATAGGTTCGTATCCTCAAAGAGATGGACGAGAAACGCCTCGGCAGCTTCTTGGAGAGCCAGGAGAGCTTGCGACTGCCATCGCATCCCCTCGTCCGCTGGGCGCATCATTAGGGCTATTTCGCGGACCTGGACCGGCATCAATTAGCATCATCTGGCCACTGAATTGGTTGCCACCCACATGGAAAGCGATGTTAACGTACCAGCCGAGCGAAAGGTAGCTTCCGCATCAGTAAATCGGTGTTGTTCTGTAGCCTGCGGATTTCCCTCAGCGCGAGTGTTCCGGGCCTATATCTGCGTCTCTTGGGATAAGGGATTGGGTCGCCCGCTGTCGTCACGTTAGTGATGGCAAGCTAGCAGTGAGTGACACGATGCCGACCTACGTAGCACTGCCGGCGCTTTCCCCTTCGCCTTCCCCTTATTGCCGCCGAGGCTTGTCCGGCTTTTACGTGGTGGCATTCTGATGCGGCGAGCGGAGTGAGGTAGAAAAATGACGAGCGAGAGTAGCTTCAGCGCGATGCGACTAGAATGTGGCAGGCGTCGGTGTTGTGTAGAGCTGACGACGGGGGGTCGAAGTGCAGACGAGTAGGTCGAAGAACGGTATGTAGGTGTAGTGGTCGGGTTAGAAACCGGCGGTCGAAATGAAGGGAGCAGTAGCTTGCAATCCAAGTACCGAGTTATATTCAACAGTGAACGGAATTGGTAGCAACTAACATTCCTAAGAAGGGAAGGAAAGAGAGGAAGAGTCCGTCGAAGCCAGTCCACCAACGAAATATGAGCTTAGAATGATCAAGAGTAGACGGGGAAAAAAACGAAGTGGCTGGGGCTTCATTTCGCACCGATTGAGAGACTTCCCTTGCCCGTCAGAAACGCGCGATTGTGCACGCCCTACGACGCGCTTTTCCCCCTTCCCCTCCCAGCCATGTCAATTAAAATCCTTGCACGGATATGGTACCTCAGCTAAGGGGTGGCCTCTGGTACGTAGGAAATTGGACGGCTCAGAGATACAGACAAAGTACAGGCAGGCAGGTACATCCACAGGTACCCCTTTTTCGTGATGGACCATGCACGCAATTAGGTTAGGAGGTACCTAACCTAACCTTAAGGTACCTGCCTCCTAGGTTCTTAAGTACCTGCCTCATTATCAAGCGTCTCTTCATCTTCAGCCACGGATCCGTCGATGGAATGGCCACAATCCATCATGTGGCAAATAAGAGGGGTTCCAATACATGATCCTTATATATGCATACGAATATTCGATTAATACAATTTCCGGTATAGCGTCCCCTAATGAATGCCCAACCCATCTGTCCGATAAGGCCAGATTAGCAGTAGTGGGCTGAGGAGGCCAATTCAACCGCCGCTATTGCCGTCAACTGTCGACCGACGTGACTCCTCCATTCAGCCTTCTCTCTCCACCACAACCTCCTCTTTACTGTTACAACACCCCTTACCTATCTCAGTGTTCTCCTGCGTTATTTTCGAATAGACCTCATTGCCAACAAGAAATCCTCCTCCACCGCTGTTCCAACTTCGCCATTACACCTTCTAGGGTTAACTTAGCCCACCTACCTGCCTACGTCTCAGCCAGTATGGATCAAATGATGGCGGGCGAGGGCGGCCGGAACCCGCTGGAGGCCTGGTTCTGGGAGATGCCGATTTGTACGAGGTGGTGGACGACGGCCACGGTCCTGACCAGCGCCTTAGTGCAGTGCCAGATGGTTACGCCGTTCCAGCTATTCTACAGCGTCCGCACCGTATTCCAGAAGGGAGAGGTGAGAAACCCCCATCCCTTCCCTCCCAAGCGCAAGTGGTGTTGTGGCGTCGCTAACCCATGTTTCCTGAATTGCAGTACTGGCGATTATTAACCACATTCCTCTACTTCGGCCCCTTCTCTCTCGATCTCCTCTTCCACGTCTACTTTCTCCAACGCTATGCCCGCCTCCTCGAAGAATCGTCCGGCCGGTCGCCGGCCCACTTCTCGTGGCTGCTAGTCTACTCGATGGCCTTCCTCATCGCGCTCTCACCGGTGGTGTCGATGCCATTCCTCGGGCACCCGCTGTCATCGACGCTCGTCTACATCTGGTCGCGACGGAACCCGGACACGCGCCTAAGCTTCCTGGGCCTGCTCGTCTTCACAGCGCCGTACTTGCCCTGGGTGCTAATGGGGTTTAGCCTAGTGATGCACGGCACAGTGCCCAAGGATGAGATCATGGGTGTCGTCATCGGCCACATCTGGTACTTTTTTACCGACGTATACCCCCCGATGCACAATGGTTCTCGGCCGCTCGACCCGCCGATGTGGTGGCGCCGATTATTCGAGGGGAGGCAACAAAGAGACGAGACTGCCAACGCGATTAACAACGAGTTCGCAGTGGCGGGAGGCCCAGAGCTAGCTGCGGCGGACATGCGGTAAAAACAAGAAGCGGGCGAACTCGGCGACGCATGGTCGCGCTTAACTTTATTCTCGGATCCTCATTTTCGGCGTTACGCGGGGCAACTGTACAGCATTAGGGTCACGACGGCGTCTTACGGGGAAATAGCGGACGGTATTCGAGGACGAAGATATAGCATGGTAGAACTGGCTTTTGTACATACTCGAAACCAGAACGAATATCAGATCCATTTCAGCTCTGGACCTAAGACATCAACCGTCTCCATACGCGGATCTTGTAGGTTACTAAGGATCTCACTCCCGCAAATTTTTTGAGACCTGTCTTACTCGCTTGTTTCCGATGCTCGGACTTCGTGCGCTGTAGAGAGGTAGGGTATTATAACGGTAATAAGTAGCACGCGGTTTACTCGTAAAGTAGGTATCGAGACAAGGAAGCTTCATCTTCTCGCGGATTGGACGAACTCTTGCCGTCTATCTGTTCGCGGCTTGGTCCGAAATAAGACTGCGGCGAGACCTTTTCTAACCGCTCATATACTTGATACGAACCTACACAGGCGCAGCAGTCCTACGCGATGCACTGTATACTTACCTACATACCTTGATAGGCTCTTCATAGCAACCTCGGAGTTACGGCCGACTTTACACAGCGTGCTGACTCAGCGTTGTGCGCTGATCTATCTGAATAAAAAGAATTGGCGAATATCATAGCCTGTTAACCCCGCCGGGCAGGATAGAGGAGAGCGCCAAGCCTAATAAGAGGAACCTATTAGAAAAGAAAAGAAAAAGATACCGAGATCCTACCTCTTACCTTAGGTACCTACCTAGGTACCAAGTAGCCTAAACCTCAGGTATTGTACATCTCAATCTAGTACCGCTTACCAGAGCTCCCCCCGACGTCACATCTAGCCTAGCTAGCACCACCGTCCCGTAGCTTCGCACGTGGAGGGGCAGAACGCAGCTAATAGGAAGGTATTTATACTTAATCCCGTCAGGCCTCCATCTCCAAAGCTTCTCCTTTCTTCGCTCTCCATCCCGGCGACGCAAGCAACCCAGTCTCGATTCTCTGACAATTCTCCAGCAGACGCACCCGTCTTCAACCTACTAGCCTTGCTGCCTTGGCACCGAAACCGAAAATAAAATTTTTTTTTTACTAGCACGCCCGTTCGTTAAGATGAGAGCATATTGGTACGATAACGCTCCTGTAAGTGATGGGTGAAAAAGAGAGAACCCCCTCATCACATCATCACTGGACATTCTCGCGAAACCGTGCGGTCACACACACACACTCGTGCACATTCGCACGCATTATCATCGTGAAATAGCCGCCCCTCTCTACCATATGCGCCGATGCTAACAACTACCCCCTTATAACGCATACCAACAGGGAGACCAGCGGCTGCCTCATGATTCGGGACGGGAGGTAGCGGCCAGAGATCTGGAGCGACTCGGAGTGCTGTACTTCCGGTATGCGCAGGTCGAGGACGTTGATGCGCTAGCGCAGGCGCGGGGCTATAAGAACCGGGATGAGATCACGGTCTCGCCGGAGAAGATGGGCGTTGCGTACGAGGATAAGGTGCGCATGTTCTTCCACGAGCACCTGCACGAGGACGAGGAGATCCGGTACATCCGCGACGGCCAGGGCTACTTCGACGTTCGCGGCAAGGAGGACGAATGGGTCCGCATCCAGCTCGAGAAGGACGACCTCATCATCCTGCCCCCCGGCATCTACCACCGCTTCACTACTGACCAGGGCAACGTAAGTTCTCCCCTCTTTTTATACCTATCTACCTACCTATGTATCTACTGTCTGTCTACCCCCATGCCGTCGCTACTTTCCTCAGTTCCGTTTCCTACCTGGCTTTGTGGTGGGAGTGAAGGGTTACCTAACAATAGCTCTCTGGGGTTATATAGTACATCCAGGCTATGCGCCTCTTCAAGGACGAGCCCAAGTGGACGCCGCTGAACCGGAGTGTCGATCTGGACTCGAACAAGTATCGCAAGGGGTACGTCTCACAGTACCTTAACTGAATGAAAAAGAAAAAATTTTACAAAAAAAATGACTCTGCGGGCGAGTGAGCAAGTGAGCAAGGAAGGAAGGCTTCCTTTTTGTGAACCAGTGCCGGCGACGGTTGGCAGAAAAGAAAAAGGGACGGTAACAACAATTGCCAGAACGGCATCACGACATAATTATGATGACTTCTTTTCATTCGACCGCCTTGCTTGGTTTTGAAGTCGGTATAAAGTATTGCAAAGGCTGGCAACAGGATAATGATCTGGTGATCGATACTTGCGTGTCTCCCTCAAGCCGTCTATACAGGGTTCCTATTCTTATGGCTGAATTCCACTCGTGGGCAATGGGGACTTATACCTCTTAAGAGGCACTTGCTGGGTACCTGCATACCTCTGCGTATATACCTGCCTACCTACCTACCTATGCGGGGTCTGCAACTATGAGTAAGTGGCAGTCGTGGTGGGTTAGTAAGTGAAAATAACCGTTAACCGAAGGTCACCTAGTAGATTAGGTACTGACATAAACTATATGTACCGCCTCTAATCTGGTATGTGCCATTTCTGCCTCCCAAGGTACCTACTGACTCCCGATTGGGAATCACGACCCCCTCTCTCCCTACCTTAATTCTTCTATCTACCGATTCAAGCTGTCCTACCTCTCGTGTCTCCCCTATCACAACAACACGATACTTCTGCTTAAAATTAATTCTATATTGCCTTGCCTGCCTGTGCTTACCTCGAAACCCCTTGCTATGCGGCGCGCATTCGGAGGAGGCTATTGATATCTACGAAATGACGAGTTGCTGCTCTCCGTGTCTGAGTCGAAGCCGAAGCCGAAACCGAAGCTACAACAGGCACCATCATGGACTCTAGATCCGTGTCCGAAAATGCCCAACCCTCTCCGGGCAGCATCAGCGTCCCTAAGGGGAAACTACTTCTACCCGCGAGCTGCGAGCCTCCGCTCCCGAATGCGCCTAGAAAGCAGCTCGTATGGATCGTGAGTCCCTCTCTCCTTGTCTTCGCTCAACGTGAATGCATTTATGACCTTTCTCGTTCCCCCCCCTGGTATTATGTCGGCGGATGTGTCACCGAAGAATAAGATAGCGAGTCCAACTCGCTTACTAAGTGTAAAAACAAGGTCTTTGGCGGCACCGGTCACATGGGCCGTTCGCTGGTCAAGTGCGCGCTGGCGCGGGGGGACCTGGTGACAGACGTGGGGCGGACGTTTGAAAGCACGCCAGAGGAGATGGCAAACCAGCACCAGCACGAGAACTGCCTCGGCCTGTTGTGCGACGTACGGGCGCGGGCGAGCGTTGCGCGGGTCATCGAGCGGACCCTAGAGCGATTCGGGCGCGTCGACGTCGTGGCTAATTGCTCGGGGTACGGCGTGATTGGTGCGTGCGAGGACCAGGACGAACACGAGATCCGCAACCAGTTCGAGACCAACTTCATGGGCACGCTGCACATCATCCAGGCGAGCCTGCCCTACTTTCGCCAACAAAACGCAGGGAGATACCTCATCTTTAGTTCGACGAGCGGCGCGCTTGGCGTGCCTGGACTCGGCCCCTACTGCGCGACCAAGTACGCGGTCGAGGGCCTCATCGAGGCTATGCTCTACGAGATCGACGCGTTCAACATCCGCGCAACGCTCGTCGAGCCAGGGCTCGTGCGCCGCGACGAACCCGACGCCCAGGAGAACCCGCTGCCGACCTGGGGTCACTTCCTCATCAAGCCGGCGAGCGAGGCGTACGGGCACGCGACCTCGCCGGCGCTGCACGCGAAGCGCATGGTTCAGTGGCTCGGCGACCGCCAGCCCACGAGCGCCGTCAAGTGTGCCGAGCTCGTCTGGCAGCTCGCCCACTGCTCGTACCCACCCCTGCGCCTCGTGCTTGGCAGTTACGCCATCGAGAGCATCCGCGACCGCCTGCGCTCCGTCACCGAGGAACTTGAGGACTGGAAGCATCTCAACTACCCGGCCGCCCCGGAGGCCGAGGTCGGAGGCACCGCTGGCCCTAATAGCACAGCCGGAGCCGGAGCCGGAACTGGGATTGGAGCTACTACGTGTACTGGTTCCGTGTCCTCCTCAGCGACAGGCACAGCTACCGCTACAGAGCCCGCTGAAGGAGTGGGGTCGACGACGACTATGGTAGACGCCGATGCGGGAAGCAAGGCGGAGAAGGATGAAAAGGATGACGACGCGGGCGAATCGAATGAAGAAGAGATGGACCAGACTTAGAGATGGCAAATAGGAGCTATAGACACCGACAACGATAGGATAAGGCACGTATGGCACGGACCACTCTCGTGCATTCTCAAACATGGGAGCCAATTGAACTTTTTATCTTTTTTTCTTTTTTTCAGATATCAGATAAAGGTCCCATTATTTTCGGGTTATAATTCTTTTCTTTCACAGTATCGAATCTATTGCGTTTAAGAAGTTTTGACATAGGGCGAAGGAACATCACTGCCACGGAAGGCTGCGTAGGCACTTGTGAGTAAGAATTCGCATTTCGTGTCACGGAGGCTAGGTATATACGTGGTGAAGGTACATATGTCTACAGGAAGAAGAAGAAGAATATTTTACGCCACGCATTCTACCTGTACAGATAATGAGGCGGGGCCGCGACGACGGCTGGCCCACTGTTGTTCGGGTATAGTGTTCGCTGGAAAAGGTGCAGTCTGTGTACTGCTCCCGCTAAAAACCAGCTACTGGCCATCCCGGCGGGGACCACTGGGTGCCCCGGACTCTCAGTAGGAAATGTAGGTAGGTATCCACACTTCGCTTTGACCGTTGAAGAAGAGATCTCTGTTTTGGGCGTGGTGTTCTGCATGCACATAGCGAATACGAGGACAGATTTGCAGTAGGTACATTATGTGCCAAAGGCAGGTTTCGAAGATGCGATGCTGGTTTTTAATTATTATGATGAGAATGGCTGGTAAAAAAAAAAGGTGTATACGCGTAGTACTGAAACCAGTTTCGGCTAAGGGGTAGGTGCACCTACGTACAGGTACCTAGCATGCGGTTATGTATATATGTATATATGCGGGATGTTACTGTCTCTCTCGCTTCTCATTGGTTATATCGAACATTTCTAATTTTACCTTCGCGCTAAGTCCATGCTAAGATTGCGGCGTTCCTTCCGCTGGGGGTGAGTGTCCTTTGTGTGAAGCCACATATGGACGCCACACGGTTAATTTGGCGAGCGACCAAAGCAGAATTCAACGAGGTTCGCGTTCGGCCCTCCTATGCGGCCCGCAGTCTACATAGCTGCATTACCCAACCCTAGATTTGATTAGGCAAGGGAAACAATAATATCCAACTTTCCCTGCCAACCTACCACATCCATCTCTCTGTCAACGCGCACCTCCAAATATCCACCGTCGTCTCGTCTTCTTCTTGTCCTTCTGCCGTAGCCGTGCTTCGTTACCGCAGCGGTTGTCACAGTAGTCGCATTCTTCCTCATCTTACCGGATTCATGCTTGAGCGGAGGAAATATATACATTTCGGCCCCCCGACATACCCAACGTGCCCGCTCAGTTCTCGGTCCGGTTTCGACACACTTTGTCCTGCTCTGTCAACCTATCGCAGCCGACGCGCGTTACAGACTGTCTAGACGGCTCCACCAACCCCGATCCACCCGTCGCTTGTCTGGTAGCCTTCTTTTCCCTCCTGATTATTCCACCGAGATTGGCCTTTTTTTCCTCTTTCTATCACCGCAACTCGCCCTCACCATTCCGCCTGCCTCTCTCGCTGACGTGCGAGTTGATACCGCCGACCAGCAACGGCTCTCCAGTCGTAACGGCCTCGATCTAGCCATCCTAGGTAGCAAGTCGACGACACTGTCAAGATGTCGGACAAGAAGAACGAAGACTACACCGTTCGCATGCCCGACTCGGCATACGGAGAGAAGGATCCTTTCATCCCGCCTCGCCCTGCGCGAGCCGCATCCCACCACAACTCCGTCGCCTCGAAGCTCGCTAAGATCGAGAACAACCCTACCGTCTCCATCCTCGCTTACTGTCTATCTTCCATTAGTATGACCATCGTTAACAAATACGTCGTGTCTGGCTCCGAGTGGAACTTGAACTTCTTCTACCTCGCGGTTCAGGTGTGTTCGATATCCCCAGGAACCATTCCGGCCGGTGTGAAGTGTAGGCTGACGCTTGCTTGGCAGTCAATCGTCTGTATAGTAACGATCGAGGCTTGCAAGCAATTAGGCTTGATCAAAAACCTCGCGCCCTTCGACATCAACAAGGGGAAACGATGTATGTGTCTGGATGGGCGGTGTTCTGGTATGCTCTATTAACACGGCCACAGGGTTCCCTATCTCCCTCCTCCTAGTGGGTATGATCTACACCGGCACCAAGTCGTTACAGTACCTTTCGGTCCCCGTCTATACCATCTTCAAAAACTTGACGACTATTGTTATCGCATACGGCGAGGTTCTATGGTTTGGAGGAAGCGTCACGCCCCTAGCTCTGCTTTCGTTCGGTCTTATGGTCCTCAGCTCCGTCGTTGCGGCGTGGGCCGACACCCGCAGTGCTAGTCAGACTGCCGAAGCCGCCGCAGCACTCGCTACCCTGAACGCCGGTTACGCCTGGATGGGGCTCAACGTCTTCTGTACTGCATCCTACTTGCTTAGCATGCGTAAGGTCATCAAGAACATGAACTTTAAGGACTGGGACAGTCAGTTAAACTTCTCCCGAGCGGATTTTGCCATCTTGCTGGTGCTGACTCTGTCTAGCTATGTTCTACAACAACTTCCTTACCATCCCTGTCCTCCTTATCTGTTCCCTGCTTGTCGAAGACTGGTCCAGTGCGAACCTGACCAAGAACTTCCCCCCCGAGTCTCGAAATGCCCTCTTCGTCGGCATGGTTTACTCTGGCATGGCTGCCATCTTCATCTCCTACTGCTCTGCGTGGTGTATCCGAGTGACATCCCCGACTACCTACTCGATGGTTGGAGCCCTCAACAAGCTTCCGATTGCCGTTAGCGGTCTCATCTTCTTCTCCGCGCCCGTCACCATCGGAAGTGTCTCAGCGATCTTCATCGGCTTCGTCAGCGGTATCGTGTATGCTTGGGCGAAGGTGCGGCAGTCTCAAGTGGCCAAAAACTCTCTACCCATGACACAGCCTACCATGAGCGCGAGCTCGCAGAGCAACCGCGATGCCGCCAACTCATAAACCAGGGCGCCGACCGCGGTATTTTTAACGAGTCATGTCGCAATGCCGGTGTCCGACGGGAGCTAAACAAAGTCGCAATGAACCAGCAACGGATACTGTCTCGAGATGGCTGGGCTGGCGGCACACCATCTCGCCCTATGTTCTACTGTATAATACTTGACGATTCCTTTCGAGATAGTGACGGATCAGGAGCCGTTGATTTCTGGCATAGACTTGATTTAACTTCTACTAATGAGAACACGGAGCTCTACAGGCATGGGGGGGGACAGTCATTCATCACCACCACCACCACCACCACCACTACCATCATGACCATCCTACCGGTACTTCTAATGACGTAAGATAGGAGTACAAAAGCCTCGGCCGTCATCTGTTTCCGTTGCTTCTTGGGGGATATGTTTTGTCAAGGTAGCTAGACATGGCAGGGTCACTACAGCCTGGGCCGGCTGGCTAATGCGCTTGGAACGGACGTTGACCTGGTGTCGGAACGGGAAAAAGGCGGGACGAACTGTCGGATAGACGTATGGTTGTGCAAGCTCTGCTAAACTAAGCTGGTCGAGCCAATAACTCAGCACAGTTCTAGGTGCTCTGTGTTTGGAAGACGGGAGGCAACATTGATAAAGATGACAGGATTATTTCACCCCCACCCGTGAATCCGGTTCAACTTTGCATTCGCTGGCAGTGTTCCGGGTGTTGAAGGGCTAGGTCTGTGTGAGGGACCGAGGCAGGTTAGGCACCTCTACATTAGGTATATAATGGAATGCCTAGGGTCCCTTAGGTACCTCTTATATATCATCGACCTAAAGGTTATTGCCTGGAGAGGGACTACCAACCTAGGTAGGTATCGTGTCGATCGGGAGCGTAGGTTATACATGGGCACCTATGAGGTATAGGGAGCTGGTCTCCCTACCGGCATACTACTGATAGGGTAAAGGTAATGTTGCTGAGGACAGGAGATAGGAGGTATTTTCGCCTGTATGACTTGGTCTGATGACGGGGTCACGTAGGTTAGGTAGGTAGGTATAGAATAATCGCATAGGTATCTGCCTGTAGCTTAGGCACCTCCGAATAGAATAAGCGCAGGAGGGTAGGTACCTGCCTTAGGTACCTACCTACCATCTAAACGATGGCACTAGGTAATGTAGCACCTGTCAGGTCGCTAGAGCGCACATGACAGGCATTTAGGTAGGTACCTCTATAGGAGATAGGAGGTAGTACTTACGCTTGCTGCATACCTAATTTGTGCTTCGGTACGTTCGCCTTCGGTTGCATGCCCACCTCTGCTAGGTGTTGTCGCGTAGAGGTGCAACAGGAGGTATATGCATAAGTGATGTATGCACATGCGGATGCGAAGATGCAAATACGAAAGGGAGGTCACCCTCCCTGCCGTGGTTCGCGGCTGACAGCCAGTAGAGTGAGCACATGCGACCAACTGGCACACGCGGCAGGATCCGTTGGAACGGCCGCTTGCCCCACTGTACCGGGTGACATCATTGCTGGGCAATATCCTCCCGAGCTCTTGTCTGCATGCACCTTAATGCTTGTCAAGCCTCGCCTCGCCTCAACTCGACCTTTTTTTTTTTCTTCCTTTTCTTGTTTCCGTCACCGCTGCCTCACCTCGAAAGCTTCCTCCTCGCCCACCCACGTAATAAAACTCGCCTCTACTTTATCCCCTTCACCTCTCTACCACTAATCGTTTCCCCCTCCCCCACCTGCGATATCCCTGGTGGCTGTCGTCGCATACCCGTCTCGTACCCTATATCACCATTGCCGACGTCCCTTACTACCACTTGAGCCAAAGCCGGAGATCTCGTTTCTCGTGTCTCTCGCGCGGCCGTAGGCAGCGGCATCGTTTTCCACTAGCAGAAATACCCTCCTCTGTGCCGGAACAGCCATCATAATCTTATAATTCAGCATTCGGTCCGGACCAACTGTGTTGTTCTCCTCTTTTTTTTCTGCCTCCCTTCAGATTCTACCCTGCGCCTTGCTACCCCCGAGTTATGACACGCTCTCCGTAAATATACGAAGGATGCTACCCTATATCAATAAACGTGGGGACCCCAACATGTTATGGTTTTCCATTCGCCGGTCTCGTGCGTGCTGACCCTATCGCGTAGCGTTCGAGCTGTTATCTGGAGCAGTTGGTGCCTCTCCAGATGAGCGTATGTCTTCCCAGATACGATATCGTCTTCTCGCGATCGCCAAACCTTGCTAAGGGCGCCGAGTACCACAGTCAAGCTCATATTCTCCTTCCTGCTCTCATATCCGCTCGCCGGCCTCCTGAAGCGTGTGCCGGATGCTCGCCCCGAATACAAGAACCTATTCATCATAAGGTGGGAATGAACAATATCCCCGGGACAGGAATTCGCGGGGAAAGAGACTGATCGTGGTACGGTGAGCATAGCGGCGGCCTATTTTATTTAGTAGGTCTATTCTCGCTATGGACCGGCGTCCGAACTATCTTCATCGCCTCCACAGGCACGTACGCCCTCGCATACTACCTTCGAACCTCCCCATACATGCCATGGATCGCCTTTGTCTTCCTCATGAGCCACATGGCCGTGAGCCAGCTCACACGCCAGTTCGCTGATAACCCCGCCGCGATCGATATTACCGGTGCCCAGATGGTGCTCGTCATGAAGTTGTCCGCCTTCGCCTGGAACGTGGCCGACGGTACGCTGCCGGAGGACCAGCTCAGCGATTTTCAGAAGAGCAGGAGAATAATCAAGCTACCATCATTTCTAGACTATGCGAGCTATGTACTATTCTTCCCATCTCTCTTGACGGGCCCGGCCTTCGATTACAACGAGTTCCGCGGTTGGATCGACTGCACCATGTTTGATGTGCCAGCGAATATAGACCCCGCAAAGAAGCCCCCGACTAGGAAGAAGCGCAGGATACCGAGGAGTGGGACACCGGCCATGTTGAAATTGGCCAGCGGCCTCACCTGGGTCTTCCTCTTCCTGAACTTGAACAGGTGGTACTCTGGCGATGCCCTTCTCAGCGATCCCCCGGCGGGGGCGGGCTTCCTACGCCGTGTGTTCACCATGCATATGGTAGGGTTCACCACCCGAGCCAAATACTACGGCGTGTGGTTCATGGCAGAAGGCTCGTGCATCCTCGCTGGGCTGGGCTACAACGGCGTTGACCCGGTTACAGGCAAGGTCTCGTGGAACCGTCTCCAGAATATTAGTCCGTGGGGGGTGGAGCTGGCCCAGAACTGCCGCGCGTACCTGGGGCACTGGAATATGAACACCAACAAGTGGTTGCGGTACTACATCTACCTGCGCGTGACGCCCAGGAATAGGAAACCCGGCTTCCGCGCTAGCATGGCTACATTCGTTACGAGCGCGTTCTGGCACGGGTTCTATCCGGGTTACTACCTCACCTTTGTCTTCGCTAGCTTCGTCCAGCAAACCGCCAAGAGTATGTCGCCGCAACCCCCACTAACCGCTCTTTTTTGATCTCTGTTCTTCGCCGCTTTGGCATGTTCAACAACTAACGTCGCTTCGCCATCCCAGACTTCCGGCGCAACGTCCGACCTTTCTTCCTCGACCCGGTGACGCAAAAGCCGCTGCCGAGCAAGAAGTACTACGACTTTGCTTCGTGGCTCGCGACGCAGCTGACCTTTTCGTTCCTCGTCGCGCCGTTCATCGTGCTGCGGCTCGACGCGTCACTGCTGGCGTGGCAGCGCGTGTACTACTACGCGATTGGAACGACGGGCGCGGGGACGGTGCTCTTCGCGTGGCCAGCGGTACGGGCAGAGCTCCGGCGACGGCTCGAAGAGCGGACGCGCGAGGCCGGCGTGCGGCTGCAGCGTAGCGCGAGCACGGACAGCCTCAGCGGTGCGGGTGGTGTGGGAGGCGCGCAGGAGCCCGTGCTTGGCCTCAGCGCAGACCCGGCCCGCGACCTCGATGAGGCCTTCCAGGAGATCCGCGAAGAGGTCGAGAAGGCGCAGGCCCGGCTCAAGGAGCTGGGTCACGACGGGGCGCCGGCACACGCGCAGGCCGTAGCTGCGGCGCTGGAGATAGAGGGCAAGAAGAAGGAGTCATGAATAATAAGGCGTGAGGTGGGAGATGGGAGTGATTCGGTCAGTCAGGCTTCTTTGGTTATATCGACCGTGATCATGGTAACTGCCCTACCCAGATGAGGGAAGGACATGAGAGGAAGGAGACCCGCAGCTGGTAACGTAATTCAGTTTAACCGGGGAAGGGGGAGGGGGGTACGGCATAGGCCGATGGGCGTCAACTAGATCTAGTCTATATCTTCTCTCTTCCCCTCCAACATCCGAACGTATATACGTTCTCAGGGATCTTCAGTACTCGGTAGTGTGAAGGCTGTCCCGCCGGTAACTCCCTTTTTTCATAGCACAGCAGCCCCCCCCTTTCCACCCCACGAGTAACCGGGTTAAGTCTTCTGCCTTGATAAAAGCCCACCCTGCTCAACACTTAGGTACAGGAGGCGCTGATGCCAGCTGATTTTAGTGATGTAGATGCTGACTCCCCGTCGTACAGTATGAATCGGTTTACTTCGGGCAGAGTCAAAGCCACCTATACCTCCTGTATCAAGTACGCAGGTAAGAGGTATATCTGTATACTACAGAAGCGCTACTCAAGGTCGGCCATTTGTCAGCTAGACATTTACTTAATGTACGTACAGAGGGTTCCTGTTCGCTGTCCGCCTTACATACTTACCTATTTCATGGGTGGGAAGAAGTACCGGCAGAGAACATGATATTACGTAGTGGTTGCAGCTGAACGCACCTGACGCGGCGTGCTAGGTGCCTTCCAGTCACCTACAGCCACCTAGGTAGGTAAGTATAGTGGAGGATACCCCACGCCGACCGCAGAAAGTACATAATAGGTGTGCATTCTTACACAAAGTACGTCCCTCCCTAATCCGATCCACTTACCCAAACTGATACATCATTTGTCCTCAACCATCTTTCCCGCGTTTGTCAGCCTTGCTATGGAAATTTTTCCTTTCCATTCTTCTTCTCATACAGAATAACTGTCAGCCAAGAGAAAGCCTCCTGAGCATCGAGACTTCTTAGAAACACCTTCAAATCCTCGGGCTCCATACCGCAGACACGCCAGGCACACACCATCCCTCCTCCCCACACCCCTCCAAGCAGTGAAGGAAAGAAAAAAAAATTACTGCCCCACCAAAGATTCTCCCGTCCAACTAAACTGACCCTGCGTACATAATCCTCGCCCCAGGAAGAACAAGAAGGTATCGTGCATATCTGCGTGAGATGAAAGAGGCCAGACAAGGAAAACATATATAGACAGAGCCAGGCTACCCGGGGTCTACCACGTCCCTAGTCTTACCAATCCCCCACTATGGCAGCACCGGGCCCCGGTGCCGGTCACGACGATGTCGACCTATACGGTGAGCGGCTTACTCCCTGGTCCGAGACACCTATCCGGCTCGTCCCTATCTGTACCACAATTTTCAATCTTGCTGACATGAACCCTAAGAGCTCCTTGGAGTCGACAAGAGCGCAAGCGCCGATGACATCAAGAAGGCATACCGGAAGGTGAGAGAGAAGCATATGACCTTGTCTCCCCGAAGCAGGCCGGACCGGCTGACGCGTCATAGCTTGCCCTTCAACACCATCCCGACAAGGTGCCTGAGGACCAGCGCGCCGAATCCGAAATCAAATTCAAGTCTGTAAAGCACGCCTACGAGATCCTCCGAGACGAAGATCAGCGCGCCCGGTATGATAAATTCGGGATGGCAGCATTCGACGCCTCGCGGGGAGGTATGGGCGAGGAGGGAGATATCAACGACATCTTGGCCCAAATGTTCGGCATGGGCATGGGCCCTGGTGCCGGGCCGAGAAAGCCCCGGCGTGGCAGTGACCAGGAGTCCAAGTATTCTGTCAGCTTGGAAGATCTTTACAAGGGCAAGGCCGTGAAGTTCGCTGCGAATAAGAAGGTGGTCTGCGCGACTTGCAAAGGCTCCGGCGCAAAGGATAAGGTCAAGCCGCAACAATGCGATCGCTGCAAGGGCAACGGTGTCGTTGAAGCCTACAGACAGGTCGGACCCGGACTCGTCACGCGCGAAGCCGCCGTGTGCGATCGCTGCCAGGGGTCTGGTAACCACTACAAGGAGAAAGACCGGTGTAAGAAATGTAAGGGCAAGCGAACCGTCCCGGAGACGAAGCCGCTGGAGATCTACATACCCCGCGGCTCGCGGCAGGGGGAGCGGATCGTGTTGGAAGGCGAAGCCGATCAGGACCCCGACCAGACTCCGGGTAATCTCGTGTTCGTACTAGATGAGGAGCCCCACGAGGTGTTCAACCGCATCGGAAACGACCTCTCTGCCGATTTGGATATCACCCTCGCTGAAGCCCTGTGCGGCTTCTCTCGTGTGGTACTCAAGCATTTGGACGGTCGGGGCATCCACATCAACCATCCACAGGGCAAGGTCCTAAATCCCGGACAGGTGCTCAAGGTGGAGGGCGAGGGCATGCCGTTGAAGAAAGGAGAGGCGAAGGGGGACCTGTACCTCATCGTCAAGATTGAATTCCCCCCCAACGGCTGGCTGAAGGACGACGCCGCCTACGAATCCCTCCAGAAGCTCTTGCCGGGGCCGCCGCCGGAGATCAAGGTCGAGGAGATTGATGATGTAGCCTACGACGCCGGCGCCGATATTGACGAGGTACGTCGCGTCCCCCTGTTCTTTTTTCCCTTTCACTCGAACATTCGGTGAGGTAGCAAGCATTACTAACCGTACATAAGATGGGCGCGCACTCGGGAGATCCGCGGTACGGAGATGGATGGGAAGACGAAGATGACGAGGACGGGGCCGGTGGACAGCCTCAGTGTGCACAGCAGTAACGGTAACGAATCACGAGACATGGCCATTTGGTTCAGCAGACGCTAAATAGTAGCATCGACGCGAGTCTAGAAATGTGATAGAGGGTTAAGCAGGTGTCGGGAAACCGGGATCGATTTGGGTCGTAAAGAGGCCGGCGATCTTAAGAATGGGCGGTAATGCGATATAGAGGATCAGCCGATCGGAAGGACGGACAGCTAAGGTTGGGCGGAATCTGGACCTCTGCGTTGCCGGAGGAGTTTTCGTGTCGTCGTCCCCTTTGGGACATATTTTTCTAGGGCGAGCCCCCCTCTCCCGAATCATTTGCCACAACATAGGTGGACGGACGGACGGTTTCAAAGGCCTGGTCGATGAATCCCTGAGGGGTTTGGTGAATCGTATAGGTTGGATGAGAAAACCCCCTTCCATTTCTTCCTCCCCCCATCCATCCCTTTGGACGAAGAAGTCGCCGACATGAATGAAGATGACGGGTCGCCCTGTCCTCAGACACCTAATATGAGTACGAGGCCGACGGCGACTTAGGATTCCGCACGAAAGAATGACACCGGGGAGTCGTGTATAGAATCACCTAATAGTACTTTTCAGCTGTAACATGAAACGCTGTCCCCCATACGCTGTTCTCTATGAGCCCAAGGCCGGCATGATGCGTTGCACATTCCCAAGATTGTGCCCGTCAGGACGGTCTAATAATAGGAGATTCGAGAGGTACTGAGGTACTTCTCTCTGATGGTTGCAATGTTAGCCACATTAGTCGGGGCAAAGAGGTGGCTGGTCAACTGTGGCTAGTATTGCCTTTTTCTCAGTGGAGCCTTTTTTCCAATATAAATTCAATTATGGGGACTCTATGGCACGTGACTTCGCCCACCAACCCTAACGAACGAAACCCTTAGCGCGAAATTCCGGCTGTGCTGCTATCGGGGACACTCTTTCGTACCCGTTCAATTTTGCGCCAGAATATCAGCAACCCACGACCCATACATCCTAGTCCCTCCTCCATCAAGACATTGACAGCAAGAGAAGTCGTCAACGTGAGCACTTTCTACTCCTGCTTTATTCCTTACTTTTCGACAATCTAAATAAGATCCTGAACTAATAAATTTCTCTCTCTCAAGATGGTCGCCGCAAAGAAGCACGTCCCGATTGTCAAGAAGCGTATGTTGGATCCGTATCCCGTCCCCTCCTCCGCGACCGATACGATCTCTCGGCGGCGAGCGTGAAGAATTGATATGATGCGTACTTTGGTCGTGGCGGTTTAGCGGCAGGATATTGATAGAGCGCTTCTCCCAGGAACCAAGAGTTTCAACCGACACCAGAGCGACCGCTTCAAATGCCTGTCCTCCAGCTGGCGAAAGCCTAAGGGCATTGACAACCGTGTCCGAAGGCGGTTCAGAGGCAACATGACCATGCCCTCAGTACGTCGCTGCCCACCCCCGCTTCGTTGGCTGTTCGTAATGGAAGAAGGAGGGGGGGAATAAGAACAAATGGAGAGAAGGAGAAGAGCCTGGGAAAAGAACTGCAGCGAGGACTTCGGCTTCGCCCCGGCGGGATGCGCAGGGCCGTTCGCATATAGGTAAACCAGTGTGCTGACTCGACTTTTCATTCCACAGATCGGCTTCGGCTCCAACAAGAAGACCCGCCACATGATTCCCTCGGGCCACAAGGCATTCCTTGTTAGCAACACCAAGGATGTTGAGCTGCTGCTCATGCACAACCGGACTTACGCCGCAGAGTACGTCGCGCTTCGTCCCGCTGCCCCGGCTAGCACCGGAGGGCGTCCGACTCGAGGGCAGAGTGAGCTTGGGTTGGCTAACAGTGCGGCAGGATCGCCCACAACGTTTCGTCAAGAAAGAGAATCGACATAATTGCCCGGGCGAAGCAGCTAGGCGTCAAGGTCACCAACCCGAAGGCCAAGGTTACCACGGAGGTGTAAGGAAAACAAAATTGGCGATTCGCGGGTGGTCGATTATGGAAGAAAGGGGAAGGGGTTCCGGGTTTCTCGTTTTCGGCACTATTTGCATGCATGGGAAGGGTTTTCGCTCTGCTATGGTCCACGGACGGTTCGAGCTAGCATGTATTGATTTCGTGCTAAGGAATGCAACACGCCTTCTGCGATGACACGTATTTACGGCCCGGATGATCGATGCCCTTTTCTCGTCTACCTACCTACGATTTACATGAACCCCTACGCGGGCACGCGACGTGAGCTCCGAGCTCCAAACTACAGTTACGTTTCCGGTAGCCCGGTGGCGTAGCGATGTGCGGTGCCATGCATGTGAAGAGACGTATCAGCTTAGTAGCAGTTGGTCGCCTCGAGTGTGTGGTGGCGGCCGGCTCTGGTGTTAAACAGGGGAAACCAAACTAATATGCCACGAGCAACTGACGGACCCTTGATGGTGATGCGATTACACACATGTGAATTGCGAGCTGAGAGATATGGGGATGGACAATCAGCTGGGTTCTCCCGACCTGATAAACCCTTAATCTGGCTGCAATGAGCCAGCCCTGGTCGAGGTTGTGTCGTATTGGACCGTAGGGCTTCCATATCCGCGGCTGATTCGATGCCACGTACAAATCCGCCCCCTGCACCAACCCAAAGAAAGGTTGGGCACTAGTGTACAGAAGTTGGCCGTAGGCATGTATTATACCGTCTGTATTATATGTAGGTGTCTTGAAGGAGGCAGAATGCCGCGTCAGTCAGTCATGGGGGCTTTGGAAAGGGGGGCGGGGGGCGAGCGAGTAGGAGAGATTAGGAATAGGGAATGAGACAAGGAGGGAACTTCGCGTGGCAACCTATCTATGTATATATTGTGATGCATACGAACTCAGCAGTGTATCGTGATACCGTAGTTGTGGTTTGGAGAACTGATCTCCCTTTCCTGAGAGCCCTTGAACCGCCAGACACCTCAGGAGAAAATCATCCCCATCGTCTCAGTATTGCCACCATACCTACGTGGACTACCAGGGGCAGACTGTCTTCACGCGATTGTTGCCCTTACAAAGCCAGGTGGCATAGGCTTGTTTGTATGATACACTTTCCTTACAGGTACCTAAAAGTCCTTAAATTTCTATTCGAACCGCTGATATAATGACCTTGCAGGAATATATATAGTCCCAGGAGCAGCTAGAGCCAACCTACGGAAAACGCCAGCCTGAAAGGAAGAAGAGCACTTGAAGAAGAGGGATGTATGGCTCATTAGCACATGTAGGTATTGGAAAGTTCGAGTTGCAATGTCAATATCACGCCCCTTTTCTCCCAGTCTCACTCCCCAGCAGACAAGGCAGGCCAGCTATCCCACATACGTACACCTCAGGCACAAGTCCGGGTCCCTTTATTATTTCCTCCTCCTCCTCCTCCTCTGGGATCTGGTGGTGGACACCTAAAGAAGAAGGGCGCACGTCCAACTTGAGCAGATGAGGTCTCAGACATCATCACCACAATGGTGCAGACAAAGGCAGATGCCCCGGTGAGGCAGAGACGTGCTTTTTTCTCATGTAAGTGCCTGGGGAGGGTTGTTATTATTGTTGTTATCGTTGTTGCTGGGGGGAGAGGTAGCTGGAGGTGTCTACTATGTGCCCTGGAAAATAACCATCAAAACAGGCTCGTTATTTGGCAAATAAGGGATGGCACCGGCCATTATCTGCTATAGGCATATCCCCTTCTTGCCTCCAGTGAATTTCTTTTCTTGGGAAAATCCACACTTGATTCTAACGGTGAATCTTTGGACTGAATAAGGCCTGTTCTGTCTATATTTATCTAGAAGGCTGCTAGTCCTCCTCCCTTTCTCACCTCTCGACACTATTACACCTTTATATCCGACAACCCCAAGGAGACTTTCATCACCTATGGAGGGACTTCCGTGACAGGGCCAGCTTTTCATCTGCAATACAGTAACCGACTGTACTCCAAGCTTGCTTCATTCAGATACATACCAATAGGCACACATCTACCTCTAGAGCCTCTCTGCTCAACTCCACCACAGACAGAAGCAGCCAGTTCCAGCCAGTTCTGCGGAGTGGGCCCCGACAGCCATTTTGCCACCAAGGAAGTCGGGGTGTTTGTCCGGACAACGACAACTTCACCTCCATCCGATTAAGACATTCATTGGTAAGGCCCCGATATCAACTTAGGTGGGGCTGTAGAGATGATAGAGCCGAGATCCTGGAATACTTAAACGGGTTACTTGTGTCTCCTTCGTCTCCCTTCACCGTCTCCCTTTCACCTTTCTTCGGAACAGCAACTCACTGCTCTTGGACCCCCCCTCCCCCAGCTCCCTTCACCATCACACGTCGCAGCTCTTCTGGACCATCTGTAACTGATCACTCGTCCCACTTGAAGCAAAAGACGTACGCACATCTCCCTGTCGGGTTGTCTTCCAGTCCACCCTACAGATAGGGCATGCGCACACAAACGACAGAAACGCACTTCACAAAACAACGTCTACACCACAAGAAGGAAATCCACCACCATGCCATCCATGGAGAACAACCCCGGCCTGAACCACGTAGCCTGCAGGGCCCTACCGCAGCTGCCTGTGACCGTCATCGCAGCAGCCTACGATGGGCGCGATGGACTCGAGGGCGAACTACGGTTCCACGTGATCACAGGGGGCTACAAGTACCTGTGCAACGCAGGAGATGTTGGGCTGCCGGAAGATGAGGAGGGCGTGTACATCCTGTATCAGGACCGGGCACTGCAGGTTGCTGGACCGATGTGCGACCAGCGGCGTTGCTGTGCCTCCCATGTGTGCGCCTGCTATGACGCCTCTGCCACGCTCCCGCTAACAACGATTACCACAACCATGATGCACAACTGGACCACGGCTGAGCACCAGCAGTACCACCGCCAGCGCCTGCTTGTTGCTAAGGGCGACCGCTTGCTCGCGCAGCACCGCCACCGCCAGCTTCGCGCCAGGCTGGCTGGAAGGATCGGCAGGATTGGCTCGGTCGCGTACGGGAAGAAGACGGCATCTCTGCTGCCGCCGCGCGGTCCTTGCCGCGCCTGCCTCGCCAACTGGACATGTGTGCAGGCGGCCGCGGAGGCGGCCCGCGACCTTGGTCTACTCTTGTTGAGACATCCGCGACCGCTGACGCGCACCGGCCTGCTCGGACGCCGCGGGTTTCATTTCGACGGGGCGCTGGCGCTTGCCGAGGGCCGGTGCGACGACGTCGGCCACGGCCACGGCCACGGCTACAGCTACGGGCACCAAGAGTGGATGGGTCGCCACGGGGCCGGGGTAGGACGGGGCAACGAGGGCCGCCCGCGCGCGATGACCTGCTCGCCGCTCGTCTTCGAGTGGATGCGCGACGCGTGGACTGGGTTTGTCGCCGAGGGTGAGTTCCAGACCCGAGCTAGCCGCGTCATGACACTGGCAGAGGTAAGCCGCGAGGAGCGACAAGAGATCAATGCAGGGAGATCGCGGGGAGACGAGGAGAAGGAAGACGAAGAGGATGCCGATATCAACGACTGGGAGAACGACTGGGAGTGGGATACCCTGGATCTCCTGTGTAAACCGGAGAAGCCCAGGTCCGACACATGGACGGAGATGGAGATGGAGACATTTTCTACTGCCACGACTCTCGCGGAGTCTGGAAGAAAGGATGATGACGACTTTGACTTTATCGACGATCTCATCAATGAGGAGTTCCCTAAGCTGCGCAAGGATAATATGACCACGACCGATGCTGAGACTACGACTAGTAATCTCAGTACCGGTGCCAAGGTTCGTGCACCAGACGTTCCCGTGATCTTGGTCTCGCTACCGGAGGAAGAGCAGCCTCAAAAGCGCGACAATACCGTAAGAAATGAGCACGACAACAGCGAGGAGGAGGGGGGAGGCGGCGGCGGCGACGATCCAGCACTTCCGGTACCCGTCATCATCCCCCCAAAGAACATGGCCGTGGCGCGGGACCTATCGCTCTGTGCTGCGCGCGAGGAGAGTGAGCGGTCGACGGCGGCGATGGACGCAGACGTGGAGATCGAGACGGACATGTTGCGTTCGCAGGCCTGGGACATCATCCAGCGGCCGTCGTGCGCAGAGCTAGAAGAAGCGTTCGCCCCGGACTCCTCCTCGACGGGCACTGCGATCCTCGTCTGATGCTACCTGCGACCCCGATCCAAATTCGGCAACCACGGCACGGAGGGGGGATTCTACGCGTTGTAGCGCGACGATGTGCTGCCTGGCCGGTGGTTCAGTGAGAGAAGTACATCAGAGGACGACGAGAGAACGAGAACGAAAAAAAAACACGTACGCTTCCTTGCCGACGCCGGGGGCAGCTTTGCTGCTACTCTCTTCTGCCCTTTTACTTTCTTCTATGCCTGGTCGCAAGCGCACTGGGGCACTCGAGTAGCCTGTGTAGATCTGCGTGTGAGGCAGAAAATACTGTTGTCGAGGTATGCTTGTCCCTACCCCCTTTCCGAAATTCTGCATGACTTTTCGTTTCCTTCTGGAGGCACTAAAGTGGGATTCTAGGTCCTTTCATACGGTACCGCCTGTGGAGGATATCCCTGTCGCTGCGAGAAGGTCGTCTGTCGGAGACATCATCCATATAGACTGACGGTCGCGGAGTTTGTTTTTCATTAATCGGGGGTTTTTGTTTTATTTTGCTTTAGGGCTTATCGTGTGTCTTATCGCCAACTCACTCTGCGATGTCCCCAAGAGGATGCGAGGTTTTGCCCGAGAGTGTATGTGTATGTGAAGGGGAACTGTGGCGATACCCGTTGTAGACACAGATAGTTTGTGAGGCCATTCACAGGAGTCTGCCGTTGCTACACCTTTTGTAGGCATTGTTTTTCGATAGGGAAAGTGAGACTTAATTACGCGCCATACTGCACCGTAATTCTCTGTAAAGTAATTTGCCCTGAGTTGGCGTGAGACCTTTCTATAAGATTGTCTGCCATAGTAAGTGGTTGTGGTAGTTGCTGGCGTTGGTGATGATGTTGATAAAGTTCATGTTGATGTTGTGGCTGTGGTTGTGGCTGTGGTGTGGAGTGTGTTGGGTGCTAGTACTTATATTGTTCCTCTATAAGGATATCGGATAGTGCAATAGTCGGATATTATTTGCTCCATATTAGGACGTTGCATTATCCCGACGAGGGTTTAAGAATTATTAGGGCGTTCATGACCTATCTACCTGTCTCCTTATACATACCACTGCTACATTAAGCAGTAGAATAAATAGCAAATAACCGACCTAAGAAACATTCAACACTAAAACTATATAATATCATCGCTATGGTTAATATCATTAGGTGCGTCGGTCGCTAGGCATTTTTCTTCTTCCTTCCTCACCATCTTCTCTTATATCCGGCAGGCCTCCAACGGGGTCTAGGACCTCACGGATCGCCTATTAGAAATCCCCACGTCTTTTATTAGCCATGTCGTGCAGCGTATTGACCGTATTAAATCACGTTCACTACGCGCCATGGGCTCTCTGATCCCATCGGACCGTCTCTAGAGCCCGGCTCGGCGCGTCGTCACTATGCGGGCTGTGCTACCCCCTGACTAGGAGCCATCGAGCCCAGTACCGTTGTATAAGGCGGTCCATCGTTAGGTTAAGATCCATGCCGCTTTCCGAGACGTCGTGAACCCACGCTAGAGAGGCTTGCACTATGAAGTTGTATTCGAGGCTGCTATATATGCGTTGTTGGTGCTGTTTACACCTGTTGTTTATACCTATTTCCTGTCTATACTGGCCTACATTTTATGCGTACTGTCTATACTGTGCATATTAGGCAGAAGCGAAACAGCCCAAAACAAAACACAACAGATTAAAAAGAACAAAACAAAAACACAACTTACACCGAAGTGGTATAACTAACTCGGTGACGGCCGAGCGGTGTTTGGTTGGTTCCGAGCTCTCCGTCGCGGTTTAAGTCCGAGACGTAGCCATGGAAGAAGCACCCGATGGCCGGCGAGAGCGGACCGGCAGGATTCAAGCAGTGAGTTTCTTTGACAGAAAAAAAAGGAGAAAATACCCCCTTAGCATGTGGGCGACATCTTGTCTAATCTTAGAGACGGCTTCAAGTGCGACAACTGCAAGGATCGCAAGGTATGGCTCCACCCGCACACCGCTGGAACGACGGCGACTGATCCGATCCTGACTCTGCTAGACGAGGTGTGATCGGGCAACACCATGCTCCAGCTGCGTTACGGCGAACCTCACCTGCCGCATGACCCGGACGAGGCCGGAGAAGCGCCAGCGCATCGTCATCTCGGCTAAGTACGACGAAGCTCTCGAGAGCGTCGACCACCGGCTCCAAGAGGTCCTAGAGACTGTCACCGCTCTCCAGCGCGATGTCAGCCGTAGCCCGGCAGCCGCTCAGCAGAGCCTCCAGCGAGCTTCTGATTTTCCGGCCGGCTCTGCCGTCGCTCTCCTCTCTGGGAGCTCTAACACCTCCGGCGGGTACAGGGCCTACCCATCCTTCGACGCCCAGGTTCGGCGGATGGCGGCCGCCCATCTACCGCAGCGGCCGTCCGAGAACGGCACGGCGAGCTCGAACATAATCCAGGAGATCCTCGAATGGACGGCAAATTCCGGCACGATCGCGCCGCAGAGCAGGATACCCTCTGCGCTGCCCTTTCTCGAGCAGCATCCGGAACTGGCAAGCTATACCATGCCGCCGAGCGACGTCGTGCTAAGACTGCTGCGACTCGCTCGGGTCGAGAAGCAGCGGTTCTTTGCTGATGTCGGCTTCTTGGACGAGCAGCAGTTCACCGAGCTCTGTCGCGAGATCTTCTTCGCCGTCCACCCCTACTCGTTGTGCACCTGGAGCCTTGTCAATACAGGGCTTCTCCACCTATTCCTGGATCTCGACCCTGATCGTTACGCCGACGTCGGCCTGGAGGCGCACGAAGTCGAGAATATCGCAGAGCTGCTCGCCAAGAACTCTCAGGCCTCTGCTGAGAGCTTCCGGATGTCCTTCGAGCCCTCTATAGAAGCATGCCAAGCCATGGCGTTGGCGGTAAGTTTATCTCGGAGTTCGTAACGTCGCGGTATGTCCGTTTGCTGATGTATGCACGGTAGGGAACATCCTGCGCCAAACTCGGACACCTCACAAAAGCCTGGAATTTGATCTCGGCCGCTTCTCGGATGTGTACCGACCTCGGCCTCCATCGATTGCCTACAGTGCCTTTCGACGAAGACGAGATGAAGAAGCGGGTCACCTTTTGGTACCTGTACATCTGGGACAAGGGCCTGGCGCTCACGTTGGGGAGAACCCAGTCAATCCACCAGTACGATGTGTCTACTGAGCGCATGGTGCATCCCTTCGACATACGCGGTATCGCCGGCAAAACGGCTGCTGCCTTCCAAGAGCTGGCGGTGCTAGAAGGCGAGATACAACCCCTTCTTTTCTCAGTTTCTTCTCAGCAGATCAACCTGCACGTGCGTGCTCAGAGATCGCGGGAAATCCGCGCGAGACTGAAACAGATTCGGGCGGAGTTGAGCAAGGTAAGTTGAATAATACTATCACGATCGTCGAGGAAGCTTTTCCTAACAAAACGAATAGGTAAATGACGAGCGGACTTCGATCGTAACATTCAGCGAAGCTACAGTACTAGTAGAATACCTCCTCAGCGCGTTGGTGACGGTAGTGTGCAGCACAGTTGCGTTGGAATTGCCGGATCACAACTCGAACCAGCCAGGTCATGCCTGTGCTGAGTGCGTTGATGCCGCTCGGCACGCGCTGGAAATCATAGTGAAGTCGGGGAATGCGATCAAGGAGATGAACCCGAGCGGTTGGATAAAAGGCTGGACATTTTTTATGAACACGTACGCGCCGCTACCATCCATGGATTCCTCACTTCTGTGCTGACTATTCCGCCACAGGTTCCTGTCGCTAATGCCCTTCACGCCGTATATCGTTCTAGTAGTCCACGCCGTATCTGAATTCGCCGTCGCGGACCTAGATCTCCTCGCGTCCGTAGTTTCGCTTATGGAGCCCATAGCAGAACGTTCCTCGACAATCCGCCCTGTTTACGAGATCTGCGCAAAACTATACCAGTTTGCCGAATCCACGATTCGCCCGCGCATGGAGGATAGTTCTGTACAAACGACAGCGTCCACCGAAGCTGCCTTCGCGGGCTATTTCGAGCCGGGCCTGATGTCTTTGCACGGGTCGGTTAGCCCAACAGACAGCAATCCCGCTCCGCTCATGTCGTTGGGAGACTTTCAGATGATGCTTGGTGGATTGGACATGGACGGGAGACAGTCGTAAAGTGCTGGCAGTTCCAAAGAAAAAAATTTTGGGGGGGGGGGGGGGGGGGCTTAATATCGTCGAAATTCAGGGGCATATACACGAAGGCTGTATAATAATTCGAGAAGTAGTTGGGTGAGTCTGGGTGGGTTATGATCTTGACGTTCGTGCCAAGCTGTCATTATGCCATATAACCAGTCCCTTTTCCTGCTAGAACAGTCCCGGCGACGTCCACGCTTCATCAACCCATATAATAACCGATAACATGATAACGCGCCGAGATGCATTTAGGTAGTTTCGGCGAGTCGTTTATACACCCAAACCCCCACGATAATAACCCGCGGCAAAGTCTAAGCTTGATTTACAAATATCCAGGTCAGGCACTAAGTTCCTGTCGTTCCTTTTAGCGTGTATGTTATTTTAAATCTCCACTCCCTCGGTCGAGTCTCGGCCTCATGATACTTCTCCGGGGATATGTCAAGCGCGAGTGGACGTGAATCGAGGACGCAAACTAGTTAATTGCAAAGAAGTAGATATTAGACCCAGTAGCATCGCGGGGGTACACGTACATATTACAGTTGGGTACCGCAGTTTGAGCCCCTTTACCAGCCGCTGTAACAGCACAACCAGTCAAGCAACAAACGGTTACGAACGCAAGAGTGAGGATGACAACGTACTGTGGACATATTCTCCCTCATACCTGAAACAACACAAACTAAGGGCAATCGCGGATAGATGACCGCCCTTTTCGCTGAGCTAACCGGGCCCACGGAAGGACGAATAGCGGGTAAAAGGGGAAAGAGAGGGAGAAGGGGAAGACGGCCGAATACCACATCGACCGCAGCGAGCGTACCTCGTCGCCGCTTCTCCCGTCCCCGCCCCTCTCTATCCTCCCGCGTGCCTTATCCCGCGCGCAGCGGCACTCCCGGAGCGGGTCCCACGCCGCGGTGTCATCCTGCGGCGTGACCTCAGTCAGGCCGTCACGGGAGAGGTAGGTGCGGGCGTCGGGGGGCAAGGCACGACGGCGAGGGTGTCTGGCGGCCCAGAGAGCCAGGGCGGCGAGGGTGGCGGCGGCGTCGAACGTGCAGAAGGGCCACTCGGCGCGCCGCGCGACCGCCTCGGGCGCGGTCTGCTCCGCTACGCGGTACGCCGCGCGCACCGCGAGGAGCGCGAGCCCCACGTACACCGTGCTCAGCACGCCTCTGGCCGCCGCGAGCCGCGCCCGCACGCACCGCCGCCGCGCCACCGCGGCGAGGAGCCCCGCGCCCGCCAGCGCACCCAGCTGTGCCGCGATCGCGGCCCACAGAAGCGCCGCGCCGCGCGACGAAGGGGGCGATGGGGGGAAAGGGGACGGGCTTGTGGCTAGCGAGGCGGCAGCGGCCCCGCTGAGCGCCTCGATAGCGAGTGTGAGCACCGTAAGGAAGAGGAGGGTCCAGCGCGGGGGCGCCGGGGACACGTACGGCACGTAGGCAAGGACCCGGCTCAGGATTTTGTAGGTTGCGAGGGCGATGAGGGGCCTGTGGGGGGGGATGATTAGAAATAGTACAAAATTTCATGCAGCTGCGGAGGGCGGGAAGGAGTGGTAGGGAGGGTTGGTAGATGGTATCTCTTCTCTCAATATGGGGGTTGGTTTTTCCTTCTCGTCTTCGGAACGCGACGGGTCGGTTTCCTCCCCTCTCTTAGGTGATTATCGAGTATATTCTTTTCTTTTTCAATTTCAGCCATGGTGCTTGGACGACTAGTCCATGTATCAAGGATGTGTATATGGACGTAACGAAATACGACTGGGACGTACGGGCTAGCATATATGAGAGTGACGCTGGCGATGAAAAGGTCTGATTCTTCGTAGTTGCGGAAGGCACCGTTGATCCGTAGAGCGAATCCGACGACATAGAGAAGGCCGGCAACGATGAAGAGGCCGGTAAGCTTAAAGCTTCGATATAGACTGCGGTACGAAGAAAGGCGTGAGCTGATGTGCAGGCGTGGTACGTACTCAACATATAATACCTAGGTAGACGTAGGTGGTGAAGATAGGGGTAGTGGAAAGACGACGACTGTACGCACCAGCATTGCCAGAAGTGTATCGTCGTTAAGACGGAGAAGGCGAACAGGAAGAAGAAGGCGATGCCCTTGTTGGGGATATATACCCAGAGATTAACTCCCTCTGGCCACAGATGGGAGGAAGCGTCAGTTAAGCCACCCGCGTTGACAGAGAAAATGTTAAGACACAAGGCATATTAACGCAGAAGATTTAATCAACTCTAGAAAGCCTAGCATACCGTACTTATGGGACATAGTAAAATGATATATTAAAGTATTGTGAGAAAGATGTACGGAACTTCCGAGAGGAAAGTCGAAAGAAAGTGGAAAGAAGCAAGAGGAGAGAACAGGAAAGAAGGGGGGAAATGGTATACCGATATGCTATGTAGGTTCCAACTCTCAGGCCGGTTATACGTGTCTCTTCGTCCCGACTTACCCGTCTCTATCGTACAATTCAGGCCTCGGTCTCTATCTAACTGCGGGTACGGGCTAGACGCCGGCGACGGCAGGCAGATAGACAAGACAACTGATAGCCGACGGCCGACCGGATATACCAGTAATATAGACCTTCCCTTAAGACGGCTCGCCCTCTTCCATACTACTTCGCGTGAATTGAACATCTTATTCTTAGATGGGAGCATCACAGCAGGTGCCCACACCCGTAGCGTGTATAAGTTTACTCAGTCAGCGTTCCCGTAGTAGGTAATATAACGGCATGTCCGTATGCACCCCCTGTACTCACGCATCGCCATGGTAAGGCGGGTATGCCCTAAGCCCCCAGTGCCCCATTCTGTCTCCTACCCAGTTTGGCTCCGAACACAGCGTTCCCCTTTTGTAGTTTTCCCGATGGTGCTCCGCCTTCACCTATCGGCCACTAGGAGAACGGGGAAGCAGAACCAAACAAAGACTCCCGGTGCCCGAGGTTTCCCCCCCTAGTTTTGTCTACTAGTAATACCACAGAACGGGTCGCTGTAGGCTATTTATCATCATAAGCCACATATCCCACCCCAGTAGCTCGTTGTTGATAAGACGCCATCATGACGCGGACGAGGGTCAGTCTACCTGCCAGTCTGCCTTACGATGCAACCTCTCTCCCAAGCTGCTCGTAATGTTGGATGTGCCGGTAGCCCTAAGCCATCCGCGACGTACCCGGGATACCTACGTATAGGCCCGGGGTGGGAACGAAGAATGGGATATTGCCTAGATACTCGTCCATGTAAGCCTAGTGTGTTCGAGCTCCCACCGACTGGTAAGGCATATTTGCGCATGTCCGCAGTACATTACGGAGTCGCATATCTACATCTGCATATGTGCATACGTGGAGACTAGTTCAATTACCCGCACCTAGGACCATATTCTTGGCCGCGTTCGGCTTGACCCTGGTTGAGGCCTAACCAAGCTTTTCTTGTCGCGCAGGAAAGCTATATTACATTGGAAATAACCCTACAGTGACATTACCAACTAAATAGGAAAGTATACGCGCCTACTTTCCATGTGCTACGTTTCTGCGTGCAATTTACTGTATTACGCCGTATTGGTTTCCAATCACATTCTTTTCTCCGAATGACTTCTCTTATCCCCTGTACTTGTTGATCATAGCCCTCCTCGACGTTCGCAACCGTGTGAGTACCGTTGTCGAAAGCACCTCATTGTGGGTCCCGGCTATGTAGGTACTGCTTGTACGAGTAACTACGTAGGCATGTATTATAAGTCCGCCAGAGGGTGCAAGAAGAACGGGTCCACCCAGGGCACCAGGGTCGTCTCCAATACCAGGCTCTGAATACCTGCAGGGGCCCCACGCTTTCGACCAGGAAGCGAGATCCCTGATAAATCCTAGTCGAGCTGAAGCTGAGGCAAAGAGCCCAAGCCTAGACCTCGGATCTCATCAGGGATACCTATTGCACAGATGTACTATAGGTACTACACATGCATATGTATGTGCACCGTGCAACTAGGCTCCGGGTCCACTTGCAAGAGCCTCTATCGCGAAGGAAGTGGTTAACATGAGCTCCGGGATATGGGGACGTGTTGAGTAACGGTTGAATAGCTATTATGTAGTGGTGAAGTTGAGCTACAGGCTTCGCCATTATACATAGGGTTCACCCATTTAAGGTGGCGTCACGGTTATATTTTGTGAAAGACCGAGGCTACCGTGCCCATGGTAACACCGACCTGGTCCCGTTTACCTAGGTAACCTACGGAATCCTAAGACATCGGCGCGTAACGTTAATCGTGAGCATTTAAGGCACTTAACCTTAATATATAATACACTAGGTGCCTTTTGTGCCTCTAAGTGGGTTGGCATTCAGTTCTCTCAGCCGGTCCACAGGTGAGCGCCTCTTGAGCTATCAACTGGGGGACTTCTCGCTACAGATGCCCAGGACCACAGAGCTTGTTCTGTTCATAAGAAGCGCTCGGGACACTATTCTCACCAAGGCCATCGAACCAAACGCCCGCTATATTGAAATAGATGGGCTCGTCCAGGCCTATTCCTGTAAAGACATATAAGCATGTGGCTGATAATCTCAGGATTTCCACCTCGGGAGGCTCTACATAGCTAGACATATTTGCCTAATTCTGTACATTTTCCCGCAATGGGTGTAAGGTGCGCGTGTCATGTCCTAGTCCATTTTACAGCCTGTCATAGCGTGTGTTGCCGTATAAGTCATTATAATAATGAACAAGAGCCACGAAAGATGGCTACGAATATTGGGTACACAGGAATCTGGTAATATATTAGCCGCCCTTTTCTCCCGCCTGAAAAGAAGATATTCCCAAGTAATTATCCTGAAGGCCAATATAGATTGCGGAAGAGCGAGAGTTTGAAGTTATAAAAATGGGCGAAGAGCTTATGTAGGTGAACATCGTAATCCCTGCACTTTCTAGCCTTACAATCAACGTACTGTAGGTGTTTATATTCTTGGATTGTATAGTCATAATATGAAGAATTGGTTCTATTGAAATTCCGTTGTTGTATGCCGCTTTTCTTCTTCCCAGAGAGGGTAGAAGTGGCTGTACGTAGGTCCCTTAGGTTAGTGCTTCAGTATGAGCTCCATTAAAAGATATCCTTTTCGTTTCAAATCCCACTTGAATCTCAGTAAATATAACTAGAGAGCCAGAAATAAGTACTCTCTCTTAGGTCCAGATCAATTTAAACTAGTATCAATCAGTTGTATTTGGCAAGATGGAAAATGTTCTCGAGATTTGGTACTAGGAGTGTATTGGCAACGTTATAGTCATCTAACCAGCAACTACCTACCTAATTTAACGAAATTCCCTACCTAATGACCTACCTCTACGCAGTCGGCGCCTTCAATTTACATGTAGGTTCGCTTACATAGTAAAACTCATACTAGGAGTCCGATAAGAGAATAAAAAGACATCGCAGGAGAAATTTCACGTCTCTACTTAGGAATATAGGGGTACATAACTGCAGATAACCACTATCGCTACCATTATTGCCCTCCCGTAACCCACGCCCGTGGGGGAGGTGGCGAGAGGATGAGGTGCCTCCATCTCTCTTTCTAGACCTCGGGGCGTTCAACATCCCAACGTTTAATTTTACCAAAACGTTGGATTAATACATCAATCGATTTCTCTGGATGGCTAAGAATGATCGATGTCTCCCACTCCCAGGTTTATGAAATTTGAGTTCCTAATCGTCGTCCAGAACCTCCTCCTCTATGCGTGAATTCTCACCATCGCGCTCTGGGCCGAGTTAGCTAACCAAGACATAATACGTGGTTTAGTTAGTCGGGCCGCCTACCCTTCATCCTAAAACGACACGAGAAAATCATGAAAACACGGTCTTAGCCTCCAACCTCAGCCTACTAGCGAAGAGAAATCCTCGTCCAAAAGCACCGTAATAACACCCGCGAGTATTTGACAATCGTTTTCTGACACTAACAGCAACGGTCACAGCATTAACATGTCAACCCGAAACTAAGTAAGCCTCTAGAGAGGAGGAACCGTTATGTATACTAATCGTACAGCCTAATTTAACTCAATAGTTGGACGGGAGAAGAACAACGCATGACCACAACAGTAATCATGAGCCACTTGGCCTTAAGACAATCTTTCAGTCCAGTGCTTTAATTTTATTAGCAACCAAACCTCTCTCCGCCTAGTAGAGACGATTGTACAAGACTCACCCTAGCTTACGGTTCTGTTCCTACTTACTTTCGTCTTAGGATGACAACAGGTGGCTTTTGCTGATGACTATTGGGGATTTCTAAATTCCGATCAAAGGCTGGGCAGCTTTCTACGCTTCCACCACCGGGGGTTAGGTGTTGAATCCGTGGTCCCGAGATAGCTAGTGCTGGTTTGGTATGAATACGATAGATAGATCTAGATGGCGAATATATGTCCCGAATATTGCAAAGGATGACTGAGCGCCTGCCCATAGTCAGGTAGCTTCTAAATCTACGGGACACACATGGCTGTGACCAGATCGTTTTAGACGATTAGTGTAACGGGGATAAAATATGCCTTGAGTCTGGTAAGCCGTTAGGTATCGGAGAGTCGGTCGTTGGACTAGCGTCCATTTCTGTCGCCCGCCGGCCTTCTCGTCGTCAAGTCAATATCCATTTTTGGAAAGTCCGACACCGCAACTAATACCCGCCATCAGTGTCCAGGCTGACCCGAAGATATCAGAGCGGACAGCACAAGTCAGAAGACGGCTTTGATGAAAATCATAAGATCGGATGATTACCATGACCCCAAAAAGCGACATTGACCCTGGGTCACGTTCTACAAGGAAGGGGACCGTTATTCAATTTGGCAGCTCCGTAGCGCAGTTCTTAGCATGCCAGGGCCGTCGGGCCATCATCGGCAAAGGAACTGCGAACGCAATAATCCATTGTAAGGCAACGTGTAGTATTAGGAGTGAGGATGATGTGGTCTCCGACTGCGGGAAGAGCCCGAGTATTTAAACCCGGGCAATGCCGTCTCTAGGTTGTCCTACTGGGAGCCGCACGCGACAATCAGCATCTCAAAATACTTCGGTCTCCTGAACATTTGAGGGCCTTCGATATTAGATCTCCCAAGGCGCAACGAAATCGACCCCTCTACCCGTCATGGCATTCAACCTAGAGGCACCGCCGGGCACCGACATCTGGCGGAAGCCACCGAGCACCAACATTTGGAACGGTAGGTATCTACGTAGCCCTGCCTCCGCTTCTGTGGCCGCCCTCTTCCCCCCTTTTCCAAGCTTGCCGCTAACACAGCAGCTCCTAAGCACCCATCTCACACACGAATACGGGCCCGCTGAAGAAGTTCCTCTCGGCGCGCGTGACATTCTGGGCGGACTGGACCGAGAGGTACGACCAGGCGGGGTTGCTCCTCGTGCCACGGCGGGCTTCGGCGCCACCGCCGACGTCGACGGGGCCAGCGCCAGACAAGTGGATCAAGACGGGGCTCGAGTACTACCAGTCGCGGCCGCAGCTGAGCACTGTGGGGTGCGACCGGTTCGCGGACTGGAGCGTGGTGCCGCTCGTGCTCACAGCGGGCGAGGCGGACCCGGGGGCGGGGACCGGGCTCACCATCGAGATCGCGCGCGAGGGCGACGAGCACGGCAAGAGCCTCTGGGTGTACCGGCTGGTGCTGGGGTCCGGCGGCGAGGTGGCGGAGAGGATCCCGCTCCGGGAGATCTGCTGGGTGCTCGCGGACGAAGACGACGAGACGGCCGGCGAGTGGTTGCTCGACGTGGGCCCGCTCGTGGCGCGCCCCGAGAAGGTGGCGGCGGCTCCCTTGAAGGTTGAGTTTAAGAGTTTCGAGGTCCAGTGGGCATCGTAGGTGACGCGAGGAGACCAGGGAGGAGGCAGGTAATTTACCGATGGGAAGATGTACCTACCTATTATTGCTTTTACAATACCTATGCCCTAGCGTGTTCTTGCATTGAGGAAGAACCCGTAGAGGTCTGTTGAGAGGTACCTCCAGGTTACTGTTAGAGGTACTAGGCCTCATCTCTTCTACCTGCTAATATTTGCTATGTACCTAGGTACCTGTGTCGCAGTGCTAGGGTACCGCTTGACAGCGGCAATTTCAAATGGAAGTACCTACATGGGACATTTCCACGTCTAATAGCAGGTACCTAAGGTACCTAAAGTATCTGCCTAGGAGGTACCTAATGTCAAGTAGGTATAATAGGTAGGCGGGTTACAAGGGGAGCCCCTCCCCTCCGCGTCGCGCCAGGACAATTTTCACGCGTTGGGTTTGACCTAGAAAAGCCAGGCCTGCTTCCACTCTCCTTTTAGGGGGCAGTCGAGCTTCCCGAGCGAAGCATCTCCTTACCTACCACTTCTCCTCTCTTTCTTCACGCGGCGGGTTTTGAGAGGAGAATCCCCGGATGCTCTATCGCCATGGCCGTCCTCGACGAATTTCCTGGTATCCGGGTCACCGTCAAGATCAATGGCCAGACCGCTCCTGAACTCGCGGATCCCAACATCGCGGAACAAGAGCCCGCTAACCACCCTACTTCATCTAAATACATCGAGTGCATCAACGGTGCGAATTTCGCTGTCAGATTGTGTGTAACCGATGACTACGACTGGAAACCCCGAGGGCACGCTCTTCGGCTACAGGTCGACGTGGATGGAAAGTCTATTATATCACACATAATCAGGGAGAAGGACCTTTGGCATGGTGTTTACAAGACGGACGTGAAGGGTCCAATGACATATGACGTCGCGACCAGGCAATGGAAAGATGGAAGATGTAAATTTTCCGTGGTTCGCACCGGTATTACCTCTAGTTGTGTGTGCTGTAATCAAGAGCTAACTGACAATATCAAGTTGATGACTCGAAGATAGATCGAGTCAAGAGAGATGTGAAAGTCACAAAAAGCCTAGGGCAAATCCAGGTTTTCGTCTTCCGATGCATCTACCTGGGAAGTACGGATCCGGTACCACATTATTATACTAATGTATACACTGGAACGCTCGAGTTCTCCGAGAAGTCTTTGAAGGGCAAAGCCGTGTCTCACGGAATGTCGTAAGTGCATCGAGTTAAGGACACCTAATTGTCCACAGCGCAATGCTAACAATGGTTACCTCCGAGGCTCTCGTCACTGAAAACGGTCCCCGCGCCTCGTACTTGTTCTGTGAAAGATTTAGAGGCAGACGGCGGACCAATTGCGGAGTACCGATTCCACTACAGGTCTAGAGGTATGGAAGATAGAAACGGAAGCTGAAGTAACTGTTAACCGAGGACCTAGATGCTTTGAGACAGGAAATGATTATTCCTCGGACATCATCTCCAGGCTTGTCTATGGCGTCAGGACTGGCTGACATGCCACGCATTCAACTAGAAAAACTGGCTCGAGAACGGCTCGAGCAATTGCAGGTGCGTCGTCATAGTATTACGGATAGCTTTTCTTGGTGCTTGAGCTCACCACGGGGCTAGGCGGGCCGGCGCTTCAAACGAGAGCGCGGTTTAGACGACAAGGATAGTGTTATTCCACGACCCGCCAAGATCTCTCGGTGTTCAGATTCGCCAATCGTGATTGACCTGACAGACGATTAACTAGAGGATACAATTCAGATTACCTAATAGCAGACGAAGATGCGTTTCTTAGTACTACACCGTGACGAAGGGTGTGTCATGGAAAGGATAGCAAAGGGTGATCTCACTGGTGTTCAGTGGGAGATCAGTTATGCAATGATTCGCAGTTGATACAGTTGCAGGAGGATTTCACCGCGAAGGGTTCCTTACAGGGCCCGTAATAATGATCCTATCCGGAGGATAGTTATAATACGCATAACCCCTTGTTATGCTAATTAATGACGGGGTTAAATACCCCTATAAATAACCCTGTAAATAACCCTATAAATAATCCTATAAATAACCCTGTAAATAACCCTGTAAATAACCCTATAAATAATCCTATAAAAGGATATTATTTAGGGGAAACTCTGTTTTTACTGGCTAAAAAACGCGCTATGGGTCCCTAAAAATACGTATACCTAATAAAAACGGTAGGATAAATAAAGGTTTTCTTATTTAACGTATTTCTATTACCTCCTAAGATCCTTACGTATATTTACTAACGCGTTTATTTATACGTTTCTATTTTTATTTATATAATTCCTATTCTTTTCCGTATCTTATAATCTATCCTTATAATCTATCCTTAGTTTAATTAAAATAAAGTTACTTTAAGTTAAAGAATGTCGTACTTACGGAAGAATTTAAGCCATCGAGTAATTTATTAATCTACGAAATTACGCTATATTTATAAAAGATTATTTCTCTTACTGCGAAAATATACGCCGTCTTACTTAGGTTAGTATTCTATATTAATAATTTATACTCTACCGTTAATTTTACATAGGATTTCCGATCCGATCCTACGTTTAAGACGTTTTAACCGGCTTCGCTATTAAATATTACTTATTATCGATTATATTTTATTACCGCGTAACCTCGGGTATATAGTTTAAGCGCTAAAGAAATAGCTTTACGCGTAAGTAACGCATTACGATAGTAAATTCGAAGACGGTATAAGATAACCCGACGTAATAACGATAATCCTTCTTTTATTTCTTTACTTTCTTCGTTAATAATATAATTATAACTAACGGATTTAGCGATAGCGTTAGAACTAGCGCCCCGGGGGCGACCTCTTCGAGTACTTACGTAAAAGTTAGCTCGTCGAAGCCGACCTTTACGTACGCCTACGTTAAAATAAGCGCGAGAATTAATTCGTCGAGGCCGATCTTTACGTACGCTTACGTTAAAACTAACGCTAGAGCTAATTCGTCGAAGCTAACCTTTACGTACGCTTACGTTAAAACTAACGCTAGAGTTAGTTCGTCGAAGCCGACCTCTACGTACGCTTACGTTAGAACTAATACTAGAGTTAATTCGTCGAAGCCGACCTTTACGCGCGTTTACGCTAGAATTAACGCTAGAGCTAGTTCGTCGAAGCCGATCTTTACGCGCGTTTACGTTAAAATTAACGCTAAAGCTAGTTCGTCGAAGCCGACCTTTACGCGCGTCTACGTTAAAATTAATATTAAAGTAAGTATAAATACGTCGAGGCCGACCTTTATAGCTTTTTACGTTAAAACCCCTTACGTTAAAACTAACGTAAGAATAACCGCGCCTAAGCTAACCTTTTAATTAAACCTCTCCCTTAAATACCGCTCGCTTTTAAGAACTTAGTAGCGTTTTTAATCGTTAAAACTCGTTTATAATTAAGCCGCTACGGTAGGAAGGAAACCTCGACGCTAACGTAATTAGCGATACCGATTACGCGATTTTAATACGGTTTTAATTAACGTTAAAATAAAAACGACGTAAATATTATAGTCGTTACGGAAAGTATTAATTTAATATAGATTTAAATACCGCGGATATTTATAAGCGTTATCGTAATAAAGGCTAGAAGAAGCGCGTAAATAAGCCTTTCTTTTTTAACGTAAGTAATTATCTTAACTTTAATATCCTTTCTTTTTCTAATTTATTACTAAAGTTAATAATAATCGAAGAATTATTTATTACGCGGATTTACGTAGTAATAAATATATTTATAATCCGCGGCTAGTAATATAAATATCGCGACTACGTCGTATACTTTATACGTAACGTTAATAAAGTATACGATTATCTTCCTCTCCTCCTTTAATATCTTAATATCGTCTTATTATACCTACGCGAGTTAACGTAAAATCCCGAGTAAATAATTTAGTTTCGAACTAAGTTTAAAATATACCGGCGCGTTATTAAGATATAACTTAAGTATTTAAAATATAACTACCCGGGTTATAAAGACTTTAAATAAAATCGCGCCGCGCTAAAAGAGCTACTTAACGACGGTAATGTTTTTAAGTAGCTTAATATTTAAGACTTCGTCGATAACGATTAAGCGCTCTAGGCTAGCTTAATTACGGAAGTCGACCTAAAAGAATTAAAGGCTTAATACGATAAATTTATTATACTAAACGTTACGTTAAAATAAATTAAAATAAAGCGTTTAGAGTTAGAATTAAAGGAAGCGCTTATTTCTAAAGGTTATTTCGTTAAGTTTATAGGTACTTATTATTTATTTATACTTTTTATTCGCTAGACCTTTATTAACGAATTTATACGTTTAATTACGTTATTTTTACTAGCGTTTCCTATCTTATTTTTGCGTAAAGAAGCTAAATTTATATATCTAAAGTAACGTAAGATCGATTTCGACGATTAGGTATAATACGTTATACGTTAACGCGATAATCGATTCGCGTAATACCTTATTTTCCGCTTTATCGCGCTTAATATACTTATGCGTTAATAAGCGATAATAATAAGTAAATATTTCGTAAGGAGAAAAGGCGCCTAGTAGTAATAAATTACGCGATAAGATCTCGAGTAAGCGTTAAAGAACCTTAAGAATACCGAGGTTAATGCGTTATTAAGAAGTATTACGCGCGTTATAGTTTATTTAAAGGATACGCGGCCTTTTTAGTTTAAACGAAAACGCGAATACGTTACTTTTACTAAGTACCTCGGAATTCCTAGCGCTTTTCTTACCTTAAGTCTTATTAATCTTTACTAACGGAGCCTTTTTTAATATATATTACGCTTTTAGGAATAGCTTTCTTTCCTTAAAATTTAACGCATACGCTTATCCCGCGAATTATTAAAAACTAATCCCTATATTACCGCGTAACATTTTTACGCTCGGAATTAACTCTTCCGTAATATCGTTTTAATTAAGAAGTTCGATTTACGCGATTATTAATATCGATACGAATTTTAAGGGCGTAGAAATACGTACTACTACGGGTTATTTTAATTCGAAGGTAATCCGTTACTTAATATAACCTCTTTCGAATAACGCTAAAACTATACTCGCATTTAAAGCTACTACGCCTCTACGATTAACCTAAAGCCGCGCCGGCGCTTAAATTAAAATAAGGATAATCCGTTCGTACTACGGCCTTTAAACGCGCGGCCGTCGTTTCGTTAGCTCTCTTAGATTATTAATCGTTACTAACGCTATAAATACTCCCCCGTATATTACTTCCGTATTAATAAGCGTAAAACGCGAGAAGCGGGATAAGGTAATAGCGTTTTATTACCTTTAAAATACCGATTTCTTTTCCCGCGGCCGTACCGCGCCTACGCCGAGATTATTATATAGCCGTATAAAACCTAATAATTATTTAAAGCGTAACGTAACAACGAATAATTAAATTAATATAATTAAATAATTACCTTTACTTAGCTAATTAATATCGATATTTCGCCTTATATTAACGTAGAAGCTATTATAAATTACGTAGCGAAGTATTACTTTAAAGCGGAAATTAAAACCGATAATTATAGCGTCCTTATTAAATAGATTCTTTTAAAGGTTTCTAACGTAAATCCTCTTCTTTTTTTTATATCGAAGTTAATAAATAAATTAATCGAGGAACGAAATTACTTTACGTAAGAGGTTTATTATATATTATATAGGCTATCCTTATAAGTTAATTCGCGTATTATACGTAACGTAAATTACCGGCCCTTAACGGAATAAGACTATAACCTCGAGCTTAGCTCTAGCGACGTTTCTAACGGGCGTAATACTTATAAGAAGTATCTTTAGCGCGATTTAAAGGTACTAAAGATTATTAAATTAAGTTTCTTTCGCTTCGTATCGATTTAAAATTTTAATAAGCCATACGCTTGCGATTAACGCCCTTTTTAACGTAACGTAAAAGAACGTATACTATAGTGGTGCGGTAAGACATGCCCTCTTGATGCATTACGTAATACGCTACGATAGGCCTTATGCCTATATAGAGTAACCATAGCTCCCGTAAGTACGGGATATACCATGCTTATTATTTAGTTTATTACCTAGTTAGATTATTATCTTTATTATTTTTACCTTAATTAAAGATTCGTTTTTGCCATTAGATTCGTCGTTCTCCGATTAATATATTTATTTTAGTTATAGGCGCTTAAGTTACTTCGTCGTACCGCTATAGCCGAATAAGTAACTTTCGCGTTTTACTCCTTTTCTTCCCTTACCTCTTATGCCTTCGGACTAGCGACTACTATATCTCTACGACTAAGGGGCATAGCTAAGATACGATAATTACATTAGATTCCTTACCTTTCGATTAATATAGCGATATTAGTTTTATTTATCCTAAACTATCGTACGTATTATAGTCTTCGATAAAATATACTTTCGAGTAAACCTATCCGGGTCTCTAGCATTACGTACGCTTTACTCTTCCTTAGTAGCGACTACCTTATAACTTTTTCGACCTTTTAACCTTAATCTTAGGAGTTTCTATTACGTTATTAGGATTTAAAGGATACCGATCGCCGTCGGTACCGCTATTTAACCCGTAAAGTAGTCTACGTTTTACGTTAAATAAAGTATCCCGCCTTATAGTTATTTATTTACTATAGGAAGGTACGTATAAGCCCGGGAACTTTTATAACGATATTATAACTATTAGGATAGCGCTTAGCCTTTAATACCTATAACGCTAATAAGCTATCGATACTACGATATAATACGACGATTAAACCGCGTTTATACCGATTAAAACATCCTTCGTATAATTATTTATCTACTATACGGAAGAACCCGTAAGCCTAGGAAATTATCGTCGTAATACTACCGCTACTAGGGATAATACTTAGCCCTCGATACTAACCGCTCCCTCGAACCGCTAGTAGTATAATATATCTTACGCGAATAAATAACGCTTTTAACGATTAAGGCAGCCCCCTTATAATTATCTATCTACTATATAAACTAAACGTACGAGCGCTTTAATATAAATTACGATAACCTATACGACCCGTTACTTCCTTATTAATATTAAGGGCGGATAAAGGCTAATAATAATTATATCCTAACCGATCTTACGATAGCTTCTTTTTCCCTTTAAACCTATTAATCGATATAAATTAAATATATAAATACTAATAACTTATTATATTAAAGGCATTTTAAGATACCTAGGCGTAGCGACTTAACGATATAATATACGATATAATATAGATATTTATATTAATAGTATAAATAAGATTAATAAATTAATAGCTACTAATAA